GGACATCTTGACTCCAACGTTAGTGAATCGTGATTTTAGCAATAGTTACTTAGTATGTCATAGCATGTTGAAACAACGTTGCAAGTCATGCACTGTCCTGAACAGCCTGAGGGCCTGACAGTTCAGAATGAAAGAATACTAGACGCAATGATGATTATTAGCAGAGGAAGAAAGTAGGGTGAAAATAAGGGTCAAACAGTAATACCAACTGAACTATTTAGAAAGACAGATGCTCATCTTCCTCAAACTCAACATCGTCAGTCTCCCAGTCTGAATCATCTGGATAGTTGTTGTCCAACTGCTCATCGTCATCGTACTCGATCACGTCCTCGTGATCTCCTTCGTCATCAGCTTCATCTCTATCCTTCTCACCATCAACCTTGCAGGAATGAATACTTTCCCGGTCCCCATCTTCATCTTCCTCTGAGTCCGGGCTATCAATGAGATCCAAATTGGCACAATCTCTTACCATCTCCCACACGACCTTGGGGTGCCCAATTCCGTAGTGTGTGTAACGTACGAACATATCTCGGTCAACGAATCTAAGTTATCCTCAATTTGAGTACGGATGGTGTGACGGATGAATACACTTACATGCCGACATAGTAAGCTTCCCAGTCATCTACTACATCATTGCACTGATGTGCAAATGTCTCTCCATGGCGAAGGGAGGTGGTACCACGCCCGGAATTAAATGCCAGAATTAAATGCGCACTTCGTATCACCTGGCTAGGATCCAGAAACCCAAACACATCATGATCAGCCTCTTCCACGAATGCTACCTTCAGAAGTCGAGCGCAGCTCATCCCTGACTGGTGCTCCGTCAACGGTGCGAGCCACCTAACGTAGAGAACCTCGAGTTGTTGCTTTTTCGTCGGGCCGTCAATGTTCAGCCATACCTCCATATGATAGATGGCTAGGACCTGGGCGTACCAGTAGGGATGCTTGGGCCGGGTTTCTCCAGACAATACCATGATATCACAGTGCGTACGAGGATTGATTGTGTCGTACTCTCGTCGAAGGTCATAAGTTGTATAGCGGACCTGTCATGATGAATAGTCATTAGATACTAACAAAACACATAAAGTGCGCAGGGCTTACCTGCATCGTTTGGACCGAGTATAACCTATTGTGTGAGATGATGACTGAATTGCGCTCCTGATCTGTGAAGGCATGGTCGCAATAGTCAATGTCTAACTTTCGAAGTCGGTAAAGCACATGGTCCTTAAGTTTCGGTACGAACTCCTGCGAGTCATAGTGAGTAAGATGCACAAGAACCGGAGGCCAATACCTACTGCCAAAGCTGGATCATTAGGATGACTTCGAAGAAAACTGAAGATATACAGTGGGTTGTTGCAGTTAAGTGTAGCTATATGATGATGATCTTTCAATCCTGCAGGTGATTCGACTGGTGCCTGCTCGTTAGTGTAGAAACTGCGACCTGTCTCCACCGTTCACCGAAGGACCCGACGGCAATGCTCGTGTTTAGCTAATTGCGCAGGGGTGTCTAGTTTACTAGTCAACGGATAGAAGGCTTTGAGCGCTCTATGTGCCAACTCTCCCTGACCATAAAGTAAGTTGAGATAAAAGGTGTGAATAGCTGAGATCCACTTACGATTTGCGATGTAAATGAGTCTATAGTCCCGAAGAGCCAGATCGTCTGCAGATAATCCCCCATGGCATGAAACTTGTAAGTATTCAAATTGAATTTCTTGGCCTTTCGGCCACTACTCCCTGGATCTGGGTTGTTCAAACCTGAGCGTTGACCAGCAGCGTTGCGCTCGCGAGCAGACTTTTCCTTAGGTAACTCCATGGTGGTGAAAGCAGCGCAGGTAAAGTCCCGGAACTTGCGCAGCTGGCGTGAGAGGCGCTGGAAGGTCTCATCTAAAGCGGACAAGGTAGTTTTGGAATGCATCCTCAGTTTTGCGAGGGCGTGCCATTGCGCAAACCTGAACAAAAGTGACTGCACAGCCTCATCGTGGCCTGCTGGAAATAGGCCTTCGAAGACTGGCATAGCACACTGAAATAGGCGTCAGCGATGGGCATCAGTAACTTAACCGCTAGACAGACCTGCAAAATATCCTCGAAGTCCCGAGCTGCAAGTCTCTTCATTTCAGAAGCATTATTGGCGAATCGCCGTATGACTCCATTGCCATATGAAGGAACCTGGTGAAATCTGTATTTACCACTTTTAAATCAGTAAGGAGGAAAGTGTGAGTAAACGAACCTGTTATCAAGAGTTGTGACCAAGTGGTCTCCACCGGGAAGCACATACAGTAGGCGGATGAGATGCGTGAACAATGCCTTCCATGTTCCTAACTCGCATTCATGCATGAAATCAACTACGAGCATGCGAAATGTGTCAAACCCTAGGGGTCCAAGTTTTTCTGCAAATGCATTCTAATTTACAGTCAGGTACTAATAAAGGGTCATAGATTCCAAAGGCACTTACAACAGTTGGAACCCAGGACCCTTCTCCAAGAGTCCTCTGCACCTTTGAGCCGTCAATGGTGTTTCCAGACTCATATATGAACACGCGGGCTCGAGTTACCCCTGCCAGGCAGTAAGTCCTAAGATTGGCCATGCAATATCACATGTCTCTAAATAGGCCCAGGAGATGGTATGAAGCTTTTGGCATGAGGCAGCGCGGACATGGGCAAGAACCCATGTCTTTGATGGTCGCTATTAGAACCCTGATATTTCTATTAGTATTTTGATCAGGAAAAGAAGGAGAGCTCACTTTTCCGGATAATCAGCTGAATACGTGAAGATTCGTGGAAACACCCTTCTCAATACACCATCTGGACACTGGAGGACGATTCCATGGCAATATGTGTTAAGGAACTCTGCATCCAGTAAGTGTTTCCAACACGACTGAAACAGATCCTGTCGACAATGAGCTTGAAGAGCCGCTATGCCACTTTTCGATATGCGAGGTAAGTTGCTGAGGGTGTCCTTGATACCATCTGGAAGCTACAAATTCAACATCAGGAAGATACATAAAGCGGGAGACTGATAGCTCACGGAAGGTAAGAATCCGACAAGATGGCAAGCACCAGATGTCGGCGCCGAGCGTGCATACTTGGTTAAATTGCCAAAATATAAGTACAAGGGCCAAGCCTTAGCCATTCCGAAGGTTGCAAGGTGCATTGCGTCAGAAAAGAACATAAGTCCAGCAATAACTTGTTCTAGTGAGCAGCCGGGTTCTTTGGGCTGACTCTGCAGGTTGTCCTGGGCTTCAAGCGACGAGTCAGAGGTATAGAGCTCATCAAATACCCGTTCCTGATGATCGTCCAGGGGGTCCTTCCACAGACGCTTAAAAGGGAGAAGATGGAATGCATTCACTTGAACGTCAGCGAATGCGGAATGGATCACCCCTACGAGTGGCCGATAATGAAATCCATGAATATTAAATGACCTGGACTCGTTTGTTGACTTTGTAGGTATGTTGAGAGTGATATCTGTCTCTTGCCAGTCATCTGGAAAAGTAGCAATCTCATTTCCTCCGCTAAGGTCCAAGGCACGTAAATTTCTCTTTACTGAGAATCCATCAAGGTCCTTGGGATTGAAGTCCTCCGCCTGAATAACGCCTTTGACGAGGCGCGATACTTCAGCCTCCGATTTGTGAATACTCCTGGAGTTCATCCAGGTCACGAGGCGGAAGATAGTCATGTTGGGGAAAGGATAGGGTGGTTCAGGAGGGAGATCAGACAAATGAGTACGGTGAGCGTCGTAAGTGGTCGGACAGGAATTAGCAAGTAGCGAAGAGGGAATGAGTTTGTCAGGCTCGAATGTGGGTCACCTAGGATACTGCCGACAGAGTCCCATCGCATTAAACGCCATTTGAAGGGAGTCGCGCAGGGTCAAAAACACTTTTTGAATTCTACCCTGCGGTTGATTTTGAGTTCCTATTAGAGGAGGCGGATTATTCTCACACGACTCCGAAGGATTGAGGTCTTCATCAGCAGGTAGAGCGTCCTCGAAATGTTTTGGGACTAGTCTGAGAGTGCGTCGCAAAGACTGTTGACCTGCGTGGACTGCTAGATAACCATGAGCACGAAGGCAACAGATATAGAACATTTAGAATGTTGCATACCTGGGATACGACAGTCTCATTCACCATCATGTTCCATTGCATCGTCCCAAACACTCGAGTCTTGGGGTGCAAAAGTCGGACTGTTAGGGCGAGCAGTATCAGGTGCGTTTCAACGAGTGTCCTAAACACCCTAGGTTCGCAATGAGCAATGGGTTTCAAACGGTGGTTCTTTGCAAGTTGGACCGGTCCGAGCTATGGATTGAAGGGTAGTAGTAGGTGAGTCAACTTATGACATTTTTGGGGCTGGTACTATGAAATGAGTAACTTACGCCACAAGTACTACTATTAGTCGTGTCCTTTGACGGCTTTTGTGACGCTTGCGTCGACTCTCTTGCCCAGTTCCGCCTCTTCTCTGTAGCTAAGGTGCTTGCCTTCTGGTAATACCTGCACCTCGAGCGATGTCTGCTGAGTCCGCGTGAATCAGTATCCTTCTCCCAAGAACAACGTGGTGCGCTACAGGACACCATGGAAAGGACGAGGATGAGGAACAGAATCCAAGAAGGTCGATGAAGGCGCATTCCACTTCCGATGTGGTTGGCTCACTGGCAGAAGCTGGATAGACAGACGATCATTAGTAATTTTCATGATACAACTAATAATCACATGTTCGCCTCACAAGGCATTGCCAGATTGGTACTGTAGTTTTGGTTCACAGCCCTTTATGCAAGATGTGCCAGAAAAAGTGTGGTTATTGAGGATACACGACTCGGAAACACAAGATGCACGAACTGGTAGGTACTTAATAGTGATGATACAGTAGTGGGCAGCAGGATCATATTCATACTACGATAACAAAAGCGGACTAAGCTCAGTTGGATACAAGGATGGGATGAGCAAATGAAAGAACACGAGAAACAATTCAGAACAGTGCGGAACAGAACTTCTTTCTTCAATCACTCCTATATTAAGTACTCCATACCATGGGCGGTACGTATTCCGGCATCAGACGGCTTGCGCTCTTGACTCTCTGTGCCCAAGCTTCTTCCTCGTGCTTCAGGAGCATTAAAAGGTGAGTGTACTGTCGCACTCGATACCGTGACGCAAGGTAGCTTGAATACACCGTATCGATACTGAATTTCGTGAACAAGCTATCTTGCTCGTCATCTTCGAGTTCTATTCCGTCGAGCATCATCTTGCACTAATTTAGTGCTCGTGGTAAGATAAAATAATAAAAAGATATCCATACCATGTATGACTGCTTCTCTCGTCTGAGCTCATCAGCTTGTATGTTCAGAAAATTCGAAGGCAATTCAATTGGGCCTCTCCAGACACTGTCGACAGAATAGGATGATAACGTAGGCGACGATGGCACCAGTGGGGATAACAATGATGACGACAATGGCATTCTGATGAAGTTCCTCGTGTAAGTTGAAAGTGTAGGACTTAATGCGGTACATATTTAATCCGATATTTAATCAGAGCAGAATTCGGTGTTTCAAAATGCCGATACCGACGAACATCATGTGACAAGTACTACACATTTTAAAATGTTCATTACTCCAAATTGCACAAATTAATTCTTTGACAGTTCGACAGTGTGACATTGAAAGTACAACATCTGCTAGTTTTTCTTTCGAAAATTGATATGTTGAGTCCGGCAGAGAGTTACCGCACAGAAAAGTGCATTTTCTCTAGAGTTTGTGCACTTTGTCACATGCCTGCCACAATGCCTTTTCACACTCCACACTCCACCCATTTGTACAGTGTGGTAGATTGTCACGTCTGGGGCACATTTCTTTTATTGTAGATGATCCTGACAAGCATATGGCCCCGAAGAAATTTGTTTTAGTATTCTCTCATCATGTACAACCATTGTACCATATTCCAGAATTTTATGTGGTGATCTGACCTTTAGAGCAAGCCTTATATGCACAAAACTAGCCTCCAGCATCGATAAGTTGCCTATATGCGCTAGCAGACACGCTCATTAAGTCACGTAGAACAATACTAGATTGTCATGTATCTACCTAGTGGACATGCTAGGCAATAGCATGGGTAACCTGCAGGTTTTTGGCAGGTTTTGAGTATCTAGGATGGTAGCCCTTCATTCTGTGACGAAAACAAAAAAGTTTATGCAAAATGGTCCAGGATTGGCTGAAATATTGCTAGTCCAACAATCAAGGCTAAATCTTCAAAGCTCATCCCTCCACACATCAATCTTTGCAGGGGGGTACTCATAATGTCAAAAAACTTGCAAATTCATGACATGCTTGCAAAGATTGATGTGTGGAGTGTTTTGAACAATGGGGGAAAGGTGTCTGCCGATGATGGCTTTCACTTGGGCGTCCTCCTTGACCCATTCCTTTATGGAAGCCAATTCTGTGGCGGTGGGCTGTCCTGGCATAGTGACTTTGGGTGTTACACTGGTGTATTCAGCTACATCATTGGGGTCAGTGCCATCACTACAGTGATTCCATAGTCTTTTCCCGGCTAAGGCTAATTCTACTGCCCTTCACCAGCTTGGATATACATCTGTGCCAGTCAGTTCTACGATGTGATTGTATTTACCCATTGTAGTGGATAAGCAAGTGAATCGGGGTGATTGTGGGTTCCAGCTGTTAGATGGACCTTCATGATTTGATGAGTGTTATCCACATGCATACAGATGTTGAGCTTGTCTAGAGCTTAGGGCTCATAACCTATACGTGCTAGTGGACACACTCAGTAAGTCATGTAGAACAATACTAGATTGTCATGTATCTACCTAGCAGACATGCTAGGGCACATCAGTAAGAATTGAGTGCAGAAACAAGAGTGTCTACACACCTCAGTAAGTCACGTAGAACAATACTGAGGTGTCATATGAACAGGACAAACTATATACCATAAGAAGTGAGATTAGGTAAGAGACCAGGGAAACAATGTGCGGAGAGGATTCATGTGGTGAAGAAGCAAGAAGCTGTCAAGATAAGGTGTTGCAACTTGCATGCGATGTTGATGCTGATGATGTCAAGAAGGTAATACAATATCTAAAGGTAAAAGTCAAAACGTTAACATTGCCCACATGTCCTGTTGTACAATCTACTGGTAATCTCAGGACCTTATGCTCCAACCTTACAAAGCTGCGAGAAGATCACATTGTTTAAGAGCGAGCAGCTTCAGTGTCAAATTGGTGAGCAAGTTGTGGTATGTCTCAATTCAAACAGATTTTACCAAACAAAAAATAGCAGCATAATGCCACTGTACATCAGCTTCTTGCTGAGGCAGCACTTGAGGAAGGTACCACAAATGCAGACACTCACTATTTCAGAGATTTCAACATGGATAGTGACCGGGACAACATTGAGAAAGAGGACAAGCATGAGGAGGAAGGAGATCAGGAGGAATCAGAAGTAGGCAAGAGCATGTGTTGGGGTAACCCGTGCAGGTGGCAGGTGCGGGTACCCTTCGGGTATGGGTGCGGGTCTGCCATTGGGCTACCCACACCCTCACCCGCACCCTCGCTCGGGTTCTACCATCAAAACATTGTATATTAGTACCTGATCGAGAACTCCGCTGCATGTATAGTACCTACACCAAATTGAAACCTTAACAAAGCCACAATATTATTTTCATCCAAGTTTTACCTGCCCTACTTAAAAACTAGCCATGCACCCAAACATATTCATGGCCACTGCAAAACATGTCATGAAGCTAACAGACAAGGCTAAGGCAGCAATCGAAGACAGGCTCGAAGCTGTTGGCCCATCCAAGAAGCGGAAGGCAGATCCCAAGAGTGCGAGTGTCGCCTTGAACCACCTGAAGAAGACAAAACAAAACCCTCCCACTGGTACACCCAAAGATTCACTGAGCTCCAAGGATTTGACATCTCCACCCAACATGGGAACAGCCCCAGAACCTGGCAAGAGTTGTCATGCTGTTGTTTGGACTGAGGAAGAGGAAGCAGCACTGTATGATGACGACATTGTTGCTGATGAGAGTGAACACAACGAGTTACACAACCCAAGTCCGAGTCCGAGTCCAGCTCCAGAGAGTGCTGAGGACAAGCAAAGTATGATTCTATTATACAAAAAACACTACTAATTAGCTGCACGACAGAACAGCTCATGAAGGAATGGGTATCACCTGTTTATGCATTTTTTGAGCCCGCCCCCCGCATTGTCGAGCTTGATGGATGGTGTGCACATGAGTTCAAATGCTGTGCAGGAGGATGCAAAGCCACGATTCACTGATTCCTTGACAGAAAGGATGCAAGGTCCACTGGCAACATGTGAAAGCATGTTAAATCTTGCCGGGGTGACGAAGTCTTGCAAGCAGCCGATCAAGCAAAGAATGCTGCTGAGGTTCGGGTGAAGGTCATTGGTGGAATCCTACGAAATGGTTCAATTATGGTGTCATTCGAGAGAAAGGGAAAGGGAACAGTGATGTACTTGCATCGACAGCACACCCGGAATGAGACAAAGTATGATAACAGTATTTTCAATATTTTTGATGGCTGATACAGTAGTATTCAGGGCTGAATTCATTTGTTGGATCTCAGAAAGTTTGCGTCCATATGAAATTGTGCAGGACAGGGGATTTCAGTCACTCATGAAGATGGGTAGGCCTGAATATTACATACCGTCGAAGTCGACTGTCTCAAGGGATGTGTGACTCATTTTTGCATGAACGCGCCAGCGAATTGCTAGGATGATAAAGGTTAGTTTGATTAGTATTGTCTGGACATGAATTGAAACAAAAAAAAATATGTACTAGGGATATGCTGGTAAACTGAACTTCTCGACAGATGCTTGGACGTCCCCCAACCATTGTGCCTTTGTTGCTTTGTTGGTCCACTTAGAACATAACAGCATGGCACTAAGCTTTCTGTTAGATGTTGTTGAAGTAGCTAAGGTACAAAAATCACTCACATAAACCAAAGATGATGCATTGCTGATATTATAATAGTCGCATACCGGGGAGGAGCTCACACATGCATTTGAAGGTATCCTTGAAGAGTTTGGAATAACAGACAAAGTGAGCTCTCAGCTGACAATTTCATACAAAGAAATTCGACTTACCAATAACACGAAGGTCCTCTGCATCACATGCAATAATGCGTCCAACAACAATAGGATGATTGACGAGCTCGCTATGGAGCTCCTGAATTTTGGTGGATGTGCGGGTCACACCCGATGCTTCCTCCATACCGTGAATTCGGTTGCGAAATCTATTCTCCGTGAGTTTGATGTGAAACAGGTCAAAAATGGTGACATGATTGAATATGGTTCGGACGATGATGCAAGTGATATCGGAGACATGGGGGACAAGGGTGATGCTGCTGATCCCAGTGATATTGATATTGATTCTGGTGAAAATGACGAAAATATCGATGACGATGATGATGGGTTGATTGACGTTGCTGCGATACTGAATGTTGATGAGCGAAAAGAGCTGCAGGGTAGCATCCCAACTACTCATTCTCACCTTTCTTGACAACCTCCCAGCCACTAAAGAATGACACTTCCATCTGTTCTGTGACAACCAGGGTGTTGTTAATGCCTGGCACAATGGATGGAGTCGTAACTGGGAAACCAACAGGGTTTTTCGCAGAATCCACAAGTGGCTTGCAGAATACAATGGTTGTGTCTCCTTCCATCTCTGATATGTGGCAAGCCGGTACAACCCAGCTGATGTCCCCTCGCAGGGGCTCTTTCCATCCTCCAGGCTTCTTCTGCCCCCCATCACCTTGCCTCACGAGCTCTCTACATTGCTTGTCGACACTGATATCTCCAGTAGCATCTCCTCACAAGCCACTGCAGTTGCACACTATAGCTCTGATGCCTTGGTTGAAGAAAAACAAGATTGGGATTGGGGAGGAGAGCTCATCAAGTATCACAACAGCTGGAGAGGATAAAAATTCCTGTTTTGACTCCACTACAATATTATCTTTCCCTTCTAGCCCGAGCATGCCTTGTGCTTATCATCACTCACTGACTCCTTGACCCTCCATCTTAAGACCACATTGCCTTGCGTGAGACCAGCTGCACCTGTGGTCACCAATAACCAGCCGATCTTGTACAGACCACTCAGGCTCCCCCATTGCTCTCTCTGACTCTAATATCGACCACATATTCACTGTACTCACTCACTCACATGCCATAAACACTCGTGAATGCTACAGCTCTGGGTTGCTAGTCTTCCATGTCTTTTGTGACTCCCACAACATCCTGGAAGAACAACGCTGCCCCGAGTCATCTGTCTTGCTACTAGCCTTTGTAGCTAGCTGTGTGGGCTTATACTCTGGGAGCACCCTGGAGAACTATTTCTATGGTATTCGTGTGTAGCACTTACTCCATGGGTTACCGTGGCTCCCTGATCAAGCTCAAGTCACTCTCGCATTAGAGGGAGCAAAATGTTCTCCATTCACCGTTAAACTCTTAATCAACCTACGCGCTGTGCTTGATCTTTCCATGCCACTTCACACTGCTGTCGATGCTTGCCTCACGACATCCTTCTACACCGTTGTGAGGACAGGGGAGTTCACAGTCTCATCTCTTTCTTCCTTCAACCCACTCCATCACATTAAAGTGTCCAACTTACGCTACAAAACTGACCGCAATGGCTTCGAAGTAGCTACCTTTCACCTGCCGTGAACAAAAACTGCCTACCATGGGGAAGATGTATATTGGGCTGCACAATTGGGACCCACAGATCCCCACATAGCCCTATAGAATTATTTTCACATCAATGCACCTGAGGAATCTGCCACCCTGTTCAGTTGGCATCACCATACCAGAATGCAGGTCTTGATGAAATCTGTGTTCCTCAAGTGCCTGCAGGATGCCAGAAAAAGATTGGGTAGAGATGATCTAAAAGGCCATGGGATTCAGATTAGGGAAACATTAGAATATCTTTTGCAGGGGGTCCCTTTCGAGAGTGTCAAGGTGATGGGCCGCTGGAACAGTGACACATTTGTACTGGATCTGCGGAAACACGTTGTGGTACTTGCTCCATACTTACAGGACAATCCTGTCCTCGAACCTTTCATGTGTTATGCATTGCCCACTTGATTGCATCAGGAAATCATTGAGCAACAGCTGTGCTGATCCAAGTCGTTGGCCACCATTTGCAGTTGGTGAGTGTGTCGATCCTCACTTGAGCAACAGCCATGCTGATCAAAGTCGTTGGTCACTGTTTGCAGTATGTGAGTGTGTCGACGTCACCCACCGTTTGCAGGACATGAGTGTGCTAATCCTTTCCTGCCGTTTGCAGCCTGTGAGTGTGTCGATCCTGCTTCAAGCTCAGGCCATGCTGATCCACATTGTGTCCCACCATTCACAGGATGCGAGTATGTCAATCCGGCTTCAAGCTTGAGCCATGCTGATCCAAGTCATTTCCTGCCATTTGCAGGATGTGAGTGTGTCGATCCCACTTCGAGCAACAGCCATACTGATCAAAGTCATTGGTCACTGTTTGCAGTATGTGAGTGTGTCGATCTAGCTTCAAGCTTGAGCCATGCTGATCAAAGTCGTTGGCAATCGTTCGCAGTATGTGAGTGTGTCAATCCTCGTTCGAGCTCAAGATTTTCTCATTGATGCTATTATCTATATATTTGACAGGGTTTGATTTGGCTACTTAGTACATGCGCACTTGTTCCCCCCCCTTCCTCTTGAATCATTAATCGCATATTGGTTCCTGCTCCCACTATAGTCGTTTGTTTTCAGACATGTTTTTTTAATCGTTTTTTGGAGATTTTCATAGGACGCCTTGAACTCATGTATTTACCTTAGTGTACTTAGTCTACATCTCAAAATAACAGTATTTTTTGATCTCCTTATCTGCCTTAGTTTAAGGGAAAGTTCCTTATTTTAAGGAGAGCGCCTTATTTTAAGGAAATGGATTTATTCTCATCAGCAAAAAGGTCAAGTACCATTTGCACCCACTCACACTATATAGCGCTACATGGCCCCAGTTGCACAATATAGCATATGACTAAGGTACATATCACTACGTAGCTCCCTGTATCATCTACATAGCATCCTGTATCATATGCGCTCACAATCATAGCAATATAGCTGAAAATACAATTGCAACAAAAAATGCTCATGAGAGGCGCTCAAATAATTCTAGGTCAATATACTTGTTCAGATAAAACTGTTTTGGCTCATCGACGACTCCCTCACGACTGAAACATGGAATTAGGTGGCACGGACGAAGCAGTAGATCAGCCGGCAGAACTACAGCATTTGGTTGGTGCTGGCGTGACGATCTAACCAGCCGGAAGGTTTGTAAATCGCTATCGAAAGTCTGTAGCGGCCGAAACCAATGAATATAAAGGAGGGGGTGCGGGAATGTACCAAAACACAAAGGAAGGGTAAATATGGCCTTGATCTCTCCAACACGAAGCCCTCACTCCAGTCAGAAAATTATGGGCAACATAAAACAAGATTACTCACCTGATATCCCCTTGCCATTGTATAAAGCTCTTTCTTTGATGAACAGCGCAGTGTTAAATCTTGCTGGTACCGGCGGCTTCTTGGGTCTTTGGATTTGGAGTTACTGACATGGGGGTGAGCTGGTAAGAGGACCGTTATATATTTGTAGACATCAATGCATTCTTGCAGATTCAGATTTCCGTGTGATTGGATGGTCGGGGCGTGCTCGCGGATAAACGATTCGAGAGCAGGGATAAATAGTGAGGCACCATGGTGGTCAATCAAGTGTTGAATTGGCATATTGGGAAAATGGCAAGTTTTTGGGAGATAGTAGCCACGTGTGGCCGTCAGCATGGTGAAGCAGTGTATCTGACGAGGCATGTCATTAAACAGCTCTGGGGCGCCAGGGTCACTAGGAGAGTCAGAGTCCAAGTTGCTGATAGCTGAATCATGTTCACTGGCAGCTGAATCCTCATCAGCAGCACATTGGGATGCCCACCACTGCAAGTATGCGTCTTGAATTTGCAGAGATTCTTGCCGTCACAACCAGGTGGTCATTTGTATGACATAATCGTGTCGGTTACTTGCACGGTAAGCTCGTTTGGCAAAATCAATGTGAAGTCGCTCTGGAAGCTCAGTATTGAATCCATCTGCGCTCCCAAACAAATGAATAGACTCGGCATAGTGAATCATTGAATGAATCTTCAGGATGTTAAAGTGTTCCCGCACTCCAAGCTCGATGAACACGTTGTAGAGACTCATGCCTCTCATGGTGTGATATGGCACTTTCCACTAGGGAGTTCATTGCACGAACTTGCAGCACCATTCTGTGTGCTATCTGCAGCTATCCCTATATGAGGCGCAGCTTTCCCGCGCAACGCGCACCATGCGCGCACCATTCCCGCGCTTTACGATGTATACGCGCGCGCGCTTTCCCGCGCTTGATCGCCCTATAGCGCCAGCCTTCCAGAAGCATCCATCCACTGTCCACCAAGCTCTCTAGTGCGTGTATTTCCATTTCCCTTATTTACATATCATTCCACCTTTATTTTGGACCCTTACTTAAATATAGCTTTACATACCTTACTCGGTAGCACTTCGGCTCCGCGTGACAGCGCTTAGGCGCCGTATATAAGCGCCAGCATTACATACTATTAGGAATTTTCAAACCTTGCACTCTACCTCCCACTTACCCACTTACTACCTAGCAGAGTATAGTTGCAATCTATTCCTTGGTACCTTGCACTCGCATCTCTTGTCTCGCATCATATCACCACTTAAGCAAACTCACACTTACTCTCACTTGTTTCTGCTCACGCGCGCGCGCGCTTCCCGCGCCTCGCGCGCACCTGCGCGCTTTCTCACGCTTCGCATCAGCCAACCAGTAGCGCCTTCGGCGCGCACTACTAGATCCTTGCTGCACTCGCTTCCCCTTTAGGGTCGAACGCACTTGTCGTCTCAAGTATAGCAGACTAGGCAATGCGCGACCTTACAACATTTACAGATACAGTCAGGAGCTTTGTTTGTTCCTCTCTGTATTGTTGTTTCTACAACGTCCTTGTTGGCATGGAATGAGGTGAGTGCGGCTTGCATGTGGCTCAGCGTCTTCTCTGTGTGTGACTGGAACTGGGCGTAGTAAACAAAGTCCAACACAGCGTGCACCGCGGCAATCACCCTATTCTCAACTCCTCCGGCAATCACACCAAGGAATACACGTTGCAGTTCCCTATAGTCGGCTCCGGTCCATTGTTTTCATTTTGATATGCCCTTCTGAAAGTGACGCAGGCCTGGGTATGATGTCATTGACTTGAACCATACATCGAGTGCGTCCTTTCCAATGATGTCCGTGCACCAACTAACGATGTGATCTTTGAAGACACCCTTGTGCAACTGGTGTAGGATGTCGGGAGTCATACATTAAAATATGTCATTGTGCAGGAGAGTGGCCCAGAAAGGTGCATGTATTGCTCGTAGACCTAGCTCACTCTCAAATATTTCCCCACTCAGCTCGCCCCAAGAGTGCAGCCACAAGTTTTCGATTGTCGAATCTCATTTGCGGGGTGCAGATGGTCTCATATCTCCACAGTGGTCACGTCCAACAGTGCATTTCGGACACCGATTCTCCATGCAGCATGCTACCAGACACTGCTCTGGAAAGTCGGCAATATATGCAGCTACTATGGGGTGCATCCGCCTGACTTGTTGATCAGGGCAAGTCATATCAACTCCATCCTGCCCAGCACTAACTAGCAGCTCCAGCACCTGTGTCATGCAGTAGTGGAATAGGCGGTAACGTTCAGCTGAACGGGTGTCTCGTGTGAAGCACTCCAGCTTCGAGATAGGCAGGTAAGCAATTAGGATAGCTGCGTGTTTTGATGGCTGACATCAGATCTCTTTGGAGATGTTTCCAAGTGTCAGGTAGACAGGCCATACTTCCTGATCGCCGCAAAACTGCGACAGCGATGTTTTATCTGAGGCGAGGATCACTGGTGCAACCACAGCACCTTCTGGCAACCTTCCCTGTCAGAATGTATTTAGTACATCAATTTATAGCTATAGTAGTTGTGCAACAATCTGACCTGCATCTCCCACCACCAATCACCAGTCCACATCTCATCAAACCATCGTGTCTTGCCTTCCTCGTCTGCAAAAACTCTCTCTGGTGCGTATGATACCATGTTTTTGAATTGTGGGTTACCCATCAGCTCTCTAATGCAGTCTACAGGGTCCCGTAACCACAGTTCAAGCTCCTCCTTTTCATGCTGACCACCATTGGTGACCACATTCCCCTCGACAGTGATTTTCTTCAACTTCCATTTGGTCCCTTGTGGAAGCCGATCCATGGCTTTCATTAAGGTATATTTGCTAGTAAACGAAGTGTTCATATGGCTAGCCTGTTCATGTCCATGTGTAAGTCTCTCTTAGTTGTTGTTTCAAAATTGAGAGCTCACAATGGGTAGTTTCAAGAACTCATCAATGGCCGTCTGACCCACCCTCGCAATCAACCATTTCACCAAATGCCATTCCTCCTCATTTGCAAAGGGCGCCCACGGATCTAGCCCCAGAGCCTCTTGTTCAGCTCTGATGGTGCGGAACATGTTCTCAGCTTCGCCCAGTGTCTTTGCAACTTGACCTGGGTATGACTGAATATAACGCATCCACACATCGTGTTCGTCTTCCACCTCTTCAACATAAGGCTGCTGTTCCCTCCATGGAGCATCAATCAGGGATTCCGCCACACCATCAAAACTCCCCTCATAATCCGGCACCACATCTTCTTCAGCTGGTGAGTGACCTTGTTGTTTGCTGCTGGTATGCCTCCGGAATGACTCCATGTGTTGCCTGCATCCTGGAATATTGGCAATATGAATGCTAACTGCTCATGTAGATTTGAAGTTTGCCTTGAGGCAGAAATTGCAGCGGTGCGTACATTCCCGAAAAATCTGATTATCACATCTTTCAGCTGATTTCGCTCATGTCTCAGAATTATTATCATGGTGGTCCGTGCAGATCATCATCGCAAATTTTTGTATGGTGTGACTCCTGCTTGTGACTGTGCGCGACCGTGTTGTTGATTCACAACTGCGTCGCGTCAGTCTGTTGATTTGTTTTCTGTTGTTAGCTGGTGTGTTGATCTGCCCTCTGGATTCACATAAAAGGTGAGTCCCTCCTGATAACCTCATCTGCCATTTTTTAATCATCTTATCATCTTAATCTGGCCATCTGTTTGACTTGCTAATCAATCATGCCTCCTACAGGAATAGCTCAACAGCGCTGTGAACGCCGTCCTTCAGAGAGAGCATTGTACCAAGGTATGTGTTACAGTTCAAATTTCATCTGTAATCTGACTCACAATACATTAAGTCGAGGAACAGCAAGAGCATGATGGTCGCCAACAGGGCCTCTTGCAGAAAACCAAGACATCATGCAAGAATCGGGAGCCACACAGCAGTGATGGAAGTCAGGTATGTTGATCCGTCAGTCTACTAGCTACTCTCACCGGCTTGTAGTTTACAATTGAAGATGTGCCGCTTGCAAGTGCGACAGTCAATCCACTCAGTTTGAAGCCTCGGTTCACCAAGGTCCCACCACAACCTACCCCCACTTCACAAAGACCGTCTGGTGGCTGGAGTAAGGATACTCTTACCCAGGTGATGTCAAAAATGATATAAATGTTGCCCTGAACTGATGAGGAGTCACTTAAGGACTCTGGTTTCATCAACAGTCACATGAGAAAGTCTCAGGCTGTCGGCAGCCTTTGTAATGAGCATAGGCAGGGACATGTGAATACTGTGAGTCACTAAGTTATTGAACATTGTGTATCTACTCATTTTTGTCAAGATGCCAATGGGTGCTCGCAAGCTCACAGCTGCACGGGCAAAAGAGCTAATGATGCTCCGCAACAATAACCTGAGCGACAATGAGCAGGAGGAGCACTATGGCGACAGAGACTTCATTGATACTCGAGATGCTGATGTCAATGACTTCACAGATGAGACTACATACATGGACCAGAATGTCTCTGATGATGAGTGTAGGTACTGTTCGGTCACTTGAATAGCCACTGAATATTTTCACAGACTCTCACAAGGATGCAGGCCACTATCTGTCATCTTCCAACAATGAGTGTGATATGCCACTCAACCACAAACAGAAATGCAATTCCGAAGACCTATCTGAGGATTCACCTTCCCCACAGCACCATGACCAGTGGCTCCCATGCAAGATATGCAAGAGCAAAGGGCGTGTGGCAGCTCGTGATTACAAAGTTGCAGTCCAGCAACTTATCAAGTTCGCGATTGGAGACTTTCGTGGACGGCTTGCATCTGAGCATGCATATCCAGATCGCATGACTCAAGTATCATGGGAAAAAGAAGCTTGGAAGGAGGCCTATGTCTCTCTTGACGTTGAGATAGGATTCAATGGCGAGATCATCCAGATGGTATTTAATTTAAATTTGTCTGTGTTATTCATGTTGCCTAATCTTTTGTTCGAGATTACCCATCGCACGTCGCATCTCACAAGTGAGGTGAAAGCCAAGCTTCGACCTCTTGTGGAGAGCATTTACGGGTTTGACTGCAGCACCAGGGAATCTGTCAAGGCTAAGAATCGCCAACTCGTATGTGACCTCAAGGATAAGTTTGGACTATGTTACCGTGTGAGTAGACTATGTCCAGCATCCTGTCGCATACTTACATTAGTTTTGAAGGACCTTGGAGACAGAAAGAGCAAGACCCCTCGCAGTGGCCTCTTTTGAACGAGGTTGAATCAAAAGGGTGCTAATTTGATCTGGTACCAGAACAAGAGGGACGAAGGGATCATGTTTGATAAGTATTTCAGTCCATTTCCCATTCCTGCACTGGCCTTGTTATATACTGCGGTGAGTCATGCAGGTTCACTGGTATATTTATATGTTAACATGATTTGCTGCAGGCAGAATGTTGTATCGACGAATGGGCTGATGGCGAGCGGACTGATATCAGTTTTTCAGGTGGCGAGTACAAAGAGGTATATGATAAGCATGTTGCCAATCTTAAGAAGTTTGATGCGCGAACAAAAGAACATGGGATCCTCAACGCTATCCTCAAGGAAATCAACAATACTGGCAGGTAAGTCTCTTGCGATCATTTAGTCTTCACACATCTCAAACATTACAGAAAACATGCTAAAGTGGATCCGATTGAGGTTGTACATGGGGACTACCTATCTGATCATGAGATTGAGCACGCAGTTCAGGAATATATGCAGGGAGGCAATGACAGGAACGAGAGTGATGCCACGGAGGAGTCTGATGGTGACAACGAAGGCAAGCATGAGTAGGATAACTGTTTATTTGTTTAAATTGTGCTAGTAAATGGACTGCATTGCTCCCATTTGTTCAAGGGCCGCCTGTGCTATGATTTTGGCTGCATGGTATGTTATACTATGGAGTGATATAGAGTACTACATAGCATGGCTCTATAGTTGAGGTGCAAGGTACAGGATGCAATATCACACAAAAAATCAGATGACCTGAGGTATGTAGCGCTATGTAGGGGGGGGTTGCAACCAAGCTATGGACGCCCTGTAGCATCCATAGTGCTATGTTGCACCTCACATTTTTGCTGATGCTCCTTATTTTCAAGTGACCTTATCATGCGAATTAAGGAGAATAAGGAGCAAATAAGGAAAATAAGGAACAAATAAGGAACTCAGTGATTTCCTGATGTGGTAAGTGTCCACGAAACTCCTTACATTTGGGGCCAAGCTCACACTCAATGTGTTGTGTATCACTCCTTACTACAGGGTATCTCAGCTTAGTAGTTTGACCCTATAGTGGGAGGTTTCAAAATCGTGCTTCGGTCTAAAGCCCAAAGGCTTTCCCAAAAATACTATACCTTTGTTCCTGTTGTAGTCATACATCGTTTGCGTTGATTACTAATCAATAAAATTTTGCGTCTGAAAGTTCAAGCAATTCCCAGACTTTCTGGAAATTTGCGTGTTGTAAATATAGCGGCGATTGAAACCCTGAGGCCTGCCGAGGCTGGACCTTGGTAGCATCCACTAACATAATCATAGGAGGTCCACAGGTTTTTGATACTTAAGTTAATTCTCATATTTACCCTCGATCCCTTACTAGCCATCCTGTATTGGCCGCACTCTCACTGGTACCTCATGTGTACCTCCAACCTCATTACCAATCATGGTAGCCTGAGGCTAATGATCCAGCGACTCGAACAGCCTGAAAGTTGCCGCCCATCTCCGAACCGTGCTCAAACCTTGCCTAGTCTGTTCAAGTTGTAGTAAAAGTCGGTGTTTTGTCTTATTCACTATTCACTAATCAAAGCACTCGCTCAATAGGTTTGGACTTGTGCCAGTGAGCCCTGTGCTTCAGATGAGGCTGCTATCATCACATCTCGGTACCACTCCAAACTCAAGGCAAGTTCACAGTTTAATGACTCAGAGTACCGTAGACTTGGCGTCGCTTATGCAGAGTCCCACACATCCCTTAGGTTTTTTTACTTCATCATGCTGCGCCCACGGGCAAATTGGGGTTTAACCTGAACTCAGGAAGATGGCGTTTGAACCCCGATCGCTGCCAGCCCATCGCAGATCTACTACTTCAGGGAAGTATGCCAGCATCTTACCGTGATCGTGACCACTTCAGCTGGACTACAGGTTGCTGTTCGGCACCTCAGCATCCCCGTCTGTGCTGGCCTAGACTTGTGCCTTGAGCAGGAGGCGTGAAAGAACGCTGCCAAGCTCCACTGAGCCCAGTAAGGTGAGGCTGATTCGGATCATTTTAAATTTTAACACACAGCTGCATATCGCCTCAATGATATTCATGCCATATTACAGAGTGTGTACTAATTCATATCATACTGCTACTAATGTTTAAATATCTTTCATCCTGCAGCTTTGGAATGGTGGTCGTGCTTACCGCATATTGTGAGTACTGACCCTGGACTAGCACTACTGCCCTTAGTGAGACTGCCTTCGCCCAAAGTAGGTCTTTTCACCATCGTTAACCCATCCTTGCAACCGTGACTCATCCAAACTTTTGAACAGTGTTATCTCACCAAGGCAGTGGTGACGACGGCAGAGACCAAGACGAGTATCCAAAAGATCTCACATTCATTGAAGTTGACATCGAACATGCGTCTCGCAGTGGCTCCAAAAGAAAATGTAGGAAATGCCAGCAATTCGTTATTGACCATGAAATGGCTTCTTTCCATCACTACATGGGGAGTGAGGATAATGGATCACTTGTCCACCCCCCATTGCCAGACCAATCATTGCAATCGCTACTGATGCCGTTGCCGTTGGTAGAGCTCTTCGCACGAACACCCCTACATTTCGAACTCCCACCACAGCCTCCTCCATCACCTCTAAGGTCTCTGCATCCGAGTTTGCTTGCCTTTGCATTGCCGGATCGAGAGGATGAGTTTGCAGCAGAGTTGGCAGAAAGGCTGGAGAGAGTTGTGGAGGAACTGAAAGATAGAGAGTGGGACTTGAACAATGCTGATATTTGGGAAGTCTGTACAAGTCTGCCTGACGAGTCCGAATCCGACTCGGATGATTAGTGTTACCATACCCGTAGTACTACCTCCAATTCAGTTTCAGTGTCATAGAGAAGCCTTCAGTGCTCAGCGATGACCTGTACTATTTGGAGTCTTCCCTGAGCTATCAGTGTCATAGGGAAGCCTGAGTCAGCGCTCAGTGGTGACCTGTACTATCCAGAGTCTTCTCTGACTCAACTAGTATCAAATTGATCAACAGCCTATGCCTCATTCGGCAATCCCAATTGTCATATAATACATAATAGACACTGCAAGTACTAGTAATTGAACACGGTGGGTCACCGTGATTGTGCCATCATGCAGAGCGATCATTACACTCATATTATCTGAGTTCCCACAATCCCACTTGGACTTGCTAACTCAAACTCTTCAAATCATTCAGAACAGATTCTCTTGCGCAGCCGCTGCCACGTAGATAGGCTCCCTAATTGCTAGTAGTACATGCCAGTGGTGCAGGCACGCTAGCGACATAATAACCCCAGCGCTTCTCCGCCGAGGACTCCGCACTTCCGAGTCTTCTTTAAAGAAGGTACTATGAACTTGTGCACTTGTGTCAGGGTGCTCGCTACCATAACATACTGCAATCATACTACCTCTCGTGAAGTCCTCACTTTAGTACTACTGCCAGTGCATCTTGGGATTTACCAGCATGCATCATGGCTTTAATGCTACTAGTACAAGTACATCATGATTAAGGGCTGCTAGTGGCGTCGATGCAAAATGTTTGGTAATCGGATCAGTTGGTTGGAAAATCCGAGTCATGGACTTGGATGTAGTCATGGTAACATTCAATACTCAATTTCAGGGATACTTCGACTTGTTTCAGAAAGCTCTGAGTCCAGATTTTCTTCATGAACTCACACGATACGATCATAGATCAGTCACTGCAACCAGAACACAGAAATCCACTGCATGTAGATGAATACTTAGTACTTCCAGCAGTGAAAATTTCCAGAAAGACTGCTGGTGCAACTTCCTCATGTACTAATAACAACTGAACCTGTTTTATGTGCTGTTGTAGAGTACTACTAGTACTCTTATTACTGTGAGTGCTCAGGTCACTGGCCCCATGGTGATTATTAATTGACGGTATTTGCCGTCCCTCCTGCCTGATGTGGAACCATTGTCATCACTTGTTATCTCTTCTGGTAGCTTCCACGTAAACTGGGGACCATCTAACCTCACAGTAACACAGGGAAGTTAAACCTGGTGCTCAGTGCTCAGTGTCAAACATCCATATACCACAAGTTCCAATCATGCCTGCCCTCGTAGCTCCAGCAGACAATAGCTCTTATTGCACTCCTGTTATTCCTAGCCCAGGTAGGCGCCATCAAATAAAGGGCTTCGTCGATGTACAAGCATCCAGGTCGCCTGCACTGAAACTCATCCCCAATAAATCAATGGCATCAAAATTACTACCGCCAAGCAAGATTTCCAAAAAGCCATCAGTCAAAACCCCTCTCCCTGTGGAAGAACAGGCGCAAGGGGAGAAACCGTTCAAAGTTGCCCTTGATGCTGTAGCAGATACAGTCATGGTGCAATGTCCGTTCCAAGGACAAGTTTTCACCTCCAGTACGTGTGACTAGAAGTAGACGCTTTGTCACGTTCTGATTGACCTTTGTGATCGAAGGGGTGGAGGACATCTTGAGGTATCAGCCGACTGCGGAGAAAAGTCGTCAGGCAAGTCCTTGAGTCAACGATTCAGTGCCACATTGCTTACCAAATATTGCAGGAATTCCGTGGTGTGGGAGTAGAAGACTTTAAATCGATAGAACGTGTTGTAGGGGAGTCGGGCCGATTAGTTATGAAACCCAGGTGAGCTTATCACAATCTAACCCATTTTGAGTAGTGCTTGATTCGTCCAAGGCTTACTTATGACTATAACAAACTCACACTCAGCATCGACATGCCTACTGCTATCCACGAAGAGCTGTTCGATTGTCTTAAGGAACACCTGACTTTGGCCATCGCCAATATGCCTTACAATTGCAGGGCAATCTGTCCTAGAATCCATATGAATTACTCTCTTGAAGTCCCCAGCAAATCCGTCACATCGGATATGGCTATATCTGGGCTTGGGGAGTGCGCGTTTTCGGAGGATAGGGAGCACGTCTTTGACAAGATGGAGACAGAAATCGAAGCTCATCCAGAGGTCGACTTCGCAGTCATCGTCTTGATACACGAGTCTGCATCGTTCGCGTCTCCTCTTCCCAATTCTACTGCATCCAATATCCTGCCCACTGGAGATGCTGCCGCCGATCTTCAACCTCTCTACATGAAATCCTTCATTCTACAGAGATCTACCCCGCGCCAGTTCGATCAGCCGCTCACGGTCGCTGATCATAACTGGTGTCAGGTGGGCTCCGTACAATATTTCGTTTGGATCAAAGGAGCTAACGGCGCCCCCATCAATGTTCACGATAACAACCCCCTGCTAATGGTGCGTGGCATAAGTTTGTATATCATATCTATCTGCTGCTTTTTCACTCATTTAACTTCACACAGACGTTGGCACCCACAGTAAACATGGGTGCCGTCACTGCCATGCTGGAGACAGGGCTGCGCCGGATGAGGGACTCTATGGTCAGCCTGACGCTGGAGATCGATAATGACGCGGATTGCTCTGCACTGCAAGCTGCCAACCCCACACTACCAATTGAGTGGGATCTCGGCATGTCAGGGATCTTGAGCGCGATAGACACCACCGCCTACCAACGTTATCTCAGCTGGAGTGTAGGTGTTAAACGCCCCAACGACTCCTTGTATACCCCATCCGACAGGGATGACACTCAACAACCACTGGCGACTCGCCCTCACACACGCTCCATGGCACGCAAGGTTGCGAGTACCTCCCAGCCTTCTCCTCGCAAGGCGAAGTCCAGAGGCAGAAGTGTTGGCAAGCCGCGTAGAAAGGCAGGCGCCGCTTCCGGAAGCACTCGTTAAGATACGTGTTGATCATTGTTGAAAAGGGTTTTAGTACGTATGATTTTGTTTTTCTGACTATACTATGCAACATTTTGTGATTGAATCGTCTGTAGCATAATCATGTATGATACTTCCGCAGTCTCGGCTTCTTCGTGAACACTGGTTTACTCACTCACGATAAATGTAGTTGTACTAGTACTAGATGTCACGGTTACCTCCATTTTCATTAGGCTTATTCAAATTCGCATCCAGGCTGGCTTTCCATACGTTCGTTAGAAATATTGTGACTGAGCTCAGTCTGGGCATTGTCACATTGCCCAAAAACATTATCCAGAACCTTGTCTTGTTGGCCTTATGTGAAATATCAGGTCGGTCTAGGAGCATATCATTATAGACGGGATTACAAAGAGAAATTAGGAAAAAAGACTAATACATAATTTGTACAAAGTCCATTGCACTACAGTCTAAACTAGTTACCAGTGTCACCGTCAACTAAAAAAGGAACTGAGCGCTATTTACAAATGAAACTTTGAAATGGATGCCCTCTAACTTCGGATGAGGAAAGGGAGAGACGGTCTTCTCATATGAGCGGGTCATCTAGATCTAAGATTGAACGGGGAATAGGTTTTGGTTGCGTGCGGCCATGTACACCTTAGAACCACGACGTGCCAGGTGCTTCACAGTTGAGTAGCCGATACCTGCGCTACAAAGCAACTGTATGAATAAAATTTGGGTCATGAGTGACAGTGTGACACTCACTGCTTTCCGCCTGTACTAATAGGTATGACTTTACCAGACAAGTCTGGTAGGTCAGTGACTGGGTCGAATGACTGTGAGAAGAAACCCATGGTGCCGAGATATATCAAGCATAGTTAGCTGTTTATATACAGGCCTGGCGATTGGGATGATTAGATGCATTGGCCTACGACATGCTTTGGGCAAGCGCACCGTGACTGTGACCATGGGTGTAGTACTGGTCCTGAAGGCCTGACGGACTTTGAAAGCCAACGCATCGGGCCGGCAATTTTTTACATCGCCAGCATACCGTCAGCAACAAAGGGCACAACTCCAACCAACCATTCATCCCCCCAAAGCGTAACCGTGGGCGTCCAAAAGGTTCCAAGAACCAGCCTGGCACGAAAAATGTTGGATGGCCCTACAAAAATGGGTAATCAGCCCACGCTAGGAACACAAAGGATAAAGGTACATGTTTCATTCCCGCTTGTATGCCTCTGCTATAACAGTGTCCAACAACTCGTGTACCTAGATGCAATCACTAACCAGAGCGTCAGGATGCAAAGATAGATTGACCTAGCGTCATCCTCGCCTACATGGCAGATGTTCGAATCAAGTTCAGATCTGCCATGTACGTATCCCTCACACTATGATGAGCTGACCTCTCGTTGACCTCAAATATCAGCTGTCATTTTTCCTTCTGCCAACTCCATTAGCCCTTGCCTGATTTTATTAAACGCACCAGTCAACCCTCGAATCAGGCTGGATTTCTGCCCTAGTCAATGTCATGTTCACTCATGCACCGCCATTCGTTTTTTCGAAGTGAGTACTGCTTTTTTTCAGCATACTTCGAGCCTGAGCGCTTTTGGAGCCAACTTCAAGGTTACACGGTATGCTAGTTGTAGTACTAGTAGGCTTTCAAGTTCATCGACGCCAAATTTGGAGGGGTGCCACGACTCAAATTATAGTTGGACCCCCCATCACATCCTCATTGGGCACTGCCCTATATGTCCTCAACACTTAGCGAGGGAATATATATACCAACAGTTCCAAGGTGGGTTTTCTTGTCTGTCTTCTTCCTAGTTCTCTTCACCGTCCTTCATCGTTACCATCGCTCATTGTTAATCATCTTATCACTCATTGGTCTTTCTTTCTTTTAGCCTCGCCTTGCCTCCACGCCTCACTTTTATGACTGAGTCAGAGCTCGACAGTCGCCATCAGACCCATGCTCTCGCACTTGCAGACCAGTCTGGGGCAGTCCCTACCTCTGCAGAAGCAAGGTCCAAGCGTCGCATCGGCGCATTAGAAGAGGAACTAGAAATGATGAAGCAAGACAGAGGAACTAAGCAGAGGTTCGTCAGTTACTACTTTGCTTACTGTCAGTTGGTACATCTTTCTCATGGCTTTTCATAGAAAGATGACCTACTACGTTGCTTAAGGCAGGGCAATATGGCGCATGGTCGTTCTTTATACCAACTTGGATGATTTGATCGCCGAAAATGACCGCAGGTACGAGGAGCAAGAACTTGAACTTGACAGTACCGGAGAGTAGGTGATCTTTTTTTATTCCATAGCGCGTTTAACTCTGCCATTCAGACAGGATCGTTTGCAACGTGGCTATATCTTACTCGCACAAGTTTTGCCGTGGCTGCACGAGAAGTTCGCTGAACTCGACATTGATGACTGCAAAGACATGAAGAAAAAGGCGAGTGATTTCAATTATGAAGCTTTTCGCGCTGTACATTGACAACCTTATAGCTTAAAAGAGGAGCAGATGCCGCCCATGGCGACGACACCTCCACTCTCAAGGACCTAGTCGCTGCCTGGCTCAATGAAGGCTTTCACCCATCTCGTTTACTCAGTTCTGACGACAAGCAGTCACGCGGCTTCATACATGACGTTTGTGGGAAGCTGCTTTGCCCTGCTGAATGGGACTGGGGTAATGACAAGTGAGTAATAGACTTCTTCGACTATTACACGACACTGATCCTGAGGTAGGGTGAAGGCTGGCATTCGTGACAGAATGTCAGACTATATCGTGTCGGAAAATTCTTGGCCGCTCTTTTTGTATGACAGCTACAAAGTTAATGCTGACAACCTCGAGCAAGGCCTCTTTAAATCCAAAATTTTAGTTCAGGTCAGTAATCCCACTGTCTTAGCATATAGTCATACTCATCGCTATGAATGCAGGCTTTCAAAGCCATATTTACATCTCCATCTTCCGCAAAGGAAGCTGATGGAGATGGCAATGGAGCTGACGTCCTAGAGAATCACCAGCGTGCCCGATGACAATTAACCCACGTCAAGGTCAAAACCTGTGTGGCCTCTATCATCGGCATGCGTAAAGTCACCCCTCGCTCCCTAGCATATATAGTCTGTCAGGTAGGTAAGCTTGAATAGCTGCAGCCCACGGCTCACATATATTGTTACAGGTTTGCTTCGCCCTGTCCAGCGTCTCATCTTGGCGTACAGTGGATGGCAACTTTGACTACGAAGCATTCTGGAATAATGTGGTGGACTTTTTTGAGGACGTCCCTGGCCCCGTCACCCAACGTAGGGTGAACGACCTTCTTGAATGGTGGACTAGGTATGGACTGTGTTCTAGCCTATAGTTCATATGTCTGATGTTTGCTGTATAGGAAAGTTTTTGGAAAAAGCCATCGCGAGGACCTGACGCCAGAAGTGGTATCCCGGATATCTGTTACAGCACTTGCTGAGCAGAGGAAGGTGCTGGAGGATGCCGCATTCGACTCAGACTAACTAGACGTTTCATTACCTTCCATCACACTTATGCTTTACCGATCACTGATGGTCAATAGGGACTGTTCAATTTAATGCACAATTGATTTCAGTGGTAGCCGTGTAGATATTGTTTAATATAACGCCTACTGTAAAATTCATTTTTCTTGTTAATCCGGCCATATCTGGGTAACACCCTGAATGTAACCAATTGTGTTCACGAGTGCCATGAGAGAAATTATATTTCATAGCTGCAGCGAGAAAGACAGGTTGCCTGTGTGCGGCATCCATAGCGAAATTTTGTCGAAACAATATGTCTGTGGAGGGGGAAGTCATCCCCAGTCTTGGACCAATGAGTATTGACTGACAGGGTCCGACGTGAGCGGTACATTTGATATAAGATAAAACGGTTATGCCATCCCAGATTCGTTGGATCTTAAGTGCCTTGTGGAGCGAAGGAATAATTGTTGCACTCACTGTTTGTCTTCGCGAAACCTGACGAGGATCGATCAATGGGCTCTGCAAAGGCAATTTTAGAACCACGGCACTCAACCTTCGCTGCTTCCAGCTATTACTGGCAGAAGGCTTTTTCTGTCACATCTGGAACACAGTAATAAGTTGGCACCTAAGGGCTTTGAGCTCATATCTGTCAAGTGTCTTTCTTCTGCAATATGTTCGACCATTGATCAGACACCGTGAACCTTGAATTGTTTACCAACCTTAGCAAAAGAACTGTATCTGTTCATCCCTAGAGTTTTATTCAACGATTGTCGTATTGGTTGAGAGTTATTTCCTATGCAAATGCCTGCCACAGCGCCCCAACTCACCTTTTGCATTGGAGCTTTGCCTTGCCTGACATTTACGAGCGGATAGAGCAGGGTGGCAATATTGTTTCCAACACGGCATTTCACCAATATCTGGCTCAATTTGGCACTCCAGTCCAACAGTTGACAAGTATTTAACCACCCCATGACCACGTGAATCGGATATCACAGGCAACATCATCTACCACTTGAGGCATCGTAAGTTGGATGCAATCTCGAAAGTAGTCTCGGAAACAAACAGTGGGCCAATCGCTTTGACAATGGTATCAATATAAAGTGGTAGCAGTGCTTTGTGTGAAGGATGTGATCGATGTCTTTGTTACCCTAGGCAAGTGTCTCCCAGGTAGGAATCAAATGCCTTATGTGCAACAAAGTAAACAGGCTGTTGAATTTAAACTCGCATCTTCTCATCACACAGTTAAACGTCAAGGACATAAATTTACAACCAGCATGAAGAGTTTCCAGCTTTTAGCATTCGTCATCTTATCTTTGTTACGACTTGGATAGGTCGAGCCTTCTCTAGTTGGAATGACTAATCGTCTAGCGGTCTCGTGTAGACAGAAGGACGGGTTCTAAGCTCGATCGAAGGTCAAGGTATCCTCCGACAAGCTTGGTAAGCGTGGCGGCTCGTCAAGCTGTAGGGCTAATGGATGTACGGCTAAGGTAGTGTCGGCTTGCCTTAGAAGTGCGGTCTAGACAGAGGGACTAGGGGTCACTCTGAAAGGATGTTCAAGGGAAAACCAAGTACTGGGATTGTACTAGTTTCTAGGGATCTACCAAGTATATCAAAGTAAGGAATACAATGATATGTGTCTATGTTATATAGTGTTCTAACTACATAGTTCGGGAGGAGTCTGTATCTGTGGATCTATCCTAGTCAGAGATAAGATTCATGAGGCAAGCCATGCTTGTCTGATAAGATGCATTGAGGCGCCTCTTCTATGTCAAGATAAGTACATGAGGCGCTCCAGCCTCTGGGTCCATCAACACATGAGGCGGCATGCGTTGGTCTAGTTCTACATGAGGCGGACAGCCATCATGATGGGATCGGGAGGCCTTCTAGGCCCGGGGTGACGTCATAGCAGCTCTAGACTGCTCTGGGTATCTAGCGGCATCCAGGCCGCTCTAGGCTTCTGGCAGTGTTCCGCCGTGTCGGTAAGTCGGGAAGAGGGAGCATAGGGTGAGGGTGGAGTGTTACTGTAACAATCTTACTAATATTTGAATGACTGAAGTACCATTTATCAATCGCAGCTGGCAATTTTTGTGCTGGCACTGACAAATCTGAACTACAATATACTTCCTTCCACTCAGTTTTATATTTCCCTTGCATGGACTTCCATGCAGAAGGCAATGTCTTGAGCATACCAAGACTTGGTTAGTCGCCTTCAAAACGCATCCTTCCTACATAAGGTCAGATATCTCTATGTAGACCCCCCCTCCACATTTGTGGGAATTGTTGTGATTGTTATTAATACATAGTCTAATATGATATTTTAATATCATCATCAGTTCACTGATGGAGCTCATAGTTTTCGCCTTTCTGTGGTGCTTGTATGCTCATTGGCAAAGGATAGAGATTACCCCATTACATAAGCACACTTACTTGGTTTTGTGGCACAGCACACTTGTTGGTGCCTTAGTTACACATTGCGTGCCCTGCGATTGAGGCCCCTGGTATCCTCCTGAATATGGTGCCTGGGGAGAATCAAATATGGATCACAAATTGAGCAGCGTTTTTAAGTTAGTCTAGTAGTCATCACTTAGTGATGTCACAGCTCGGCTCTTACCGATTTCCCAGCAGTTCGGCTGTTCCCATGAACCAAGTATGTGGGAACAATGGCTTGAGGTGGCTGGAAGCCGCCTCAAGCCAGCTAGAGACATGTGGCGGAACTCAATTTTAAGCTTTCCTGTTCTAACTTTCAAGCTCCCACTGGTGAAAACTTCAAGACTCGGTTGCATTGTCTACTTATCAAGTTGATTGCCATGAATAAGGTCCCAGTTCGAGTCGATGGGATATTTAGGCTCAGAGATGTGTTAGATTCAGGCTCATACGGTATGTACTATGTAGTATTCAATTGTATTGCTCTTATAATATACTTAGCTGTTGTATATTCGGCACGGAACATTATCACTGATGATTCTGTTGCCCTCAAACTCGAAACTGTTGTCAATGATTCATCTTCTGTTGAGCGTGAATACCACATTTTGAAACAACTTGAAGGTGGACTTGGCATTCCCCGCACCCTCTGGTTCGGTAGAGAGTCAGTATATCATGCTCTGGTTCTTGAACGCCTTGGGCCATCGCTCCACAAACTCTTCCTTGCAAACAATTGAAAATTTGGCCTTCTCAATGTCGTGAATATAGGAGACCAGTTGGTCAGTCAGTCGTTTGGTCTGAGATCTTTGTAGATAGGTTAACTTACTTTCCTAGCTCTCATGTCTTGAGTATATACACTCATGCAATTATGTTCACGGTGACATCAAACCGCAGAACGTCTTGGTGGGTCTCAGAACTCTGAGGCACACCACCTTCATCATCGATTTCGGTATCATGAAGACATACTGGAACACCACAACCAGTGACCATGTACCATTTTGCCATGGTCGACGTCTATCTGGCACCCCTGCATTTGCCTCAATAAACACTCACTTAGGAGTTAAGCCAGGTCGTCACGATGATCTTGAGTCGCTCACTTATATGTTAATCTATCTCTTATGTGGCTCTCTTCCATGGTTAACCAGCGATGACGAGAAGTTGCCCACCTCTACCATACTCGAGCACAAAGCACATGCTACCATTGCGGATATTTGTCATGGAATCCCCGTTGAGTTCGCGACATTTCTTATTTACACACGCTCTCTAGCATTTGCAGAGGACCCTGACTACAATCACCTATGTTCATTACTTCGAGGTCTTTGTGCCGCATTGCCTACACCAGCCACATGCAGGTTGGATTTCAATCAACCTGATGATGTTGTCATGCATCCTCCTCCGTTATCTGATCAACATTGCGTGGCTGAAGCAACGTCACCGCATCCACCAAAGGCAATGCGTAGATAGACTCGTGTGTGAGTAGTTTGTTTGTGTCATCTTCAAACTGAGCTTAGTTTATGTGAAAGGTCATGCCCACGCAATGACTTCCTACCGCATACTGCATCAACTCCATGGAGGAAACAGTTCTAGTCACAGAATGATGTATAACCTGTAGACTATAGTACTATGATGTATGCATCCCCTGTTGCGAATCTTGCGATCGCTTCTCTCACCTGCAGACTTCATTTATGTCGTAACAGATCATCAGAATGCTGAGGAGAGGAGTGTGGGATGGCGGGAGGTCAGACGGTTGTTAGAGGTGAAGTATATTGTTGGTGGATGGGACTTTTAGATTGCAGTTGTTTGCTGACATCGATGGAGGATTAAGTGTACTGTTTACACTAGAACTTGCATGTATTCTATGTTCTAACATATTGTAGAGTAATGAGCGGAAGTAGAACACATACATACATAGCCAAGCATGCGGCAAATAGCGTGTATTTTTTCGGCAGCAATATTCCCGTTATCTTCCCTTGCTGGTTCTTTCTAGTTTCTTTCCTCGTTCTCCGGTCCAGTTTAATCTCCCTTCCAGATGCTCTCACCTGCATATTGGTGAAGGTGCCTCGCCGGTTTTGAATATCAAGGTAGGTCCCATTTCAGCTACTGCCCCCTGTCTAACTCCTGCTCAGATCCTTTATTGTGGCCGAAGTTTGCTGATCAGTTGGATAGCATTAACATCACTGTTTTACGGTCAAACTTGTGTGTCATGTTTTTACTAGTATTATATATGAAAACTCACCTTTCCTGTATCATATAATTCATATTACTACCCTATAGGCTCGCTATGCATGTCAGGGATCTTTCACCAATGCGCTACCCCATTTTTGCCGGTCTTCTGCATGCACCCAACACGCATTTTTTATATGACTGTATGTTGGATAAGATCTATTACATCAAATGCAGTACTCACGACTTCTGAAGGTATTCTATGCATCACAGTATCACCATCAAATGAATCATGCTACTGTATCGTGCATTGCCTTGGGATTTACCATTTGGTGCGTACATTAACGTGTTCTGGGATTTCCCAGAATGAATGTTTATATATACTGATGATTCTGTTGTTGGATTATTACCATTACTACCACAGATGCCAAGTCGCCGACATGGGCAGAACAAGGCACAGGCAGTGGCCTCCCCCACCACTGCTGCTATCCCCGTCACTACTGCTGCTATCCTCGTCGCCACTGCTGCTATCCCCATCACCACTGCTGCTATCCCTGCTGCTGCTGCTGTGAATACTACTACTCTTCAAAATGCCCGTTGGCGACGACTTCCTGCTAGATACAGGACCTCTGATGCAGCTCCCCCTGGTCCAGATGAGGGTGAAACCTTCGACCTCGAGAATATCTCAGGGGATGAAGAGGAACCAAGTGATTTGCCAGTGCCTGCCACTATGACGCCTGTAGGCTCTCATACAAGCCCACTCCAGACCGTCACCAGCACCATTCGGACTGACCCTTTGGCCACTGGCAACCTTAAGCAAGCCAAAGGGCCAATGGATATAGCTCACTTTTACCAGGTTGATACCGATACTAAGGGCAAAACTTGCATCCCTTGCGAGCAAGTATTGTATCTGCAATCTTTTGTTGTTTCTCACACCTTTCATCAGAGCACTACATGAGATCGACGAAATGCACAAGGTCATGGTATATGCAGGTTCAACATCCACTTCAGCTCCCCGAGCGCATGCCTTCACTTATCACACCGAACTTTATTTGGAAGCAGCAGAACATTTCGGCTGGCGCATCCTGATAAAGGATCTAAGTGAACGCCTAGCTTAAGGATGGACGCTCGCAACAATTCACGCACGGCTCAAGAAATCGCCTTGTACAATACAATCACTTGGTCCTCCTCCTAATCAGGGATCTGGTGCCTTGCTCGTGGGAGCCAGCTGTTACAAGTAACATCGGTCACGTGGCCCCCCTATCATTTTCCCTTCATCCTCGCCCTTACCATCTACCGGCTCGTTTTCCTCTACCAGATATCCGTTGACCGGATCCTCGGGACCGTTCCCGTCCCTCGTCTCCACCCCATCATCCACCATATCTCTGACAACGCACCAACGTGCGCACGTGCTTTGGCACCTTGACTCGTCTAGACTCATGCCACCAACATGGCTTTCCCTTCTCGTCCCCCTTGACTCGCACCTGCTGTGCATTGTAACTTTACCGTTGACCCGGTCCAACGTTCTTCAGTCTCATTCCGCATTTCGACCTCTCATCACTAATCAGGCTGTGTTGCCAACGTACCTATACCCTTTCCGTTTCCCCTTTACCCTTACCTACAGTACGGTAACCCAGCCCTCAACCCTCTCCACTTAGTATAAGTAGTCGGTCATCTTGTATTAGATTCCCTAACTTGAATCTACTCAATCTTCCCTCGAAACTACTTCCTTCAAGAGCCTCTCAGCTCTTGTCTCTAGTACGACTTTCTTAGGTGCTTGTTGCATCTAAGTCTACCTCGATCAACGGTCATCGTTAGGACAAGACTGTCCTTCCTTTGACTTCAGTGACTTCACAGACAGTCGTCTTAGAAGTCACGTGACACGCGCATCTGTGATATCTGCCGACTCAATGTCGCCAGTCTCACTCGCTAGTCTCACTCGCTATACCGGACCCTTCCAGTTATGTCACAAACATTAGCGGATGACGCCCCTCTCAGGGCTCCGCGTAACAGATCTATTTGAGTGCGTAACACCAGCTCTCCAGAGGATGCGATTCCAGACTTCACACTTGATGAAATGCATCGTCAAATTGTGAAGTTTATCGTTGCCGATGATCAAGTGAGTCGCAGTTCACCCCCTACAGGCACTATTAATAATTTCCCCCAGGCGATAAACATGATTGAGTGTCCTGAATTTAGACACCTCATCCGTTTCCTGCGGCCAGAAATTGGTGAGACTGGCCTATTTCACCGCACGAAGGCTCGTGAAATGATCATCGAGCAATGGCAAGAATATTTCCTGGCCTTGAAGACCAACCTTGCTGTAAGTGCATGGTTGTCAAGCATCTCGTGACGTATCTTATTCCTTTTAGAATGCTCAGGGTAAAGTTTGCTTTACATCTGACCTGTGGTCGGATTATAAGCTCCGGCCATTCATGGCCATCACAACTCATTGGATTGCTAAGGCTGATAAAGATTCGATGCTCGTGCTAAAGGCGGCCCTCATTGCTTTCCATCATGTTCCCGGTAGTCATGATGGACCATCTCTTGGTTCTGTGATATTATATCTCCTCGATCGTGCAGAGACTGCGACCAAGGTCAGTACTAATTCATATTGTATCGCATGTTCTGATGTCATTTAGACAGGGCATTTTACTCTTGACAACACAGGTAACAACCATACCGCAATGCAGGAGCTTTCGACCTTACTTGGGCAACATGGCATTGATTTCAATCTGACTGAACACAGGATACCATGTTTTCCGCACATCGTAAACATATGCGTGAAGCATATTATCGATGAATACACTACTGCCGACTTCTCTGTTGTGGCCAATACATGGTCAGTCAAGGGTCAGATCATTGACAAACCAGATTACATCCAGGCTGTGCAAAACAACCAGACATGTCGTACAGCTGATCCGTGCATCAAACCAGCGGTGTGACAGGTTTCATGACACTATCCTTAGGGGTAATGAGGAGGGATGGTTTCGAGATGACACAGGCGAGTGTACACAGCTCCCAGTCGTAGAGGTCCTCCTAGATGAGCCTACTAGATGGGATTCAGTATATGTTATGATCAACCGCTTGTGGACACTCCGTCAGGTAAGATGCCCACCACTAAACATATCACATAGACTAATACTGGCCCAGGCAATAAGTGCCTTTTTCGACGCTTGGCCTCAATGCAACATATCTGAGAGAAAATTGAGTGAAATAGATTGGCAGTTCCTCGAGGATCTGGAAGTGATATTGGAGGTGTGTTCGAACTTCAAAACCCATTATGCATCTTACAATTTCATACCAGGCTCCCCACATCACCCAGCAAAAACTCTCTAGTGAAAGCACTCCCTTGCTGAGTCATGCGGTTCCGGTGTTTGAAGAGATGATTGAGGGCTGGGAGTCTATTTGCCTGCACACGCCTCATTGTAAACCTTTTGTCGACATAGGCTTAACCTGGGCAAGCAAATACACCACCCGGATGAGTGTGACACATGCTTATGCTGTCGCTATGTGTCAGTCCCATGTTTTTTTTTCAAAATAAATGTTGATCTCATGATTACTTTTGTAGTTGTTGACCCTACGATGTGAATGTCATGGATCAACACTCAATGGGAGGTGGACCGAATTGCTGCTACCAAGGATTTTATCGTGAAGTTGGTATGTCTCCGTAATATGTCATGGTAAAGGTGCAACTTTGGACTGATTTGTTCCGCAGATGCATAGCAAGAGAGCAGAACGCTCTGATCCTGCGCAATGTCAACCTGTAGTAGCTATACAACAACAACCACGTACACTAGGTGCGCGTCGCTACGGACTTCCCGAGGCGCATGTGTTGCATCCCCATGACAATGGTCAAACTGTAGATCAAGAGTTCACGGCATACACTACGGCTGCTCTTAGTCCTCAGGGAACAGATGTACTTATGTTTTGGAATGTGAGTCCATTCGCCTTCAAGTCCCACCCTTTGTCGTTAACCACAAGTTGTCAACCAGGCTTCACAGTCCATGTTCCCAACCATCTACTCAATCGCCATGGACTATACTCCAATACAAGCCTCTGCTGTGCCTTGCGAGCGGGTATTTTCCTCGAGTAGCAAAACTCATATGAAAAAAAGGAATCGTCTCAGCCCTGTTTTGATGGAAGCGTTACAGATGGTCAAATTTTTTCTGAAGAAAGAACACCTCGACTTCACTAAAGGTTGGGCAGCCTCTCAATGGGATATGGAACAGTGCATGGTATACGACAGAAGCTCCTATGAGCACTTGACACCTTCCGCCAATGCCAACGATACTCTTCTCAGAGCTATAGCGGAGGATGAGTGTGATAACATCAAGGACACTGCTACTATCTACGACAAGTGACACTTCTTACTTTTCTTGTCTGACTTTACCGTTTCTCATTTCTTGCGGGTTGTTTACCATGTGCTACAGAGATTGTGTCAATATACTGATTGTTCTGATAACAAACCAGCAGATTTAGCATTGCTGACCCGAGTCGTTGCTCACCATTCCTAGGAAGTGAGTCTGTCGATCCTTGTTCGATCTCGGGCCATGCTGACCCAAGTCGTTGCTCACCATAAGTCTGTCAATCCTTTTTCATTCTCGGGCCATGCTGACCCAAGTCGTTGCCCATCGTTCACAGGAAGTTGGTCTGTCGATCCTTGTTCGATCTCGGTTGACTCTGGTTCTCCTTCCATACCCACGAGATTTGAAAGCCTACATTGCGAAATAGAAAGTCCTGTGCCCCTATATTTAGAGGTGTGTCTCTAGTCTTTTCCTCCATGCCAGTTTACTCGTTACTTATGTCCACCTCTTGCTCATTTCCATGTGCTGCCACCCCATAGCATCCAGACAAAGCTCTATTGGCACCCATAGACTTCCCTCCTACACAATCACGCAACCTCCAATTATCCAAGGTCCCTTCATCCAGACTTGGTCGCTTATTTCATTATGGCAGTACATCTTTCTTTACTGTCCTTTCATGCACCTTTTGCTCACTTGTAGTCACAGGCCTTGCAGCATCACTCTCATATGGCGCTGCTTCTGAGCTCTTACGTCGCTCTACTACATCCCATGCAAACAACACACAACCAGTCATGCTAACTGAAGCAAACATAACCCATTTGGTATCTAAGCTCTCTCAGATGCGGGGTACCGCACTAAAGCTTGGCCAGTTCATGAGCATCCAAGGTGCCCATTCATTGGCCATCTCTTATCATTTTGTCCACTACTAATCTTGGCACTAGACACCCACCTCCTGCCCCCAGAAGTCGACAAAATATTCTGTCACGTTCAAGACAGCACTCACTACATGCCGGACTGGCAGATGCAACAAGTGATGTGCACGTCCCTAGGGGAATCATGGGCCAATAATTTTACATTGTTCGATCATATACCGTTCGCAGCTGCAAGCATCGGCCAGGTGCACCACTCTGTCCTCACTCAAAGTCAGAGTCCATCTGGCGACGACGGCCAACATGTGGCTGTAAAGATCCAGTTCCCAAACATTGCTAACTCAATTGTGAACGACCTTGGCTATGTTAAGATGATCCTTACCGCTGGAAGCTTGCTTCCACGGGGGTTATTCCTGGATCATACGATTCAAGTGTGTCTTCTGTATTTTCCTTGTGCTTAGTGCTGAATATCTGACTTTTTATTTCTCAATCTTGCTTCATTTCCTGCTATCCAGACAATTCACTACATCCTATACAAAGGTAATGAAAGACGAGCTTGCTGACGAATGTGACTACTCGCGGGAGGCAAGTTTCCTCGAGCAGTATAGGAGCCCAGATTGTCTTATTGCAGATGCACGGTTCAGGGTCCCGTGGGTGTGGCCAGGTAGCACAGAGCGTGTTCTTGTAATGGAGCATGTAGAAGGTGTCAGCATTGGAGATGCTATAGTTGGAGGTTTACCACAAGAAGAGCGAAACGAGGTGCGTGCTCCTCCTATCATCCACCATAGATTATGCATTTCTTGAAATTCATGGTAGATTGCATTGCAAATCATCGAGCTCTGCTTGTGGGAGCTCTTCCAGTTCAGATTCATGCAGACGGACCCTAACTTCACAAATTTCCTGTGGGACTCAAGGGCACAACAGGTGTCTCATGTTGACACTTCATATTTTCTACTTCTTAAGTTGCCTGGACGAACTCACTGACTATCATCGCAGCTGTCCTTGGTTGACTTTGGCACAACACGCGAGTACACGAAAGAATTCATGGACAGCTGGCTGTGCCTTCTTCAAGCCGCTGCATCTGAGGACTGTATCGCATGCGCAGAATGGAGTCAGAAACTTGGATATCTCACTGGAGAGGAAAATGAAGTGCTATCTCCCCATCACTGCCCCGCGCATGTATTCACAGAACACGTTCACAGGTCATGCTCAATGCGCACGTCAGCTTAAGTCTGTCGATCCTCATTCGATTTCAGGCCACGCTGACCCAAGTCGTTGCCCACCGTAAGTCTGTCGATCCTTGTTCAATTTCAGGCCACGCTGACCCAAGTCGTTGCCCACCATGAGTCTGTTGATCCTCGTTCAATTTTGGGCCATGCTGACCCAAGTCATTGCCCACCGTGAGTCTGTCGATGTTCTTCATGCATATGTTTAATATTCAGCAACAGTGGTTCCAGAACTTCGAGTTCATATTTCTATCAAGGTACAAACATCTACTGTATTCCCTCCCAACCCGAACGTGCAGCTTCTTCGACTTCGACCTCGACATGACAAGACGAATCCTAATTCCCACCACCGCGACCCATCAATCTCCACAAGTAATGTCTCCAGTTGGACCTCCGAGTCGTATTGCTCCCTTCCTCTCCTCTCCAAATTTCTCCATCTCTCAAAACTCCCTGCTGTGTTTCAACACGTCTTTCGGTGTGTTGCACTGATGTGCGCTGCTCTCGCATTCTGCGCGCGCAAGCCGGACTACCGTACAACTAGATATCTATGTTAGTTTTTGATCCAACGTTATCGTAGTCACTCACTTTGTCCTGTGGCCCCATTAATATTAGTAACGTGATTGTAAACGTAGAATGCGTGTTGTGAATTGGTGTGATCGACAATCGGTGTCTAAGTTCTCCTTGCAGTTCTCGAGACTGAAGTTCTCAATTGTAAATCTATTTTTGGCTTATAATTTAAATATATATATTTGAGTTGGCTTTAAGCCCTTAAATTGACTTAGCTATAACTCTCGAGCCGAGCCGAACCGTAATTACAAAAGCTGTAACCACGTGTCGGCTCAGCTATTTATAGCTCGGGCCGCGGCTGGAACCGGCAACAAGCCGAAGCTGCGGCAACACTAACTACAACCCCTCATCATCTGAAAAGGAGGAATGTCATAGCTTTGTAGCTAAATCTAATGGCATTCTAGATTTATTGACAAATGCCAGAGGCTGTTTCCTTGAAAAGGCCTTGAATAACGTTGTAATTAAAAAATGAGACTAGGTGAGATTAGTGATGTTCCGGCCTGGCTTGGCCCAAAAGCCGCGGCTTTGGCCTGGCTTCAGACGGCTCTGGCCTGCAAAAAATCCAAGCCGGGCCAAAGCCGCAAATGATGGCTGGCTTTGGCCTGGCTCTGGCCTGAGCCGCGGCTCGAGTAGGGAATTTGCGATTCTGACAAAGTGAGCATGAGCAGGTCGTTGTGAAACCAGGATTCAACCACATGACTCACCTGCAGATAAATCGCAGCAGTCGAGAGCGGCGGTGGAATTTCGGCGGTTTCTTCGTGACATGTGTTACCCGAAGAGATTGACGGAGGTGGAGGGAGATGCATGAGTAGAAAGGGAACACTGGATCCAAGTGCACGGGTGAGGGTTGCGGTGGTGAATTTTGACTCTAAAGGAGGAGCGCTACTGTACCGAGTTCAGACATGCGTATGTTAGATTCGATACGCCTTCCATCTTGCGAACGTAGTTTGGAGGCCAAATCACGCACACACCTTGCAGGGACCATGTTCTCCAAAACCAAGACCATTTTCAGAGAGCTGTGTCCTCCAGTAGCTCGGGCTTGCAGGACGGGGGACGCGCTTGTAAGGATTAAAGTTAGCAGGGACATTCCAAGCCCACCTCATGCCGGTTGCCCAGTAAACACCGGGACCTGCACCATTCATGTTGGAGGTAGGTTTATACTGCCAAAAGCCAGCTTTCCAATGTGGGTGAGTGTTGGCGCCAGGCGGCATGGATGGTGGACCAGGAAAGTTTGGAGGAAGAGCAACACCAGCTGGTGGGGGCCAGGTGCCTTGCCAACCCTGTGGCATAGAATGTTGCTGCATGAGTTGTGGATTGGGGTGCCAGTGTCTTCCTGATTGAGCCATGATGGGCCTTTAATAGATATGATAGTAAGTTCAGATTTTAGTTACAAGGACGAATGAGCGTACTAGATCTATACACACACTCGTGACGGACACTTGAATCAGAAAGCCAGAAGGGTATTGCAAAGAGGGAGTGATCTTGGCTGGTTTCTACAGCTTGATGTCGATAGTTGGTATAGTTAAGAGACGTGAAGCACGATGGAAGTGATTAAAAAGCTAAAACAAGACGAGATAGAAACCAGATTCTCAGTTGAGCTTGGGCACCGCAAGGCTCAGGCACAGTTTCAAAAGCCGCGGCCCGAGCTGGCGGCTTCGGCTTTTCATAATGTCAAGCCAGGCCAAAGCCGTCACCAGGCCGTGAGTTTGGCCCGGCTTGGCTTGGCCTATTCAGGCCCGGCTTGGCCTGGCCCACGGCCTGAAGCCGGGCCGTGCACATCACTAGGTGAGATGTCGAAGCTCAAAACGATTGGCTCGGGTATACTACCACTACTCATTGGCTGCAAAGGCGGAATGTCCCAGCATTGTCATAAATCATTCATGTTAAGCTGGATTTACAAGCATACATGGGTATGTATGTGCAACTCAAATTGCTCGCAGTATAAAAGCTAATATTTGGCGGCAGCAGAATTACATCGTGCTATACTTCCCACGGCTACGATATCGAGGACTCATCAATTCACTGATGACTGGGTGGCATTGAGCTTTGGAGGCCGTGAGCTACTTGCGGTAGGGATCTTCGGGGGAAATAATGTTCTCCGTTTCTCCCTCGCGCAAGTATTTCTCTACGTGAAATCAGGTGGTGTAGGAGTATCAAGGAAGAAAAGGAACATACACGTTTGCCCTTCGCGTACGGGACCTCGACAACTGCGGGACCGGATCCTTGAAACGCAATGCCTTCACCTCTTTGTCTGCGCCGTTTCAAAATGTTTCGAGCCCAGTCGAAAGGGGAGGATGGTGACGTAGCATGAGCACTGGATGGGTTGCGGTTGCGGTGGAACAGACAGCTGAGACGTGTGGTGCCTGGCGATGCTGAGGAGTAGGGGTAGTTTCGTGCAGAGGACTGAGAGCACAGAGGTTAAGAAAATAAAATCAATGTGACAGTAATAACGTACATGAGAACGATTTGGTGGGACTCCATCGAAAAAACCTTGGGGTACCCGATAAGCAGGCGGACGTCGTTGGACCAGAAGTCGTGTAGCACTAGCCTAGAGCATACTATATAGTGAGAACAACGAGATCTTTTGAGGAAAGTGTCACGTACATGGAGTACCGACTGATTGGCCTGGCAGAGCATGTTCAGTTGTGAGGATATACAATAAGACGTGCACATCAACTCACCTTTGAATTCAAAAGTAGGTCTTCAAGGCCAGCTTCTTTAACAATCCCAGCAATATCCCATGTGTACGTGTTTATGTCGCAGCAGGCAGTAGCTAGTAGCTTTCCATCTCCTGAAAACGATACGGAGTCAACGAAGTTTGCATGTCAGAGGGGCGGACCGATGGGTTACTAAAGTATCTCAACCAATTCTATTAGCCCTGACACTGAGAATGATTCCGACCCGTGCATTGCCTCTTGGTACCATTCGCGAACGTGACTTTTACTGCATCGTCGCTTTGCTCAAATCAATGGCTTGATGGCCCCGCTTGATCTCGACGCCATGCTTTTGGGCCGTGTCGATTAAAAGTCGTTGAAATTCTGGGCGCTGCACTCCAATATTGGGAAAGCCAAATCGTTCTCGCATCGTCGATGGAAATATCGCTAATAGTAGTAGTCTGTTTTTCTTTTCAACGGGCTCGCTGTTCTCTGCGATGCCGATGGTCTTAGGAATACGAGGCTGCGCTCTTATCGGCAACTTCCCTAGCGCCCAGTTCTTGGTAAGAACCTTTTGTAAGCGGAATGTGGTGTATGCGAACTTGCGAAGGGTCATGCAAGCGATGTCGTTTGTAGCATATTAGTGCATGGTGAACAGTAACTCGAGGGGTGTTGGCGGCGAGACCACATGATAGTGGCAAGAAGAGAAGGAACACTCTACGAATACGTGAGTATGTCGATATTGAATTTATTGCTTGGATATGACAAAAGAGGATAAAGAGAACACCATCCGTGTCATTGCAGCTCGGAATTAATACGTAGTCATACTTACACATGCCTTTGAATCGGGCTTCTCGACGTCTCCAAAAATCTTTGAGAAATGTTGACCAAATAGTGACTTTCGGAAGTTAACTTGGCCATGAAAGAAAACAGGCACCGAGTACACAAATACTACAGCACCCAATAGTATCAATAGCATCCCAGGGATTGCGAGTGTAACTATTATGGAATTAGTAGTGTGTTCAGTGCCGTTGTCGCGGAACTTACCTTTCAAAGTTTCCATTGGACCAATGTGGCAAAGTATGCCACCCCAAGCTATTGTGAAAGAACAGCACAGGATGTCGAACATGACTCCTGACTGCATAAACCTTCTGGTACTGCGACCTCTGGTAAAGGCCACAGCAAGGGCCCATGTAAAGGCCATACAACCTGCGAGTGCCTCTGTGATAAAGCGAGGGACAATGTTCCGAATCAAATAGATGGTGACAGACTCGACTATCAGTAATAGGAGTATTAGGCTCTTGACGAAGGTAGCTGTACTGTAGTATTTGGGCATGATGAAGGATTAAGTGAGTATTAAAATTGTGGTAGGTCAACGGTAGGTAGGACTTGAGTAGAGTAGGTCAATGACGATACTTATGACATCATGATGACATCTATCTACAATATGTAAGGACGAAACGTTTGATCCCGCGGAACCAATTCGCGTGACTCTCCTGTCTGTGCTCCACCTGTGCTCGTGCTGAGCTCCACCTGTCCTCTAGCGCCATGTGCGCTTGACGTCTATCGATCAGGGAGACCATACTATACATACTATAGTATGTTAATAAAGTCTGCTGATAGAAATACTTCTTTTCTCAGGACACTCGAACGAACTTCCAAGTCATTAATGGATTCAGAGTCCGGAGTATGAGGTGCACTGCCAGGCGCACACTCAATTGGAAACAGTGATGATATTGTGAACATGAGAACGTGTATGTTTTCATCTACACGGCACGGACGAGTAAAATCCAACGGGTACGGCCAGGTGCGAAACAATTTGCAAAGCTCTCAAAATCAAGAGAAAAAGCAACCAGTTTGTAGATGACCTCATGACTGATGCGAGGAAGGACCACCACAACTAAAAAACAATCCACAACACCTAACTTCACAAGAAACTCCCGTCCCGCCACCTGCGCCTTGCGTTCCTGTTGGTTGCCCTTGAGACACTTGTGTCCCTGGCACAACCAGAGATGGACCTGGTTGCGTTTCCGCCGGGCGTCATTGAGATGCTTGTGTCCCCGACACAGCCTGAGGTTGACCTGCTTGCGTCGAACTTCCAGCCTCATTGCCATTCGCACGTTGAGCAGCAGTTGCTGCTGCTGCCGCTTCTGGACGGGCTAATTCTGCTGCGCTGGGGGGGGGAAACATAAATTCTCTGCAAATGTATTAATTTCCATGATATCAACAAGGAGCGATGGAAGCTACCCACATTTTTTTGCGACCGGCAGTTACTTCAACGGCGCGCATAGAACTTCCTCTTGGAAATAAGTTGAAATTCCAACGTCGGGGCTCGAGCGGTATTGATTGCCTTTGTTGACGGCCTGGGGCCGCTGCTTGGAGATCTGACGACATGAATAAGCGAATGAGCAGAGTGTTGATAACTGATTGGCGCACAGCATCTATCGATCGAACTGGCAAAGAAGTGAGATACAATGCGAAAGGGAAGCGCAGACGACTTGCCTTGACCTTTGCACTGCTCTCATCCGCACTCTGAACGACAACCAGACCCCACTTAGAACAACGAATAAACACACGCACGTGATTGTTGACTGTGTGTTTGAGCGCTGCTTCCAGGCTCCATACATATATCTTTCCATCCGATCCAGCACTGACGATATATTTTCCATCAGGGGAAATGGCAACAACCTGGATTTCGTCGTCGTGCAAGAGCGGGTCTCCTACTGACTGGTTGGTATTGAGGTCCCAGATGCGAACTGAGCAGTCAGCTGCTGCACTAACAAGATGTTTTTCATCAGGGGAAAGACAGAGGGAGCTGACACGATAGGTATGAGCCTGAAAAATAACAAGCTCTTTCCCATTAATCGACCCCCATTTTCGGATGGTGCAATCGCCTGACGCAGAGAAAATATGTGCGCCATCCTTGGACCAACATAACGACATCACCTCGCGCTCATGACCTTCGATCTGCATGAGCAGCTCGCCATCCTTTGACCACACGCAGATCACCGAGTCCTCTCCGCCGCTTATGAATTTGTCCCTTTGTGGAGAGTATCTGACAGCGTAAACCATTCCATGGCCGGTCTCTATCAGTGGTGCTATTTGTCGGCCAGTATCCGGGTTCCAGCGTCGTATACTGCCGTCATTCGACCCACTTGCCATCTCCTGGGCATTTAGAGACCAATCGACGGACCGCACTACATCATCATGCCCATCCCACGATGTGCCGACCATGCTGCCCTTCCTGATGCTCCACTGCCGTAGTCTGCCATCTACGTTTCCGCTCACGGCCATTGATTCATCTGGAGATATTGCCATCGAGCATACCGGTCTTCCATCACTGTTCCAAGGCCTCCCCACTGGCTCTCCGTCTCTTGTACTATTTATCGTCCATTGTGCTGCGCAACGCGTGTGGACAATATCTCTCGTCGACTTGCAGTCGTGGTCAGGAAGGCAGCTTATTTGGACTTACATGTGATCTTCCCCGATTCAAGGCGCGTTGAACTAATATTGTCTCTCTGCGTGGGTACTATTTGATGATAACAAATTACAGTCCAATTTCCGATGTCCTTCGACACCTTTCTTACCTGAAAAGCCTTCCACCTGCAAACACACTCTTCAATTCACACTATCTGAACTCGAGGCTTTCCGAGGAACTAACATCTACGGCGCTACCCGTGATCGTCAGGAAATCTGGAATCCCAAGTGGAATACATGTCGAACCTTTATACACGCTGTATTGGGCTAAAAGATACACTCGGTATGCATCTTCCGTGCTTGTTTTTTCCGTGTACGCCTCTCAAACCAGATCAGGGACAAATACGACGCATCTTTCGACCCGCGCATTTCCATCCACGCTTCTATCTCGATCTCCTACGCTGCAGACCACCTCCTCGACCTATCCGTTCATGCTTCCAGGCGTGGATGTCCTCAGCCATTCTCGTGGACAGCCTGTTTCTTGTTGCACGTCCTATCCGGAAGTACGGAAGAAAGGGATGAGTCGGCTACTATTTCTATCATTTCGCATACCACGACGCCTCTTAGCGAAGAAGTGTTCAATACCTACTCAAAGCGAATGACGAGCTGATCCTCGCATACGGTTTCTCGTTTCCACAAAACCCGGATGATAAAATTACGCTACAGCTAGGTAGGTCCTCTGACAGTCGGGCAATGATATGTAAGGGCCAGGTCTAGAAGAATAGTCCAGTGCTGTGAACATTCAAACCTCGGATGTGAAAGATTTCTCGTCTAGTTGCGAGTCTGAAAGATGCAACAAATCAGGATCATCTTCAGGCTTGAACGTAATTTTAGTGTGGTCATGAATACTGAATGAAATACCTACCAACGGGGAATGCACAAACAACTCCTCCGTGACCGGGCCCAAGTTGATGAGCCACCAAACTTTCGCGATCGGATGCTTCCAAAAGTTCCACTTCAAATACCTCCAGACACTTAACGTGATCAAGCAATATAGCGCATATGCCAATGAAGAACTCAACACCATGGCCTTTTTTTCCAGCAAATCTATGGTATTAGCATGATATTCAAGTTAGTAGGGGTTCCTAAGTTTAAGCTGCTGCAAATTTACCTGCCAGTGACCTCGTCTCTTCGGTCTCACTGTCATCATATATCACTAGGGCTACCACCAACAATCCATAGAAGGCCCAGTACATTATGGGAAGTTTGAATGGTTCATTTAGGAAAACTTTGCGAGTGATTGGGATTCGTACTAGGACAATAGCTAAGAGCCAGGTTGCTGCCATATTGATGGCAGTGACTTCTGCGGCCCAGGAAGAGAACCATGGACATCGCATGATAATTATGTAGATGACTTGAAAGCAGGCGTAAAGAATTGCTCGTAGTAGTGGTCTCGGCATTGTGCCAGTGGGTACGGTAAAGAGGAAGATTTGGATAGGGGTAAAAATCAAAGCTCGGTGAAGTTCAGATGGGGTGGGAAAACTTTTAACTTAGAAGCAGTTTTAGACTCCGTGCTTGACAGTGACGCGCATGCCACGAACACCTCGCGAAAAGTATCATGATGAATAACTCATCTATTCCTCAAACAGAAAATATCGACCAGACGACATGTATGTGTACCACACGTGGAAGGCTGCTAATGGCACCGAGTAAATATGTACATGCGCATGTGCGTTAGAACAACCCTAACAAGTCCTCCTGGGGCTGCGCATTCTGAGCCGGCTGGGACGGTGGCGCCGACGACCCTCCAAATCCTTCGAAAGGCGAGGACTGGGATGTCACTGTCGGCGATAGCGCCGTTGACAGTGATCCTGCAGCCGTATCCATAGTTTCCATACCACCGAAGATCGACACAAGGTCGTCTAGTGGATTCGCGGAAGTGCCTGACAGGAAGTTTGCTGCAGCGGGTGTCGAAGGAAGTATTTGAGTAGCAGCGAGTCCAGAAGGCTGCCCATCCTGCGCGGAATCATCACCAAAGTCGAGAAGATTCTCTGCTTGCTGGCCAGCAGCAACCGTCTGGAGAGCTTTTTGAGCATCTGAAATTCTGTAATTACACCATGAGTCAGTAGAAACAAATAAAACTGGCTAGTAGGTACTCACTCTGATCCTTTGCGTTGCACTGAGTCGGCACCAACCCGTCCATGACCAACAAATGTTTGGGCAGGTTTATGGTAAACACTTGCTAATGATGATATCTCGCCGAGGAGCTCTTCAAGCAACGCAGGCGAAACCGTTGTTCTCGGAATAGATATTGGTGGCCGATGAGCAAGGACAACAGCCTAGTTTACGTTGATTAGCACCATCGACCAAGGCCCAGAAATTGTTCACACCTTCGCTGCGCCAGGGTCTGTTGACAAGAGTCTCCAATATATGTAAGCGCGGTCCCGCACATCTGGTGAATCGCAATCCTTCGTTGCTGTATTCAACACACGCTGAACGACTCCCTGGGACGAGTCAGGCTTCTTCAAGAATAGCTTGACTACTGCAGTTAACGTTTGAAGTTGAACCTATTGTGCAAGATCAGTACTTGTAGCACTAGTTTAAGGTAACACTGAAGTCAAATACCTGGTACGACTCCTCGATGAACGAGTCAACAAATATCCCCAACAGTTCATCCGCGTTGTCGATCTTATCGGCATACTCGCCAATAATCCAAATCAAGGACGTTTTCGCTTCTGGCTCGTCCAGCTCTTCTAAATTAGCGCAGAGTGTAGGGATTACACCTTCGTATGTTAAGGGGTACTTCCTGAAGATATCCTAAAAGGAATGTCATTACGAAGGCCACGAAAAGCTGGATATCACTGCGCACCTTCATGACAACCACGGCTTCTTGGACCACATAGCTGACGCGAGTGTTAATGAGCTCTAACAATACGTTCACACAACGTTCCGCTGCGCTCTCAATTAGAATTGCTGTCTGGCCAATAGCTTTGATGCTCTTCCGGACAAAATCGACGTCGACCTCCGACGAGTATCTGACCAACACGGTCAGCAATGCAAATACATAAATTGCTGTGACTCACTCTTTCAGCTCGCTCAACAAAGCGTCCACATTGCTATCACTGGCCAATCGGACCATGATATCAAGCTTCTCGATCTTGACGTACAACGGGTCATTGTATTTACAGAAGAATACCCTCATTTCGTTCGAAAGGAGGTCGGATCGTTTTTGAAGGAGAAGGTTGATATTCCGCAGCGCGACCCATTGTACCTCGGGCGGAGACGATAGCAAGGTGACTAGTGGTGGTGCCATCTTGCGGATCAACTGCTTAACGAGATCGTCTCGTCGAACATTGCGTATGTGGATCATGATGACCTTGAGATGTGAAGGTCAAGTCATGACAAGGGCCGGATGAGCGACACTGTGTACCTTCATTGCGGCAAGAACAACACTACCATTTACATGCTGGAATTGAGGTACGACGCGCTCGCAGATGTGCTCACTCTCTTTGTCGTCTGTCGCGTCATACCGTGCTAGAGCATTCAAAATTGCGACTCGACCCCATTCTGAACACTCGTTGAGGGCGATGAGTAGTTTGTTCAGTATAGCGGAGGTGATGGAGAATACAGCGGGATCGGAAGTAGAGTCAGATGGTTGGTTGGAGGTTGCTGAGATGTGGATGTCTGTGAGTGCTGCAACTGTGTTTGCCACGACCTAAATGCAAAGATGAATCCTATTCGGTAAGACAGAAAGATATAGGATTACCATAGGGTTGCTATCCGAAATCATATCACGAAGCTGATCCAAAAAACCATTCTCGATGACAAGCTCGGGCTTGAGATCATACAGCTTTGCAACGCAGAGCGCAGCAGTCTTTCGAACATATGGGTTGTCATCTCGCAAGGCGCGTTGAAGAGGGTCGCATAGATAGTCTATAATTTTCTCTGCACGCAGACACCCCATAGTTCGAATCGCCAGTGCGCGTACGAGAGGATTGGGATCCTCGGAGTCCTTGACGAAGGTGTTCACGGCCAATATGACGAGTTCTGGTTGTGTCTTTGCGTAGTTCATGAGATATAGATATACGAGCTTCTTCTGTTCGAGGTCATCTGTCTGCATATTCTTGAGGACATCCGGGAACAAGCCGCTGACGTCTAGGATGTTTTATAATTAAGCGCGGTGGGCAGATCAAGCGAGAAAGTACAGCACCTTTACCGACGGTCATAGATGCTATGACGCGCTTGATAGCATCTTTTCGTTTATCGCGGTACTCGCTATTGAGATCCACGCTGAGCTCATAGTTTTCGCCTTTCCGTGGTGCTCGTATGCTCATTGGCAAAGGATAGAGATTACCTCATTACATAAGCACACTAACTTGGTTTCGTACTCGGCGAGTAACACTCGTTGGTGCCTCAGTTACACATTGCGTGCACTGCGACTGAGGCCCGTGGTATCCTCCTGACTATGGTGCCTGGGGAGAATCAAATATGGATCACGGATCGAGCAGCGTTTTTAAGTTAGTCTAGTAGTCATCACCGTTCCCTGAGTCCACGTTATAACTGTCCGTGCCAGGGGGAAGGTTTATCGCCATCGCGGTCCATCCTATAGCCTGTTCTTATGTCACAATATACTTATTCATTGAACTACTCCGAAGTCGATGAAATTCGATCAACTGTGAGTTTGGGCGAACTCTAACGCAGTAAGTTAGGACCTTGAAAAGGCTAACATCTCGTGTGAAGAACAGTTCAAAAACATCAGTCATGTAGTAGAGTGACACCAGTGAAAATATGTAAAACTACAAAAGAAAATTGGACAGAAAGATTAACGACGACCATTTGTATACTCAGCAGACGTACAACGGATGAAAAGCCAGAAGCGAGTCCAGAGTCCCGCCTGTCTTACTATGATACCAGGGCACGAGGGCGTCAGAGTTGTAGCTGCAGAAGTACGACCAACAACAGGTGTAGATGACAACTCAGACTCGGAGGGAGCTACCTGTAGTTGCGAAGATGGCTGAACCCCACTAGCTCCACTTAATTACTGGGAGGCTGTGAGCTGCCCGCAGTAGAGATCTTCGGGGGAAAATATGTTCGCATACGTTTTTCCCTCGCTACAACACGTCCCTAGGTAATATTAGGTGTAGCTTAACGATCAAGTGCGAGAAAGACAAACATACATGGCTGATCCCTTCACACGGCACATCGACCATTTGTGGTTCACGCCCATGGAAGTTGGTGCCTTCAACGTCACGGTTTCGTCTCCATCGTGTGAATAGGCTTCGAGCCCAGTCGAGAGGAGAGGATGCTGACTTATGGCGGGTGTTAGAGGGGTTGCGCTGGACTAAGCGGCCAAGAAACGTGTTTCCTTGCGGGGCTGATGAATGGGGGCGGCTTCGTGCACTGAACTGAGGCTACGGAAGTCAGTAAAAAACTCGAAGGAATATTAGTATCGCACATGAGCCTGAGAACGATTTGGTAGGACTCTATCGAAAAAACCTCGGGGTGACCTCATGGGCACCCCAGCGTTGCTGGACTGGACGTCGCGTGGTATGGTCATCCTAGAAAATATATGTTCAAGCGAAATGAGAAGGTTTTATAAACGTGCTACAACTTACACTAAGCAACAACTTCTCGTCCTGGGATAGGGTATGACACGGGTAAGGCTTACCCGAACACCACCCGCGGGTGAATCGTAGGTCAGGTGGTACGGGTATAGGTACCTATACTTGGCCCACCCGCACGGTTACTATCCCTCCCACTGCAATCGGGGCCCACAGAAGTCGGTAGTCACGCAAATGTCACTGGTAAGTATCACGACATGTCACATAGACCAGTTTTCACCCGCGGGTGACCCGTACCACCTGTTGACCCGCACCCGTGATGCTCTAACCCGGGTGGGTACGCTTCTGTACCCACGGGTCAGGGACCGGTCAGGTATGGTTATGACCTAGATCAACCCTCTATTTCTAGGAGGGCGAATTCCGTTCTCAGACACTCGTGAAATGGATGAGCCTAAACTCACCATTGGATCTGACAGAAGTTCGTCGTGGTCAGCTTCTCTAACAATCGCAGCCACATTATATATTTTTCTCGTTGGAGTCAGTGCCTTGTAGTCCCATCATCAGATCCGCTCGCCGCTCGTCGACCAACTCGACTCCAACACAGAGGGGACACGAGCTTTGTGTGACCCATCCATCCAGCAATGACCTTGCATGCGTCGATGTCCCACAACCTCAATTCTTAGTCCTTACTGCCGTTAACGAGGAAGTTCGTTCTGCCAAGACAGCGCTGATAATCCTGCGCGCTTCACTTTCTCCGTCCCGCCAGTCTTCTCCTATGTGTTGGCCGGTCTCCTAGTTCCATTTTCGCAGCGAGTCATCCCATGAACAAGTGATGATCTGCTGTCCGCCTGGGAGGTGTATGAACCCCCAGAGGCAATCGGTGTGTCCTTCAAATTTCTGGCGAGGCGTTGTATCTTTCGTCTTGGTGGTAGGTAAAGACATGTCAGAATTCGTGCTACCTAATGCAGCGCCGTGTCAGCTTTTATCAACCAATTCCGAATTTCTCACTTACAAGGATAGTAGCTACGGGAGGAGAGTAGGGAGCAATGACTGTTTGGGTCAAGTCAGAGTCGAGTTCACCACCGTGTTCACTCACAGCTTGTACACGGCTTCCGCAGCCGAAGTGTTGATGAGTTAGTTCTTGCCTACCAGCGAAGACAAGTGTTCGATGCGAAGCGTGTGGGTGACTTGACTGAGTAGATTAGCAAATGCGTCGATGAGAAGTGATGAATTGCACAGGGAACATTTGCAGATACAGGAATGTTTAAATGCTGAACGACGCCTAGCTGCTATCAGGGTGCTGGAGCAACGTTCAGGGGAGCACACCTGAGTGAGGCTTGACCAAGAATCCAGTAGGAAATTAAGTAATGCAGCTGAATTGCAAATATTGAGACCACATACCCCTTCCGAGTCACCGAAGCGTGCCCGCAGCTACTTGGAGGTAGTACCACCATACTACAGCTAACAGACTCAAACTTCGCAAGGTGGCTACTCTGGGCGACGGATACCTGCGTTCGAATGTTGTTAAATAGTAACATAGGTAAGGGCCTGCACAAATCTACGATGTATTACATTCAAGGTTCTCTTGAGGTAGGGCACAGATTATCTTTTCACAAGCGGCCAAGATCATATTTCGACACACCACGTCCATGTCACACCTCCTTCCAACTTGCGCGACATCGTCACAGTCCATCGAGATGCAGATCTTCCCCAATCCTACAGCGGCCTCCAAAAGAGCACAGTTGAGTATAATTCCAAGCCCGTCTTTCGGTCCGCCTGTGCTCACGCATGAGTTGAGTATGTGGCACAGATACCACGTCGCATCTTTCCGCGCTAGAGCCTCGAGCCTATCCTGTCTACCGAGCACACTTCTCCGTCTGTGTGGATTCGACGCCTGCAATGATTCCGGACCACGAGACGCCTCATTTGGAGTTGCGTTGCTGCCCGTAGTCCTTTCAGTAGTCCTGGTAGGGTACAACGACTCTAACGCCCGAATTGACTCCAATGCTATGCGCTCCCTGATGCCAGCTGTATACTCAAAGTAGCGGGGTGATATCGAGTCTAACGTATTCATCGCCTCGCTGAGAAGAGTCAAGAGGTCCGCACGAGGGTCGGGAACGGGTGTCTGGCTGGGAGGTTTCGGTACCTTCTCGTTTCCTTTGCGGCTTTTCGACGTTTTCTTGGCCAAGTTTGCGCCTAGATGGTGCATAATGTATGCCCGGGATACGAGACTGAAACTGCGGACAACGGGGACAAATATGGTGCCAATGAGGCGGGATACAGCGATACTGTTGGAATTACCGATGTCTTGGCAGAAGAGGGCTGGAAGAGCGATGCGCAAGACATACACCAGAAGTGGGGAGGCCATTGCAATCCTCGACTCATTGAGTTCTGTTGGAACAGAAGATGTCGAAATATTTTGGAGGCCTAGGAATTTACCGATGATGTTAATTGTGCGTGTGATCGCAGCTAGCAGGCGCGTGTTGCGTGGTGGTTCGTCACCTGTCTGCGAACTTGTTGAGTTGAGAACACTTCGGAGGGAGGTGAATGCTGCAGTGAGGGATGTTGACAATTGGCCTGTAGCATTGAGGCGTCCTTCCCCGAATCGTGAGTCAAGGAAAACGAGACGGATATATGAGATTTGCACCTTCCCGTTTTGCAGGCCAGTCATCGTCCTGAATTTGAAGCTCTTGAGTTTTACCAGTCTTCTTCGTTTTCTTCTTTAGGGGAGCAACATCCGAGTCGTCTGGCATGTCCTTGGTCGCATTTTGCCGTAGATGTACAAGTTCTGCAAAATGAAGTAAGGCTTGCAGAAGGAATGGTATTCGAAAACTCAAACACACCTGCTTCATCCTCTTCCCGCTTTTGTTTCAAGGACTCGAGTTCTCTTTCGAGCGAGAGTGCGTGAGTCCTCCACGCATCCTCATCGTACGAGGCCTGGCTATCGTCGGACGTAGAAAAATGCGACCGAAGGTCGAGGAGATAACCTGCGTATCCATGTCATAAAAGTCTGTGAATGAGCCTCGAAGAAACCGACTTGGGATGGACTGGTCCTTCGGCTTGTGTTTCAAGACGGTGATGGCCTAAGGAGGAAACAAGTAATGAGCCGCTTGAGCACAAACTTTGATCCTGTGTGAGATGTTTGACCGTACGATAGCAAGGCGGACTGAAGTCTGGGGTGAGATCGACATGTCTCTGGAACTCTAGCCGCCTTGTATACAGAGATGATTGGAAGATTATCGATTAATGCTTGACATTGCTTGTGGTTGGTACTAGTAGTAGCAAATGTCGAACATTGATGATAGTTCCCACGGCGGCCACTGTGACTTATCAATTCACTGCCAACTTGAATATCGTATCCTTGAACCTTTGTTGTAGCACTCCACTCACATAATATATCACAGGCCTAGAGTCCATACACTTCAGTGAGGCCAATCCCATCGCTCTCGAAGAAACCTACCACGGACAGCTCACGGCCTCCCAAGCCTGGTGTCACCCAGCAATCGAGTGTACCGACTGAGGCCTGAGGCCTGAGGCCCGGCGGCCGCCATGTTTGCAACCACAGGCAGCTGTCTCCTCGATGAATCATCTGATGGCTGTGCTTCGTACACTGTCATTCACTATTGTTGATTTTATCTAGTTCGCACATGTCCTTCATCGTACTTGCATTACTTTTTGAAGTACCGTTGCGGACACTCGTGTTTTTATGACGACGCCATTCGACTTGAGGCTGGTCGTATAGACCAGGCTGTTCTCGAGCCTAGGCTTGAGGACTGAAGTACTGGCGGAGGAGTAGAACAACTTGCAAGTGTCACGTTCACTGTAAATGCACAGGGGTGTGTACACCGTGTTGATATCCAGGAAGAAACCAGTATCGCATAAAACATCCAAAACACCAGACATAACTGTACTACATCAGATTAGGAATGAGACCCGGTGGCTACCCACCATGATCTGAAATACGACATCTGTTTCGCGATCCAGGGACTCACGTGGGATACATGGATACTATTAGTAACTAGTACCGGCCACGTCGACAGGATAAATATGGCAGCCCAAATTGGAGAGAATGATCGAGATGGTGACAACGTCGGAAGTGCAATAAATTACGGTGGACAACGCTGCAGCAAAGAATGCCATTCGTTATTGAGTAAGTCACCGTCTCATTTGTGCACCCAGAAACGTACCCCCAGATCAGAAGAGCATACGGCAGGCTGAGCATGAGTGCAAGGCTCTCGAGGCCGAGCACAGATTGCGACATTTCTTCCATGAACGAGGCCTAGTGGTGCGTGTAAAGAATGCAAGTCAAACGGACAATAAACAGGAAACGCACCACGCTTTCAGCGGAGTCCCGCCGGCTGTCATTGACTTGTCCAGCCAGGACTAGTGAGATCACTAACGAGCCCAAGGCGCAGAGGGTAGACATATACAATACAAGGATTGCAGACACTTGATTCTGGACAGGTGGAACCGACAAAAAACTGATATCAACGGCAAGCATCACCGTAGACTGAGATGGACTGGGTTTATAGATTGCTGCGGAGCAACTATGGAGGGTGCATTGTGCATGACACACCGCCAGCAAGATAAGAGCTAGTGGCGTCATTGGATGCCTGTTAAAGCCGGTGAAGTGACATACAGCTAGTAACTCTGAAAAAGCCGCAGTTCAAACCTTAGTTCAAACTTTTTTTGCAGGCGGAATTTTCACTTACTACTAGTACTGGTAGGAGAATCAGTGGCGTTGATGTTGCAGCTTGTCCGTGATGTACAGCGAGGTGACGTGGCGTGGTTGCAGCATAAGGCAATATATGCACATCAATACACGCCAGAAGGAAAGTGGCACAGCAGCGAAAAAGTAGTGGCGATGACATACCTATAATTAGCATCCGACCCCCTGTGACGCGTTGCAGTTGAGGTTAAGAAAGATGCCGTTCTTGAGCCTTGCAGTTCCTGTACTACACAATATATATTCTGCTCCCTCATTTCATTAGAATCTGGTTTGCTCACATATTTTGCTCTCCCGCCCGGAGTTCCCAGAAATACTTTCGCGTGGGAGCAGATAATCGCTCTGGATGAGCACACTGCCGGTGTTAGTGGCATTGCAATTCATGATCGCATCTTGGCAAGTGCACGCGACAAGACAGCGCGACTGTGGAACCTCGATGACGGCCAGCCAATCAGTTCACTCCTCAAACATGCAGATATAGTGTCCTGCGTGTCGTTTTCGGCAGATGGACAGCTAGCGACCACTGGCTGCCACGACCACAATGCGTACGCATGGACAATCGTTAGAGACACTCCCCTCCAAGCAGCCCGCGGGTTCAGCCTCCTACTGAAAGATCCGGGTGAGTTTTGGGGGCTCTTCTCATTGCGTCTGCGTCCGGGGCACTGAAGGCACCTCCTGCAGGACAGTAACAAGCCATTGTCCGGTCTATAAAAAACCATTTGATTTCTATTTCATTACCGTTGGAGTGGGGTACCCCTCCAGCGGGGGGTAGCACAGGTGGGTAGTCTATTATGTAACGAGGCACGAGCGGAGGAATAGAGTTTTGTCTTCGAGCGAACGTCGGACGTGGCATCGCGCTTCTTGTCTCCGTGCCACAACATCCGTTCGCACTAAGAAGTATCATCGTGCTCGTTTTATTTCTACACATCTATTACCAGCATTAAGCACTCTCTATATCTATCTTAAGCCTACATGGCAAACCCATCTTTCGAAATATGTCCAGACTTCGATGGACCAGCGTACGCAAATATATGCGATGACATCCGGAGAGCCACCGGACAGACCCAAGAAGAAGTCATTGTTCGCCTAACCCAATCCTGGACCGACGGACACAACGAGAGAGTCGATGAGTGGAACCAAAATAGGGAGCAGGAAGCAGCCCAGGTTGCCGAAGCTGAACAAGCTCGAGCGGCCCAAGAGGAAGAAGTTCGCCTACAGCGGGAAGCTGAAGCAGAGAAAGAGAAAATCGAAGCAGAGAAAAAGAAACCGAAAATGAACGGTTTCGACGAAGCGTCTTCAGTAGGAGATTCCATTGCACCGCGCCCATCCCAATACGCGATTCAAAAACTCAATAATTTTGACTACGTAGAACTCTGGTATTTTTCCCCAGAAGGCTGCAAGGAAGCCCTTCGCACAGCTCGGTCTGTTGCAGATGACTTCGGCCTCACCAGGGTTGACGACCAACTGACAATACGCCTTCAAAGCTTCAAAATCAGCCATTGCGGACCACGACCTCCCTTTCCCGACTTTCCTATGTGCAAAGAACCTTTTCTTAATGCAACTTAGCAAAGCGAAGTGGCCACAAAGCCATATTGACGCCCTATCTCTTTTCTTCTGGCACCTCGAGAACCACCCCATTCGCAACAACAGTAAAATCGGCGACACGGTTACTCTCCATTATGCCTCGCGTGTCCGCCAGGACTGGCACGACCGTCTCAAACGCGACGAAGGTTTCAACATCGCCATCATCAATGAGACCCTTTTCCGTGCAATCAACGAGGAACTCTGGGATAAGATCTGTTCCAGAACATTATCTGCGGTACGTTTCCATTTAAACTTACTCACAACGTACCGCTCACAAAGTTTATCATATTATATATAATGCAAACTCCTCGTGCAAACACCAATGAATCCTTCCCGCACCCTTGCTCACGCGGATGCCCACATTTCCTTGTGGATGCCCACAATCCTATTTACGTGGATGCCCGTAACCCTGCTTACACGGATGCCCGTACCCCTGCTCACACGGATGCCCGTAACACTGCTTACACGGATGCCCATACTCTTGCTCACATGGATGCTCACACGTGCACACAAACGATATAATATGTCATATCTCATTCGTGCCATCAGCCAAAATCCAACGAAGTCCTGCCCACCCAGACCCAGAACCGTAAGTCCAGCTACCGGGACTATACGCGCGACTCGCGGCGGGATAACCAGGAGTACAGTCACCAGAGTTCGCGATCACGCTCTCCTCCCCGGGCAGGAAACGACAACCAGAAACCATCCCCAGATAAATCCAGGAATCGCCACCAACGCAAAAGGGATTTTTCCCAAAGCGCAGGCTCTCGCGGCCGGTCAGCCTGCGCCGTATGCCTTGGCCGTTTCTCCCATGACATCCAACGCTGCAAATCCGCAACGTTGTGGGATGGAAGCTCCTCCTATTGTCGAAAGACACAAGACAATCGCCTCGTCAATCCCCAAGGGAACCCCCTTTGTTTCAAATGGCAGCGCCCCAACGGATGCCACGCCGGAAATCACGAATTTCACCACGAATGTTCGGGATGCGGCAGCAAGGAGCACGGCGCTCAAGCTTGTCCTCGAGGAGAGAAAGCGCAAGGCTCTCACGCCGTACAAGCCTGACGGCTGGGCCCTCCTTCTCAAGGAAACAGGGCTTATTAGTAGATACCCTCATATACTCGAATGTCTGGTGTCCGGTTTCTCTGGGGGCATTCCCCCAGTCAAATATACATACAAACCCCCAAACAACCCCTCCATTGAAGAGCACCCCGAAGCCTTCTGGAGCATTGTCAATATTGAGTTCGAAAAAGGCCGTTTTATCGGACCCTTCACAGCGCAAGACCTTGAGTCAATCGTCGGTCCATTCCAAACCGCTCCTCTCTCCCTTGTACCTAAGCCAGGAAAACCAGGCAAATATCGCCTCATTCAAAATCTATCATTCCCGCATAACCCATCCCAAAGTATCAGTTCCATTAATTCGAGAGTCGACTCCGACCTCTTTCCTTGTACGTACGGAACCTTTTCAACGATCTGTCTGGCTATATGGCGCCTCCCTCCAGGATCTCAAGGCGCAGTGCGAGACGTGGCGGAAGCGTATCGCACCGTCCCTCTCCACCACTCCCAATGGGCTGGCCTGGCCATCCTCCTCCCAGGTAACGATGCCTTCGCAGTCGATACTTCGCTCTGCTTCGGATTCGGCCCATCTGCAGGCATATATGGCAATATTAGTGATGCCGGTCTGGACATACTACGCACGAAAGGCATCGGTCCAGCCTCTAAATGGGTGGATGATCACCTTTTTCTCCGCATCAAACGCGAGTACCTCAAGGAATACAATGATAGACGCGCTAAGTGGGCAAAGGAGATCGCTGAAAATGGGGGACTTATTGTTAACGGCGGTCGTAAGTGGTACAAAGGAGCTACAATGCCTAACGAATCTAGCGAAGAGTTTGACGAGGACGCATCATTCCCGATCAAAGACTTATCACAGTGTTCCCCTCGATCGAAGGAAGACAAAGCTTTCACCTACTGCGTCGATGACATCAATCATTTCTCGTCAATGTTGGGCATTCCCTGGGAATTGTCGAAAGACAAACCCTTTAGCAACAGTCCACTATTCACCGGTTTCATGTGGAACATCGCAACACGCACTGTGGACCTCTCTACCGAGAAAAGAGAAAAGTATCTCCTCACCATCGCAGGATGGCAGTCAAAACGTACTCACACACTCCGCGAGGTACAGAAGCTCTACGGCAAGCTGCTACATGCGGCAAACATTATCCCCGCTGGCCGAGCTTACCTCACTAACCTCGAGGCAATGTTGGCCACCTTTAGCGACCGTCTGTTTCTCCCACGAACCCCACCACGAAACACACCAGACGACATCCGCTGGTGGAAGAACGTCCTCAGCAATGCATACGTTTCCCGCCCAATTCCCGGACCCTGCATTGTATACAACTTCCATGCCTATTCGGACGCTAGCTCTGGCCATGGGATCGGCATTTTCATCAACGGGCATTGGAGAGCCTGGGACCTCATTCCCGGATGGAAGAGAGATGGACGTGACATCGGGTGGGCTGAAAGTGTCGGCTTCGAGCTTCTCGTCCGCTCAATTGTCAGCTCTCAAGCCTCCGGAATTCATTTCAAGGTCTACGGGGACAACATGGGCATCGTCGAAGGCTGGTGGACAGGACGCAGCAGAAACCGCGCCTCAAACGAGGTCTTCAAGCGCGTTCATCAAGTCATCGCTAGTTCCAAGTGCTCAGTTCTTACTAGGTACATACCAAGCAAAGACAACCCCGCCGATGGCCCTTCCCGCGGGATATATCCCCCACAGGTCTATTGTTGCCCCCAGTCGACCTCCCAACAGAGCTACGACCCTTCGTCAAGGAGGTCTCTGAAGCCATCGCGACTTCCAGATCAAAATGTCGTCGTCCAGCCAACAAACCGCTTCACACAGTGGGCAGGAACCACCCAGACTCAGAACTCCATTGCCGTGCCCTCATCAATCGTGATTTCGAGCGAAGGGGAGAGGAGCTGTTTAAAGCGTCGCAAGACTAGTAAGTCCAACGCGGACTCCCACCACTGTTTCACCTTAACCAGTTAACTCCAACAATAGCTTATAACTCAAGCCTCACCCCCCTCCCATCTTCTCTCCGTCCTCACTGCCCCGCAAGAGAAAGACTGTACCTTTGAAATCCAACGACCTCTCGAAACTTACGAGACGAGAAAGGCAAAATCGTTCCCTTACCCCCAGCCAACCTCCATTGCATTCGTGACACAATGATCCATGCGTACACAGAAGCAACGCGCGAGACGTATGGATCAGGTTTACTAACCTTCCATGTCTTCTGCGACAGTAAGAGCATCCCCGAAGAGCAGCGCGCCCCCGCAAGTCACATCCTAATATCCTCTTTCATCACCTCCATGGCAGGCCATTATTCGGGCAAGACAATTGTGAACTACGTCTGCGGCATCCGCGCCTGGCACGTCCTGCACGGTCTAACGTGGTCCCTCAATGAAATGGAGATAGAGACCCTCCTCAAAGCTTCCACAGCTCTTGCACCTGCCTCCACGAAGAGAAGCATGCGGGAACCATATACCATTGAGCTGATCACCACTATTCGCCAGCACTTAGACCTCCTCAATCCCCTCGACGCGGCGGTTTTCGCGTGTCTGACAACAATGTTCTATACCACAGCTCGTGCCGGCGAATTCACAGTTCCTCGCCTCGACGCTTTTGACCCAATGATACACGTCAAACCCTCCAATGTCAGAGACACCCAAGACCGGCAGAATCTCCCAATGAAAAGCTTCTTCCTCCCTCGAATGAAGAGCGCAATCGAGGGAGAAGAAGTATCTTGGGCCAGGCAAGATGGTCCCACCGACCCAGAAGAAGCCCTCACAAACCATTTCCGCGTCAATGATCCACCCCGAAACGGCGCTCTCTTTGCCTATCGCCATAACGACTCTCACCGACCACTAACAAAGTCCAAGTTTCTGCAACGCTTAGCGTCTGCAACGAAAGCGGCCGGTCGCCAACCAGTACAAGGCCACGGCATTAGAATTGGTTCAACGCTCGAATATCTTCTTCGAAATGTGCCCTTCGATGTCGTGAAAGTGAAAGGCCACTGGGCTAGCGATGCGTTCCTTGTGTATCTGCGCCGCCATGCACAAATCTTAGCTCCCTACATGCAAGCTACCCCCACGCTGCAAGAGCAATTCCTGCGTCACACCGTGAACCTTCCTCCAGTCCGTTAGAACATACCAGGGCATTACACAATGTAAGTCCTTTCCTCCTACAGGGGTTGGGGTATCCGAGCCTCGCTGGATGCGTCGTCAGTCCTCCTAATCATTTGGGAATCGCAGCTCACCTCTCTACCTCAGGTTAGCCCCTCGGGGCCGGACGACGCTGCGCGTCCTCGCCCGAAAACTATCTCTACTCGTTCAATGTAACATGTTCTCTGGACTTAATCAAATACATTTGTTACCTTTGATCTTTCACTCCACCCCATCAACACGTCTAAGTGTTTCAGGCTTCAGCGTGGCAGGGGAAGAGGGAAGAGCGAGACATCAGAGAGGCCTTCCCAAGGTTTGGGCAGGGACAGGGCAAATCCGTCAAGGAGATGGCCTGTGACCAGGTGCGTGCCGAAGGGAGGAAGACTCCAACCCCAAGGCACGGGAAGGCACGACTGATGGGACGCAGGAGGGACTGACAGGGACACAGCAAACAGCAAGACAGCGAGTACAGAGGGATAGTGGGAGGGACAACAAAAAGGTGACTGCGAGTGAGATACTGACTACAGGCTACAGCGAGCGGAGCACAGACAACTACGAAGATATCACCCTTGTGGTGCTAAACCAGGAACACGAGGATCTGCGCCACGACAGATCAGCCTGAAACCCCACATCCCACGCCCTCGTGCCTCTGGCAGGAATGCACCCATTTCAGGCTTCAGCGTGGCAGGGGAAGAGGGAAGAGCGAGACATCAGAGAGGCCTTCCCAAGGTTTGGGCAGGGACAGGGCAAATCCATCAAGGAGATGGCCTGTGACCAGGTGCGTGCCGAAGGGAGGAAGACTCCAACCCTGAGCCAGAGGCCAGGCGGAGCCGCTGGGACGAGGAACGAGGCACGCTGCCCGAACGTGAGAAGGCGGAGCCGTTGTGCAAGGCAGGAGGAAGGTTTTCAATATGCCGCAGAGCCAGGAGGTCCAGGTTTCTCCAGTAACAAAGAAAAGCATCAGATGACCAGCGGCCCAGAGCCTTGACGACATCTGGAGGTACACCAGAGAGTAGTAGTTCAGTAGTACCTCCAATGTGAAATGAGTGACCGGACGCAAATGGAATTCCTGCAGCTGCCCAAATCGAGTTGCAGCGTGTCAACAGTTTCCGGCGAGTGAGGCAACGGATACCAGCAGGTGAAATGTAGCAGAAGAGGGGGAGATGTTCTGCAAAGACATTGACGGCAAGGTAATGTTCCAAAGCATTGATTGGATCCGAAAGGTCGCATTGGCGGCAGATGATGACTTCTTCCCCTTTGTTTTTCTTCACCTTCATGAAAGGCAGATGGAGTTTGCGCGAGCCATTTGAATTGAAGGGCGCAGAGAGGTCACTCCTGCAGGCGATGTGAAATTCTTTGAAGGACTTTTCCCAACTTGACAGAATCTCTCCTAGACGAAGCTGACCCCACATGGCGGCACAAGCGGCAGCCAAGCAACAGGCATCGAGACCCAATGAGAGATCTAAGTGAGAGGCAAGTATCAGCAGCATCGAGCAAGTCACAGGAGGCCACTGGGGACGCGAAGAAGAGCTGGGAGCTAGGTTAGAAACACCGTTCAAAACAAAGTGGAGCCGAGAGCTGCCCAACCAAGGGGCATTGTGGTAAGCATGCCAAGCCTTAAGGGCAGACATATGGTTTCGAACAGAGTCACCCGCGAGAGATCCCAAACGAGAAGAGGCAAAGGCACATAGAAGGGCTTCACTGGCAGGGCAACGAGACTCCGAAGGAATATGTTCTAGCTCGCAAAAGAGGAGAAAGCTGCGGATCGCACTACAGTATTTGCGGAGCGTTGAGTCTGCCCAAGCAGCATCGAGAGCTTGTTGGATACAGAGGTGAGCCTGTCCGGAAAGCTCAACGGCTGGAAGGTCAGGCATCAAGATAGCGGTTGAGAGACACAGGAGAGACTGCCCGTGGGCTTAGAAGTCACATGCGGCAGGGTCGCACATGCAAACAGACGGACAGACTGGATTGCAATACTGGTATGACCACAAATTAACCCGAAAAACTACACTAAACAGACGAATTTTTTGAGGTAAGATGGAAGAGGTGGGGGAAATCTAAAATGTGCCGCTGATTGTGGGAAGGCTCCTCTGGAGATGCCATCCGAAACGTTGTCAGCTGATTTGACCCAGTCTACTGAGAGCCAAATATCATGGTCGAGGGCGAAGGATGAAAGACGCCGAAGAATGTCGTTTTGAGCGAGGCTACGAGATCTACCAGCCTTCAAGGCTCCCACCACACCCTGATTGTTGGAATGAAAATGCAAATGAACGTTGCGCAGACCTGAGTGCACGAGGGCCCGCAATCCCAGATCAATGGCCACCATTTCAGCCCAGCCTATGTCACGACCCTCGGAGTTCCAACCAGGAAGCAGACGCCAAGCCAGCCAGCAGTTGTCGGCAAGAAAGCCTATTCCGAAAGACGTTGATGCATCTACAAAAATTGGAAGACTGAGAGGGGGAGGGATTGACCGGAGTTTCCGTGAGCAAATGTCAGAGGAGAGTTGCGTGTTCCACCAGACAACATCCTCCAGGACCTTATGGGGGATTTTGTGGGTAAGCAGAGGCGAAGATGAGGAGTTGAAGGATGACAGGAGCCGGTGGAAGGATGGCAGACGTGAGCGACCCTCTCGAAGGACAAGACAGCAATGTTGGAGTCAACCAATGATGCCTTCACAATCAGCCCGAGTCACAGAAGCACCTGCAACCCACGATGTGAGACGAGCAAGGTATTTGGACCGCTTAGAGAGAGGGATGGAAACAATTTTCTCGATGAGATCCCACTCAAAGCCAAGGTACAAGAAGAGGAAGGCGAAAGGTCTGAATTTGTCGGGAGCCCAAGGCCAGCCAAGATCAATGGCGATATTGAAGATGAGGCTTTCGTCGTAAGAATACAGCCAAGGTGCAAACGAGGAAGGGGATGTAGGGTAACGAAAGAATATATAATCATCAACCCATTTCAACAAGTCTTCGACCCCATTGAATTTGTAGATGGCTACAATCGCATCACCAGGTCGCCCGAACATTCCGTTAGAGCTGGCACCACCGAAGGAAGCTGCATGATCGATCCAAATCTGGACCACCCCATCCACAATGTACATTACACAAACAAACCGTTGGTCTTCAGGGGCAATGGGAGAGCGGCGATGGGCAGATGCAACGTCAAAGACAGCGACCTGAGTTCCAGGAGGGGCCTCCGTCACCAGGCGTTCACAATCCTCAAAGGTGCCCCAATCACAAGGGAAGAGAGAAGAATCAATTGCAGAATTAACAGAAGGAATAAACTGATGATTACGAGGGAAGGAATGATCTTGAATAAGTCGGAATTTGGAAGAGCCTGGTTTTGGGATGACACCCAGAGGGCTCGTACGGAAACAGCCAATGAGGCGTTCGAGGCGGTCTGGAGAGAATGGGCCGGTATAACGGCGAGCAGAGACTTCAGAGTGGATATAAGACATGATGAAATCAGGTTGGTCGACAGCTGATCTATGATTATTGGGAATATACGAAGAAAGGAGAGGAAAAGAGTCAGGGACACCTAGACGCCAGCCAAATCGGATGCCTTTCGGAACATCTGCAAACTCCTCGAGTGCACCAGCACGCTCGAGGTGCTCATGCCACTTCTGCCAGATGAAGGGGGTGACAACTGGCAGGAAGTGATTACTGTGAGCAAGTTTGAGAAGAGTGAGATCCTCCGCAGCGAATGCACAAGTGGCGCCGTCCGCAGTCAGATTCTGCACGGGAACATCCTCGGCCATTGAACCGGAAGCAAACCTGCTCACCCGCAGATGTCGTCCAGACATTTGAGGAGTCAAGAGAGACGAAGGAGGTGCAGGTGGTGCCACAAGCACAAGAGCGGCACTCGGTTTTACCACAGAAGATGCATTTGTGCGAGGAAGGTTGGGCCTGCGAGGCACGAAAAGGAGTGGGGGCAGAGACTTTGGGGGTTGAGGCAAGAAGGGAGGTGTTCTGAAAGGAAGAAGAGGTGGCACTGTTGCGTGCCATAGCAGGGAAGGATGAGAAGCTGGGTTGGAGGGCTGGGGTGTTGTGCTCCTGGACAATTGCCCGCCAGACCTCCTCCTGCCACTCTGAAGGAGTGAAGGTGTGGTTGTGCATGAAGGATTGCCGCACGTGAATGTCATACTTCAGATACAGAGGGAAGTTGACGAAGAAGTCGTAACGGGCAAAGAGGGATGAAAAGTGAGACTCCCAGGAGTCAGCGATAGCAGCTGCATGATCACCAGGAAGGTAACGACGAATCATACTGACGAGGCGGGGCCATGCGTGGCTCCACTCCTCAACAGTGAGGGTCCGTTCAGATTTCCCATCAAAGTAGGGGGCAGAAACGGTGAGAATACCTTCCTTAACCGAAAGCGACTGGTCTGAGTCAGATTGCGAACGGGAGGAGGAGCCAAGCTGCAGCAAGGACTTTGTGGAAAAGGCAGAAAGGGGTATGTGAACAGCCCAGTTGTTGCGCAGAGCAGTCGCAACAACTTTGGATTCGGGTAAGGTGTTACCACGGAGCTGCATGGGAGCAGAGGGCAAGGACCTATGGGCTGCAGAAGAGTGCCCTCCGAGAAGGGAGGACAAGCCCCCCAAATTGATGCCAGGGAGCAGTGAACGAGAGGGTGGCAAAGGCAAGTTTCCAGCGGGAAGCGCTAAGAAACAAGAAGAAGTGAGCCCAGGGGACGTGGAAACTCAGAGAGGGTGGGGAAGACCCCAAAAGGGAGGCAATGGAAGAGCCCTACACAGAAGGTGGGGGGAAACCCACAAAGGAAGAGGTACGGAAGCGCACCAAGGGCAAGCAGCCCCAGGAAATGGAGGCACAAACGAATGCGCATCGAGAGATGCAAGGGAAAGGGCAAGCACTTACCTGGCAAAACAGTTGGCAGGGGAGGGAAGCCTCGGGCAGCCGAAGGAGTAATGGTTGGAGGTAGCTCAGGCAGCAAGGCCTCGACATCGATTACAGCCGCATGGTCACGGAATGCTAGATGCACCCGGGCACGGACAGAAGGGTCCAACAGATCAAGGCCAGCGGTAAGCCGAGAGAAGGAGGCCTGAACCTCATCTGCATAAGAGACAGGCGGGGGAAGGGAGGACATGCGGCCAGGTGAGCGACCCCCTGGAATGCGCAGGGTGAAACCTGAAGGGGCTGGAGAGGGAAGGGCAGAGGCAGATGGTGAAGGGGAAGCGGGGGGAAGCCATGGAATTCGGGATGGATAGCCCGCTGTTTCCCCTTGGATTTCTTAGGCGCAGGGGGGGCAGGAGAACCCAGAGAGCCTCCAGAGCGCTCTCTGACCCTGCCACGCAAAAGCTGAATGGGCGAGAGCAAGGCATGCCCCTCATCATCTGCATCATCCGAAGGGTGGATGACATTGCCCAGGCGGGGGAAACCAGGAGAGGTGTTTTCAGCCATGCCCGCCAGGTCGGACAGGTCGATGGAAGGAGTTCTAGCAGGCGAATCGACAGGAGGGACCGGTGTTTCAGGAACAGGAGTCAGCGCACGAGGATTGCGGCGGGTGCCTAAGGCCATCAGAAGGTGGAGCAACGACACAAGGGTGCGGAGATAGGACAAAGGACGACAGAAGAACAACGAGAGAACAACAAAAAGGTGACTGCGAGTGAGATACTGACTACAGGCTACAGCGAGCGGAGCGCAGACAACTACGAAGATATCACCCTTGTGGTGCTGAACCAGGAACACGAGGATCTGCGCCACGACGGATCAGCCCGAAACCCCACATCCCACGCCCTCGTGCCTCTGGCAGGAATGCACCCAATCCTCAAAGATGGGTAGTCTATTATGTAACGAGGCACGAGCGGAGGAATAGAGTTTTGTCTTCGAGCGAACGTCGGACGTGGCATCGCGCTTCTTGTCTCCGTGCCACAACATCCGTTCGCACTAAGAAGTATCATCGTGCTCGTTTTATTTCCCCACCCTCCTCTCTCCTTTTTTCTTGCATCATCACTAATGCAAGTTCCTCGCTCTCTATACCCGAACCCTTTGGGCCCGGAGGTCACCTGAAACCCGGTCAATGCGAGGAAGCCCTCCCTCCCTCGCAGCTCACCTCTCTACCTCAGGTTAGCCCCTCGGGGCCGGACGACGCTGCGCGTCCTCGCCCGAAAACTATCTCTACTCGTTCAATGTAACATGTTCTCTGGACTTAATCAAATACATTTGTTACCTTTGATCTTTCACTCCACCCCATCAACACGTCTAAGTGATCCTCAAAGACGGGTATTTGCCACCATTTGCGTAGCTTAGTCAGTAGGGGTGGAGCATTCGGGCGTTGTCGTAGATAGCAGGTTGAGACCATACCAACTTCCGTCTGTCAGAGGTAGGCACATTGCCAGCCGCACCAGTCCACCGTTGTAGATTGATTTCACTCAATATTAGATGCAGCAAGGCAAGGACGAACTATTCATGCGGCTGGGGACCCGGGAGAGGCGAGAGTGGCTGCAGACCCCGAGGGGGCGAGAGTGGCTGCGGACCTGGGATGGGAAAGACTGGCTGAAGATCCCGAAGGGGCGAGATATGTTGCAGACTCAGATCAGGAGAGAGTGGTTGCGAACCCAAGGCGGGAAAGACTGGCTGCGGACGCAAGACGGGCGAGATTGGCTGATGAACCAAGACGGGCTCGACTGGCTGCAAACCCAAGGCGGGCTTGACTGGCTGTCAATGCACACCCAGGATGAGAGAGATACCCCATTTATACCGCAGCTACCGAGTGAACGAGAGTCGCTGGGGAACAAGGGCAGGCAGGTGTGGCCGCATACCCAGGGCGAGGGTTATATACCGCGCATGGGAGATATACCGGAGCCACAAAGTAGAGAGTGGTCGGATACGCAGGGAGATTGGATTCAGCCTGGGAGCTGGCGAGACTGGCTGGGCAGTGGAGAGTGGTTGCAGACCCCAGCTGGGCAACTTTGGATACAGATCCAGGGGAGACGCTGGTTACAGACTCAGAGTGGGCAAGATTGGCTGCGGACCCGGTGCGGGGGAGACTGGCTGCAGACCCAGAGTGGAGAAGACTGGCTGCAGTCACAGGACGGGAGAGTCTGGCAGCAGACCCAAGGCGGCAGATATGTGCTACAGACCAAAGCCGGCCTAGACCGGCTGGATACTCCCAGCGGTCGAGAATATCTCAAGCACCAGAGACCGGGCGGGTGGCTTTATTCCCAAGGCAGCGATTGGCTGCAGAGCCAGGGTGGGCGAGATTGGCTACAGACGCTTGATGGTCAAGCATATCAGTCGACTTGTGTAGAATTTCTCAGCATTGACTTTTTCGCCCCTCCGACTTTTCGATCCGAAGATTTCGCCTCATGGAACTCCATTTTGCCGAAAACCCCACCTTCTGTAATCGATGATGATGTCGCTAAGCTCACTGCTCAAGCCGCTGTCAGTCAGACCATCCATCCGTAGCCCTTACAACGACATCACAAATCACTCGGCACTGTTCGATCAATCCACGGAGATCACCCGCGTTATTCAGGGTATTCTATATAGAGATATCAGAATGCCATGTAGCCTAAAGTCGTCCAAGAATAACTTACTTTTGCGATGCAAGATGTTCGAAACTGTAGAAAGAATGCTTTGCACGAGGATTGCAGTATTGATCACCGCTATCGTTCCACTCAGCAGTGCCATGCGTTGACCATTATCGACGTTTTTGAGAGCAGATGAGTCTTTCATTGAAAGTCCGATGATGCCCACCTTCATTGATAAAACTTGGGAACAGGAGGGTCAAACTGGGTTGATCCGGGAGCCTATAAATACCAGCTGAGGGGAGCACAATCATTGTTAACGGCCATGACGCCACAGTTGCAAGCAACCTCGTTTCGGTCGATTGGACCTTGACATGATGTGACATCCGAACAAGATAGGAACCAGTGGCGTCGTCGGATGCTTGTCATATGCTGAAGTGGCATACAGCCAGTAACTCTGAAAAAGCAGTTCAAACCTGGATTCAAACTTTTGCGGGCGGAATTTTCACTTACTAGGAGAATCAGTGGGGTTGATATCACAGCTGCAGATTTCGTGTGTACAGCGAAGTGCATACCTACACTTAGCATCCGACCCCATATGACGTGTTTCCATACAGAAGCACGTATTCCTCAATCTGTCACATCAGTAGTCGAGCGCCATATACTCAGATCAAATAATACCTCACCAGGCACTAGGGGATTCCAAATATAGATGTCAAATTCATAAAAGGGTCCAACATGGTATACAAGACAAATCGATAGAATGAACACACTGTCCACGGTCACTACTAGGAGAACCTTTGCAACAAATGATGCGCGCGAAAATTCGACGTGCGGCGTCCAGTCGGTATATATAGCAAGATCATCAATTTTCCATCCATCCGTGAAAGTCATGAATCCTAGTTGCGGCGGAAGCGCGAAAGGAACCCGCCCTTGGGGCCATTCAGCTGGTATGCGTTATTGGTAGCACCTGCCATTCTGTCACGACGACGGCCGAAGCACACAGTGCATCCAGCCAAGAGAAGCAGAATCAGGGCTACGAATGTGAGCCAAAAACCTGTCGTAGTGTTGAGACCAGTAGTGAGCTGAGAAAAAGAAAAACTAACCAGGCCCAGTGATGGTTGTCTCGCTTATATTTAGCGTACCCAATTCTTGCTTGACATAGGCAAAGAGAGCGATATTGATGGCAAATGCGACGAGGGTAATCAGGGCCGCGAGGAATGAGACTAGAGAAGCCACCAAGGTAATTGTGATGTGCTGGGAAAAGGATAGAAGAAGTGCAATAAATGCAACACAGCAGGCTAAGGGAGAGGCGAAGTCAGATTGCGACTGTTTTGGGTACAGAGTGTAACTGACCAACGGGAAGAGTAGCGAGGCCACGTGTCCATGAAGGACCTATAGTCACTTCAACATTCTGTGAGTTGGTGACAGTGAGCGAGTATCCATGGCCTGTCATTGAATAAGCATAGAATTGTAGCGATATCAATAAATAGGTTTACCAGTGTTGAAACACGTGCGGCCCGCAGACAGGTCAACACAATAACCCCTGGAGGTAGTTTAGTTGTGCTATCTCGTATAGTATTGTATGATATTTACCAAATACCGAGCTAGATGGTACGGTGAGAAACCATGAGTTCGGGCACCTCAAGTCAACTAAACTACTACTCACTCTAAGTTGGGTGAATGCTTCGTTGTTGTTGCTTGAAACCTGTCCACTGGAATGGACGCGAGTAATGTCCATGGCCTGAAAACTTGGGAGAGAGATTGAGACGATGAAAAGGAGGAACCAGGCAGAGAAGAGGAAGAAGACGCCTGGAATACAGTATGTTCTCGACATCTTCGCCAGTTTGATTGATATTGATTGTTTGTCGTTTTTTAAGGACTATGAATGAACGACGTCAGAGACGAAGATTAAGTGGAGGTGGAGACGAAAGTTAAGGTTAACTTTTATGCCAATTGCGGCAGAGGGAGGAGTGTGTGCGCCCTACAGCACTGCCACAATGCCACCTTTTGGTAACGTCATTCCGGGTTATCGGTATCCACCCTCGGAAGTTTTCTCCAGATCGTCGATAATCAGCGAGCGTGATTAAGGTTATGATGGCGCTTTGTCTGCTGACCTGAGATCTAGACACAGCCAGTCAAGCAACACATATCTCTCGGGATAGTATGTTCGACCGTGTCTTGATCAGCCTCGGCGTCCCAGTCATCGATTAGGCTCGAGACCAGCGTCACGGGTCTAGTCATCGATGACGCATATGTTCAAACTCGGACTCAGGTACTATCAGTGAGGGCGAGACCTAGCTCCGACGGTCTTTCCAGGGAATCAAGATAGAAGACTTGTATTCTTTTAGCCGTTCCATTTTCTATTTACGTTTAGTACTGATTTCATTTCAGTTCAGACTGACTATCCGGACACTGCTATCGGACGATGGCTGCGTTTATATCCAACAAACACTCACAGGAATTATCATAGCTCGCCTTGTAACACAATCATGGTTTCTCCGATTCCAGCTGGCAATGCTCAGCCACACATGCAGACAAGCACACGTACCCCTCTGAATCATTTCAACGCACTCACGACTGCATGCATCCTTCTCGAACATATACAAACTCTCGAGCGACTCCGTGACGAGACACAACACCGCGTGGAAGCTAAAAGACAGAAGCTGCACTTTCTGGAGGCGTTCACTCCGAATCGGAGGCTTCGAGATGCTTTGTCCGAGTCCATCGTCATAAAGCAACACATGCGCGACACCACCCCCACACGTAGCAGTCATTTCCCGTCACCTCGCCTTCGCGGGCTATACGACGTTCATGGTCCCGGATGCATCAACCAGAACTCTCTACAAACCACAGCTGACTTCTCCCCGCTCAGTCTCGTCGGTCTTTCGATCTACGGGAGCGATCATGAAGTAGTTTTCGAACATGACGACGACGAAGCTTTGTTGTGTCCATCCGCCGATGAAGCTGTCGAGGATTATGCGGAAAACACAGATAGCTCCAAAGAATACTGTGACCAGCTCAACTGCCTCACCTCTCCTTTCCAGCTTGTTCCTTCCTCGTCCGGGATTACCTTCAAAGCCCAAGGTTGCCCGCTAGTACCCGATTCCACCAACAATTTACTGATTATGTTTGCTAGAACCTGATCGGGTTTCTCCACCAGGGCAAGCATCGCACAGGTACCGATCCATCGCTCACAGCAAGAAGTCCCTACCTGGCGTGAAGGGCAAAGGGCTCATACGCCGTGGATCTTCTAAACGTACCAGCGCCGGACAATCCAGGGCAAAGAGGGCTTTACGCAGGATTTTACACCATAAGAAACCCGGCGTGGACGCCATTAAATTTCATGTGTAGGTATTCAGTCATGACTTGGATGTTTCTTCATAAGTTCCCTTGCGTATCTTTGGCGTATCGCAGTGCTTGTCTGCATTCAAATGTCATGTTCAACTTTCCGGAAAACAAGTCTCTTGCAGATTCGACAACTTTCGACGAAACAATGCTCGCCGTTTGGTTAGAACTTAGTCGTACGAGTACCAAGGTTGTGCAGCTCACATACCCTGTTATCACTCGGCGTTTGTTCTGTTCCCTCAGCACATAAATAGGTCGTGTTTGCATATACCGAAGATGCCCAAGCAGTGGGGGAGCGCGCTTTCAAGATTCAAGTGCCAGATAACCGAAGCAGTGGTTCACCGGCTGAGGAATCGTCGATGAAGGAGTTGGTGAATGTCGGGATAAGTGAATATGGGCCTGTTTATGACCGTAGTCATAATTGCGCTCAAGGGACCAGTATCAGTACTTTGAGAATTCCACCTGCGCCGGGAGAAACCTTGCTTGACCTAAAAAATTGTTAAGTTCGTGTTCTGACCTGGGAGACTGATCATCCGATGAGGCTGTTCAAAGTTCAAACGAGCTACATCACAGAACATCACGTGATCTCGATCATGTTCTTTAGCCGGAAATTGCCGATAGTAATATTGTGTTTCAAGGAGGTTGCAAGAACTTCGATTAATATTGACCTCGAAGGGCACTTGTCCGTTTTGCCATTGGCAGTTGTTCAAACGCAGTACAGAACGACAAATCGGATTTCATTTTGTTTCCCTTACCGCTTCTGTTTACTTATAGAGCTCGACAAACAACAGGGTCCCCACTTCTTGCGATGCGCGAAGCTGCGGCTATTCTAGAATGGCAAGCTCGGAGTCCGATCATCATGATAGTGTTCATGGTAGCTGCGACAACTTGAGTACGTGTCCGTCACCTCTCGCGGCAGTGCATGACTATTGATTGGCGATATTCTGGTACCACAGTGACGTACCACTAGACCATTGTCTTCATCATGATGATTGACCGTACTGATTCCTTCAAGGCAGTGTCACGGTTGCCGCGGTCCGGTCCAGAACCGTCATGGTTCGAACCTGATCGGACCAAAGCACAATTTCCAGTCCATTTGGTCTGGGTTGGTTCTCGATATCAGTACCAGACTGCGGCAGGCAGAACATCGGATAAGCGGCCATTGTGGGGTATCTCACGCGCCCAAACATCGTAACAACTTGCGGGACCCTTTCCCTTTTGTTTGTCGAGCTCCACGGACCACACGTAAACAGAAGCCGTGCCGTGAGGGGAACAAAATGATATCCATCTGCAAAACGACTGAAATGAACGCTTAACTTACGCGCGTTACGGACACTTACGAACGCTTACGACTTCAGTAGCGCACTCAGGCGATTGGTGGAGATGCTTTTGCTGTTATTATTTTATTTCGCCGGTTGAACTTACGAGAGATGGAGAACTGAACGTTTTGATCAATGATAATCTGTCGCATCTCACTGAAGATAAAAGATGGGCTTGATTTAATCTGAGATCAAATAGATAAAAAACAGACAACACGACGCAGTGAAATTGCATGATCAGAACATAACAAAGAATGTGACTAAATGTAACTAGTGCAAATCTGAGCGCAATGAGTGATACACCTCCTTGTCCGAGAAATTGTTCAGATAAAAACGCTCATATACCTCCATACTCGTCGCTGCACCCACCGTACGGTCAGCGCCTTGGCCGTACATAGGGATAAGCTCTACCGCATGCGTGACATCTGTGAGAGGAATGACTGCACCCAATCTTATCCGCTGGCCTGTGGGCCCTTCCCAATATTTTCGGGCCACCGTATACATACTGATGGCACGCTGACTGCCTGGATCCCCGACGATCTCATAGTACTGGACATAGAGGAGCGGTTGGTCCGCAAGGTAGTGGGGAAGTGTGACGTTGTGAGGTGCAATGGGCTGGAAGACTGCCCGCACTTGAGCAATACGATTTACTGTGTAACAATAATCAGTAATATGCAGCCAAGATAAGGTAAATATTATTTACCTGTCTGGTCGCCGTGTATCGACTGCGTAATCACAGCATCGCAATTTCCTAGAGGAAACTGTTCTGATGGTGGGGCAGCCTGCACGACTTGACTAGGCATGATCATCCGCGAGCGAAAAACGGAATGCAGCTGTAATCGAAACTTATTCCACGTCTTGAGGCGACCACGATCATTGCTCCACGCTGTCGTGAATTGACTGCCGGAAGCCTTCGTAATATAATCAGAAAGCACTTGTCCAAAATCTGGCAGTGCGTAAAGCTGCTGGATTTCATTGAGAGACATCTTGGCTCGATCAGGAGTAACGGTGACGTGAAAGGCAGCTGTAGCAGTGGAAGACAGGATACCCTTCAAAAAGTGGTTTCGAACTGGGCGTGGCCCGACAAAACACCGTTGATTTGGATCATTAGGTGCGACGCGGGCGATCCACGCAAGAGCAGGGTCAGTTTCAGTGACCTCTTGCTCTTCTGTAACTATGGCATTGACGAGGGGGGAATCGTGCATCCGTAGGAAGAGGTACAATTGGAATCGCCGCATCGACTCCTCGCGGTTGAGAATGTCAACGATTTGTTCTGTGAAGGTACGTGACTGGCGCGATGTCCTCTCAAAAGGGAGTTTACAATGAGTAATGAGAAGACGCTCAGTGACGTCAGCAGTCCATTGGATGAGAGCGCCAGTGTCCTTGGTGAACGAAGCAAAACTCTGCAAAAGCTCGAGCTTCGGGATGATAAAGTTGTTGAGTGTTCCTTTGGTGCCTCGTCTCGCGCCTGCATCTAATATTGCGTGTTTATAATCATGAAACTCTTTGAGCGAGGCGACCATGGAATCAACAGAGCTGTCAGAATAAACAGGGCTTTGGGCCTGATAGATGAAGTCGATCAAAGCGCGAATCGCATGGACAAACGGGGGGGGGCACGACCCCAGTAATAGAAGGAACCAAGGTGCGTTGCAAGTCCCGATGTTCCCGACCAGTCATTTGTTTCATCTGGCATACTCCGGATGAAAAATGGCGTGTTCCTACTCTCTTGTGGTGACTTCGGAAACGGAGATCGAGTTCATCCTTCCCCACCGATTCTTTGCACCACTTGAATGGGTGGTCAAAGAAAAACTTGTGACAGGTATGCAGAATTTCCCCTACCAGAAAGCGAGAAGGATCTGAGTGCCGCCAATTCCGCCAAAAAGGCTGGTGAATGCCACTTAATGATTGAGCCTTGGCCTCCTCCTGGAATTCTCGCAACCTCCATGGATCGATCCGTTGACAGATGTTGTATATCGCCGTAAGTGTATGTTCTTTCGTGCGTGGTGGATGGCGATAGGTGTCACCAAAAGATTGAGACGTGGCCAATGTGATAGGAGAAGCGACCTTCGAGACACATGCTATAGCTTGCTGTTCTGGCAGGTCCGCAGTGTACGCGACCAAAGGTGTGAAGCAGTGTCGTAGATGTCCGGCTGGATCAGGCATGAACTTGCCCACCATGGCTGCGACCTTAGCGTCTGCGAAGACGATGTCCATGCACTTATGGAATAGACGTTGGCTGAGAATGGTTTGGTAGTCAGGATGAACGTCAACGAATTTGGGAATCGGCATATATGCGACGCATCGCCAAGCATGACATGTTGCTCTCATCCGCACGTCAGATTGAATATTGCCAATAGTGACAAAAATAGGGTGCATTTCAAGTCCTCCCGTATGCCGGGTCACAGGTGTCTTATCAGATGCAACGATCATCGGAACAATGGTAGCGCCTTCGGGAAGTTGATCCTGTACCGAAGCCATCAGTAGACTACTGTGAATGATACATCAAACTTACCTGAATTTCATATGCTTGTTGGGCCGTAAAATATTCACTGTATTCGCGCTCACCACCATCGACCACGACGTGCGGGTCATATGTCATGTGGTTCGCAAAAATTGGATTTGCAAAGAGATCTTGCACTACCTCTAAGCCATCACGCCAGATGAGGTTTATCGGTTGGATAGTTGGGTACCCGGTCATTTCAAGGGTTGTTGAACGCCATTTTGGTCCGGTTGGAAGAGAAGCTACCCATGCAAGTAGCTGATCTTTGGAGCTGAACGACGGACCAGCTCGGCGTACCTGTAAACTCAAGGTCAGTACACTAGCCCATACTCCACAGCTCCAGACAAACCCAATCCAGCTTGAGAAATCGCTCCATATCACTTTGCGTTAAGCGTTCACAAAGGAATTTTGCAAGGTCAAACTCTGCCTGGTCTTGAAAGGGATAGAATGGAGCATGACGTCGGCGGTAAGCATACTGGTCATTTTCCATCGCCTCGAGGGTGTTTGGCGCCTTTCCAAATATATAGCCAGAAGATGGGTGGTACCGCCCAAAGATGCGGTCTTTTCCTGCTTCAGAAGTAGATCGAAGGAACGCGGGTGGGACAGGAATACGGCAATCTTGCACCGGAGGCCAGCAACCATTTGTTGTCTGGAGGTGTTCTAACACTGCCTCAGCAGAAGGCAAAACGATTTGACACTGGGGGCATTTTGCAATAGACGATCTGATGTGGTTACTGAAGTATCAATTCTAGAATGGAATAGAAACTTACAAATTGCCATCTACGATGAATGGCCCAGAATGATGGTTGCTAGCGTCCATAGTCACTGGAAGAATGCGGACCTTCACCTGCTTGAGCCAATGAGCCTATGGTGCTACACTGCCAACACAGAGAAAAAGTTGCAAAGTCCTTCAAACTCCGCTTGGCACCCTGTTGTTCATAGCGATATCCCTCAACTGTAGTATAATACTCCCCGTCCTTGAGCTTTGGGCAAGTCTAGTCACTGATCTCTAGCCGCATATGGACGCACCTAACACTCGCATAACCCCCCCTCCTTTGTCTGACTGCGAGACCACAACCTCAACTCGAGTCGACATAGCGTCAGCATTCTCTAGTTCCAAGTTGGCGTCCCCTATGTCCCCTCTTACATCCTTCGGATCAGCCGAGTCCGACATAATTTCGCTCCCTCGGAAGAAATCTCAATGCATAGGCCGTCCCTCCTCTGGCCACATCCTCAATCGTTCAGGCCCTTTGGTAAGGCAAGACCGTTGAAGGTACAACAATTCAGAGAGTGAGTCTGAACAATGTTGGGTCTTGCAGAACCTAGCTGCTATTCGACCCTAAAGGGTTTCTGGACCAGGCTCAAGGCTCAGAGGAGAGGAAATATCATGAAAACTTGCTGAGTACTCTGACTCCTACTGGTAACTGGTGAAAAGATAACTTCCTTATGTAAGCTACAAAAGTGCCAACATAAGGTAAGGTAAAAACAGTCTCTACAAGCCCAGCCAGAAATGAATCCCTACACCGTCTTCATCGTTTTCGGGAAAAGATCCGCTCTCAGTATAAGCCGCGCCTCGTTTATAATTCTCCCCCATATGAGATTGCCTTTGCGAAGAGGCACATTATGCAGTCTTCACACAAATATTTCTCCCAGCAAGACTTGCATGAGGTAATTATCTCACTTCCCACTCCCGTGATTTTACTTAAACAAGGATCTAGGGTAAAGAGCTACTCCAAAAGAGCTTATCTCATCTATCCAATAGTACTTTCCGCAAGGCCGCTCTAGTCAAACAGGCGTCAGCTCAGGACAAGAGACATGCGGTCATACACACGACCTGGAAACTCGAGTTGATTGAGAGGCAGAGGTCGTTTATGCAGTCACTTCGGAAAGAGCAGGAAGAGGAGCTTAAGAGTGCAGAGACTGAAATGGAGTTCTTCAGGCAGCTGGTCTGCGATCGAGGACTCCCTGCTTTGCAAGACGACCAACAATATTTGGAGGCAATTTTTGCGGAAGAATTGGACGATCTCGATGTCGCCAATGAGCAGTACAGACAGTTCACGACTCATGCGAGGAAGCGTGTTGTTCCATTTGCAAACAGCAGTGACACGGAACTTTCCCCTGACGAACTCGTGGCAGATCATGATTCCTCAGACTCCCACAGTGATGGGGGGTCGGATGACCTCGTTTACGGAGCAAATGAATAGGAAGGTACGTTACTGCTAGTTTCCCATTCTTCTTCGTTCTATTAACGACACATGTTCAGTCAATCTGACACCGAACAATTCAATCCCTATCGCCTCCTATCGCCCCAATTTCATTCTGTATCGCCTATATCGCCTCCTATCCAATCCTGATGCCTTCCAATCCGATCGTTGTGCGGCATTTTACCTCAGCCCATCACCACGACTTGTCCACATTTTCCGTTTATGTCGAATGCGTTGTAGATTATGTATGATCTTTCCGATTTATACTCAACGTGTACGGTTCTTTATGTTTGAATATATGCTACATTGGGTAAGTAAATAGCTGGTACATCAGTAAGATCCCATGGCCCCTCGACGAACAGCCCCTCAACCCCGAAGGACATCCGCCAAACAAAAAGTGAGTCCCCTCCATCGAACACTCAAACATTTCTGACATGATTTAGGCACCGCCACGACCAAAAAAGAACTCGTCGCTCAACGCCTCAGGGCGCGACATCACAAGCCAACTCGGTCTGCCTCAAGATCGCCCACAAACACCCGAATCTGTACATCGCACCCCCAGCATGGATCCAAATCAACTCCCTCCCTTCCAAACAGATCCTCAGTTCCAGCCCCAACCCCATTTCCCGCCCTCATTCAACCCGCAGGATTACCTAATGGGGGGCGGCTACGAGCCGCCCCAAGACCAATATCACCCGTCTCAAGACCACTACCAGCCGCAGGACCACTACCATCCGCAGGACCACTACCATCCGCAGGACCACTACCAGCCGCAGGACCACTACCATCCACAGGACCACTACCAGCCGCAGGACCACAACCAGCCGCAGGACCACAATCAGCCTCAGGACCACAATCAGCTGCAGGACCACAATCAGCCGCAGGACGACTATCATCCGCAGGACCACTACCAGCCGCAGGAGGGGTTTGAGCAGGGAGGGTTTGAGCAGGGAGGGTTTGAGCATCAGGGAGGGTTTGAGCATCAGGGAGGGTTCGAGCAGGGAGGGTCTGAGCAGCAGGGATTCCAGCCGCCGCCTCAAGACCAACCACACGAAGGCGACGATGCTCGACCCGTGCATCAAGAACTCGACCTCCATGGCCACGGCGTGCGACGACATATGCGCTGGGACCTCGGGGACGCTGGTGTCCCGCGCGCGCAGCCACGTCCTCAGGTCGTCGGTGTCGCAATTCCTCGCGAGAGGGAATCTGAACGCGGGGAGTTTACTCAAGGGGTCATCCATGTAAGTCGTTCCTTTTCTAATATATGATAATATATAACAATACTATAGGAACTACGTACGTCGCAAACTGTTGGCCGGCTTGGAACGCGTCCGGTCGACCGGCACCTACCTCCAACGCCAGCATCAGTGCCAGCACCCGCACCCGCACCTGCGCCTCAACCAGCACCACCCCCACCACCCAAAACCACCGCACAAGCGCCAAATGCGTCTAACGATGAGGTTCCTGATTCGGTTTTCACCGTAGAACTCGATAAACCCACCATCGATTCCATCAAACTCTCCGCGAAAGAAGAATTACGTCGCATGATGATGCAAGGGAGGGACGCTGTGTCGCCGACACGAAAAAAACGGGGGGCTGTCTTAGACAAAGCCCTCAAGAAGGCACGCATTTCTATCATTGGTCAAGGTAATTTTTCGTTGAATTCATTCATGACGTCACTAACACTTTTTTTAAAAAAAGTTCGATATAAACCATTCGAAAAAAAGTCCGTTCGCGAAGAGCTCGTGACATGTATGTCGAATGTACGGCGGGTATTTAGAGACTACGCCGCCAACATCGTTCAAACGGCACTCAATCTACGACTACCTATATCCTCGGAACCTGGCGAGGAGGTCGCCCATAAGGCAGTGCTAGTCCCGGAGCTATTGAAGAATTTGAACTTCTTGCATAAGTCAGAGCTGGTATGTCTTTTTCTGATGTTCGTGTGCTGATTTTTTATTCACAAACTGACTAGGGTGAGGACGGCATCGAACGGTTTTTGCTGCTGGAGGCGGATTATTTTGTCGAGATGATTGTCGACGTCATCTGGCAGAAAGGACTTTACGAGTATATTGATCCCCTCCGACTCGACAGCGCGATCGCCCTCGCTGGGGCTGCATTGCAGAATGCGCTGAAAGCTTACCGGACGGGCAGGTTCGAGTCCGTCGATGCTTCAGCAGAGCAGTTCTATGACACCTACAAGGCGATCCTGGTGCTGATTGACAGCATTCGAGCAGATCCTGCTCTGAAAGTAAGGTACGAACGGCTTCAGGAACTTATCGTGACGCGGGGTCGTGAGCGCATGGGTCTTGATCTCACTGATTCGAACGACGACGACGAATAGATAACATTCGCTTCGGTAACATGTAGATAATCTTCGCTATCACTATGTACTACTAGATAATCTTCACTATCGCTATGTACCGCTTGATAATCTTTTCAATTTTTGTTACCAACACATCAATAAAACTCTTTTGGGTGTAATAACGACTAAAACAGCGTATTACGAACTACAAGCGACGAAAACACACTACAAGCGCGCACTAACCAAATTTAACTCGAGGTGGGAGCCTCGAAGGATACTCAAAGGTCCGTTTTGGGTTTTTCAACTTTCAGATGTCTGGTCTATGAAAGTATCTGTAAGTACTTGCATTAAACTCATAATGCTGGCTTTGAATTTTGCATCTTCTACTAGTATCTAGGATAATCATAAAAGTCATCTCAATTGCAAACCCTGGCAATCCCCAACCTCCATACTTACCTTATCAATAATACTAATCCCTTCCCCCTCATGAAGTCAGACTCCTTACCTCCGGGTCGCACAATGAATTCTGATACCCACATGCGAATGGGACATCCTAGTGAGTCTCCGTTCTCTACACCGTCATTGACTGACACCCTATATTTCAGTTGTCTCTTCATTGATCATTTTCTGCAGTATCATCGTGGTATGTGCACGCTTTATTTCAATAACAGCGAGATAATGACCCCCTGTGGTAGCTTTCAATCTCAGCCTGGCTCACATCATGTTTTACTGTCGACGACAACTACTTCAGTCTAGCTGAACGAGACCGCACTCGTTTTCTATTGTTCACTTCAGCATGGACGATCGTATTCTCCGTTCTCTACATGCTTTTCTTCTTTTATCTTCCAGGAAGTGTTTTGGGTAGTGTGGGATCTCATATCGTCTTGTACGAAGACTTCCTTTGACACGGATGGTCGAACTTGCTGACAAAGTCGTTGCAGCCTGTTTTTAACATTTATTTTCTGGACCGCGGGCGCTACAAGTATAACTACAGTTCTCGGTGGAGAACTGAATAGCAAGTTCGTAACATTTTCTTACTATTCACCACTCACCTCTCATCTTCTTAGTACCCAGAGAAGTATAATATATCTTGATCAACTCAACGCACTACAAGGCTTTGCTTGGGTCACTGAGTACGTGTCATTGATACATATCCATGGCTTCCTTGTTCATATTCTCACTAGGGCTCTTGTAACTTTCGCATTAGTAGCTGTGCTCATCTGTGGCATCATCACAGCCCGTCCAGGTTCAGACCATCACGACAATTTTGACGATCGTGATAATATCATAGTACGATTGAGCAAAGTGCCAATTCGGAGCTTGCCGGAGAGTCAGCCACCGCACTACTAGTATACGTGCAACTGAGCGAGGGTCGAGACGCCTTTGGCTTTGTCGTTCTATTCGAAATTCAACATGACCCTCCGGGCGTCCAAGCATCACTTCAATTTATCTTTCTTTCTATCCATATTTGTTTCTTGTCACTTTCTTGTCACCTCAAATCCAGCGGTTACTACTGTTACACGTTGCATTTACTTGGTAATGACTGTTTACCTGAAAACACACTTCCATGCATTTATGCTTTTGAATTGTATGACCGAGCTATACTGTATGCCAGGTGTTTACAAGATTCATAGTGTAAAACAGATTTATGTTCATGTCGATCCAGTCAGCCTTAGCATCTAGCTTTGCGGTTTTCAGTGTCGTTGTCCATGTTACATGTAGGCAAGGAAATATAATCAGGTATGAAGATGTGTAGGATGCGAGAAGACCTCACGATGTTTTGCAATTGGTTGCTAAGTTGTACCCGCTTATGTAATGTAGTTCTATTTATTTCGAAGAGCACTTCTATATGTAGTACCTGAGTTACATCAGTAGCGTAGTCAGCCAATAAAAGATCGTTTATCGTTTATCATCATGGCCATGCAATCATGATGTATACATTTTAGTGATTGTGGAGTACAGTCACGTCTCGCGCAATGCTCTGCACCTTTTGTCAAGTTCTGCTTACGGAGTCAGCCAACTGCCTTGTTTTATCAGGTTTTGCCTTGGCGAATGGCCAGGAACATAGTATGGCAGGCCGCCCGCTACTCATAGTGATTCGCCAATCTTGTTCCAGCCACACGTAAGTACTCACTATTATACATAGATGGCTGATGGCATTAAGCTTGTGGCTAGTGCTGGGTTTGAATTTTGCACCAATCATAAAATTCCTAAGCTTACTGTTGGTAAATTTTCTTATGAACTAGTAGTAGGCATGCCACTTGTCGTCCATCCCTCAAGTCGCTGTGACGTTTGCCTTGATCCCTATTCGACCTCCTCAGATCTTGCTACTTCTCCGCATACAATTGAGTGTGGTCACATCTTCTGTTTCAGGTACGTCTAATTTTCTACCAGCTTGCGCCCAGCAATAATATCTGTTTCTCATCTCATGTCCTCTTCAATCTCAGGTGCCTTTACTCCTTAAACACAAATATATGTCCTCTCTGCCGCAAACCTTTCGATCTAGATGGTGTCAAGAGACTACATATCGGAAATCCACTCGAACAAGATCATCAGAGAACAGATGAGTCCTTGATATTGTAGCCGTGGGAAGTATAGCACGGTCTAATTCTGCTCTCACCAAATATTATCTTTTATACTGTGGGCAAATTGAGTTGTACATACATACACATGAATGCCTGCAAATCCGGCTTAACATAAACAGCCCATGACAATGCTGTGACATCCCTCCTTTGTAACCGGTGAGGAGTGCTATTATACCTATTCCAACTATTTTGTGCGTTCTCATTTTCCAAAAATTGTGTCTTGCATTATATTACTATGTAAGGCTTTCTTGTGGAAAGCGACACGAGCATTGATCATCAGATCTTGATTACCATGAAAGTTTATGACAATCTTGTGACATTGCACTGTCGCAGTCTAAAAGGTATTGTAGGGTAAAGTATGTCTCTTTGTTGAGTGTTCTCGTGCACCATTTAAGAATATGATGTCATTCTCGGGCGTTCATGGTAGGTCATAAAAACGATACATGTTGAGCTTCCACACACGTGACGTGTGTGGAAGCTCAACATGTATCCTGGAGCTTAAAATTGGAAAGAAAAGTCCACGGTCAGTACTTGCTCCGTTATCGTCCGAACTCCAATTGCGAGGGAAAATACTGTGATGCACATGAAGGTTGCAACCGTCACAAATGGTGCAAGTCAAATCATGAGAAGGCATGGCATAATCAGATTTGGGTATATTCTTGGTCTATGGGAGTGTACCAAGTCGAAGTACCCTTTTCCCAGGTGACTCTCCATGACAATCTCAAATGTCTCGTACGTGACCGCATCCAGTTGATCCTTCCTCCTTTCAATGTTCACTGCGTCGAGCCGTTCCTGATTTGCTCTAACATATTAATATAAAGTGAAGGAGGAGCAAGAGAGTGCCAACCTTGATCGTCCATGTTGTATTCAACTTGAATATTGAATAGCAAGATCTTTCTTGAGAGACTCTATTTTGCGTCAAATAAATATATTAATTACACATGTGAAAATGCTGACCGATGTACCAAATGTAATGATCCAATCCCATGAATTTGGTGAAGTCGTTGTCCGTAAAGAAGTTAGCTTGAGTGGGTTGACAGAGCATATACGCTGCATGCATCTGTAAGATCAATAGCAATCATTCAGAGTAAAGTTAATGCAGTTCCCATGTCTCGACCTGATACCGACACTCAAGAACAAGCACGACCTGTGCAAAAACAAATTAATTCCATGAAAGTACTCTGCCACATTTTCTGGCACGAATTGACGATGATGACGCCGGCGTCTCGCCAGTCTCAAGGTCACTGTCACCTACTCCTGATGCAATGGACATCAAAGAATATCTCCACAAAGGGAAGTTATTGCTGTCGGGATCAAGATCGAAAGGACAAACTGAACATGGGCTTGCAATACTTGCAATACTCGGTTGGTCAGAGGGTCAGCGGCCATTGGGACTATTGACAGACGGTAGGTTTGATCATTCCCGTCGGGAACTAGTACATCACTAATCCTTCTGCTGTGGCGCGCGTTGATCCTATACCATTTTATGTGAAAAATGGTTTGACTGGTATAGGAAGACAACTCAGGATTTTCGAATGATTGAAATGGTTGCCAAAAGGTGCAAGTTGGACTCTGAGTATCAACGAAAGGAGATCAATTATCAATCAAAAGCACGAGAGGTGAGCCCAAACCGTCTAACGATAATGCAGAGCATGCTGATATTATTTCAGGACGATGCTGCCCGTCGATCTGCAGAAATTTCAGATACCCTCAAAGTGTTCTACTGTCGCTTTGTGAGCAACAATCCCAGAATATTGCACAGTATGAACATACAAATTTGTACATGCATCACCACAAGGCGCACCTCTGGGATATGCAAGTCAACACAACAACAATATCGTGGTCATCATTCACTAATTTTTTCGGATAGCACTCCTCTTTATCCCAGCAGCCTTGGAAATTCCGCATAGCTCTTTTGCTTCTCGCTTGCGCTCTTTCTCCTTACGTTTATTGACATCTTCTTGGATGCGGTCATGCGTTCTCGCCCTGTCACAAGGAAAAGTCGAATTTAGTATTCCACTTAAAAAGAAAGATCGTCCAACACATCCTCATCCTCATCCTCATCCCCCCCACCGTCATTCTCACTCCCATCTTCTTCTTCTTCTTCTTCTTCCAGCTCTTCGTCACCAGATTCATCATCACCATCTTCCTCTTTGTTATCCCATTGCTCGTGGTCCTCACCATTGCGGACATCTTCATCCATAACATCCATGGCATCGGTTGGTGCTACTATGTCTCTAATTATCCTCCGCAGCGTTACCGGATGTCCAACACCAAAGTGAGTGTATCGCATGAACATATCCCGGTCAACGAATCTGACTCAAAAGGTCGAAAACTGATCATAGAAAGGGACATTATCCAAACTCACATTCCAACATAGTGCTCTTCCCAGTCATCTTCCTCCCCCCCAGGACGTGCCAGAGATTGTCCATAGCGAAGCGAGCTGGTACCACGTTCCGAGGCGAATGCAGGAATCAAGTGGGCCCCTCGAACCACCTGCCCCAGATCAAGAAACCCAAACGCGTCAGCATCTGATTCATCTACAAATGCAAGTTTCGGAAGACGCGCGTTTTTGATGCCAGATTTATGGGTGCACAATGGAGCCAGCCACCTAACCCACAGAACCTCGAGGTGTTGCTTCACCGGTCGACTTCCGTCGTTGACCCAAGTTTCCATATGGTAAATACCCAATACACGGGCATACCAGTATGGATGGGTAGGTATCGTTTCTCCTGAAACGACCATGATATCAGCGTGTGCTCTAGGATTGATAGTGTCGTGCTCGCGCCTGAGGTCATATGTAGTGTAGTATACCTGCATGGTCTGAACGGAGTAAATGATATTGTTAGGGATGATAACCGAGTTATGCTCCTCGTCCGTGAATGTATGGTCGCAATGGCTAATATCTAGCTTCTGCAGCCGGTAAAGAATATGATCCTTCAGTTTCGGCAAAAATTTCTATCAACCATTGTGAGAAAAGTGAGGCATCCCCGTTGCAATATCTTCTACCTTTATGGCTGGATCACCATTGTGTTCTTGAAGGAACTGGAATATATTGACTGGGTTACTCTTATGAGTTGCGATATGATGATGCAATCCAGAGGACGCCAAAGGGGGGGCATCGGCAGGTGATTGATTATCGGAGGACGGTGGACTTTCTGCTTCTGCGACCCGCCGAAGTACGCGGCGCCTGCGCTCATGCTTTGCCAATTGCGCTGGAGTATCCAACTTACTTGTGAGTGGATAAAATGCCTTGAGTGCCCTGTGCGCAAGTTCCCCCTGGCCAAAATCAACTTCCATAGACAGTGAGTAAACAACATATACATACCATTTGAGTAGTGAATGAATCCGTGGTCCCGAAGAGTCGTATTGTTCGCACATAATCGGCCATCGCATGAAACTTGTACGTATTCAGATTGAATTTCTTTCCCTTCGGTCCACTTGACTCCGGAGAGGTCGTGGCAGTATGGGTCTCAGACTGTCGAGTGAACCTTCGTTGTCGGGCAGCTGTCTCTTTTGGTAACTCCGTAGTATTGAATGTATTGCAGGTGTAGTGTCGAAATTTCCGCAACTTCTGAGAGAGTTTCTTGAAAGTTTCTTCCAGAAAACTCACTGTAGACTCCGAGTGCAACCTGAGCTTGGCAAGTGCATGCCACTGTGCGAACTGATACAGCAAAGTCTGCACTGCTGCATCATGGCCTGGGGGGAACAGTCCTTCAAAAACCGGTATGGCACACTAATGAAGGAGAATATGTCAGAGCCAAATTCAGGAAATCGAGTGATACAAAAACCTGTAATATGTCTTCAAAGTCCCGCGCTGCTAATTTTTTCATCTCAGAAGTATTGTTCGCGAACTTTCGAATCACACCATTGCCAAAGGTTGGTACCTGGCGAAATCTAGGGTGAGATTGAATTATTAGTGCTAGGTAATAGAACTCTGTACGAAATCTGCGTACCTGTAGTCGAGGGTAGCAACTAACCGACTACCTCCAGGAAGGGCATACAGGAGCCTGATAAGATGGGTAAATAATGCCTTCCAGGTACCCAATTCGATTTCATGCATGAAATCGACAACAAGCATACGGAACGGGTTGAGGCCGAATGGTCCAAGTTTCTGAACGAATTGATTCTGTGGGTAGCCGGTTTGAGCTGATTGCAAATTGGAAGGAGTCATTCGTGCCTACCAGAGTGGGTACCCATGAACCTTCTCCAAGAGCGTCTTCGACCTTTGAACCATTTACAGTATTTCCCCTCTGATAGATATACTCGCGAGCCTTCACAACATTTGCCATAGCATACACACAGAGATTGATTATGCGATCTTTCATGTCCTGGACGAGACCAATACAACTAAATAAGTTTTTCTGAGTGAGACAGCGAGGACAAGCGCATGAACCCATGTCCTTGATAGTCGCAATTAAAACCCTGAAATTTTGTGAGGATCCGATTTTAACAAAGGCAAAGCAGAAATATACTTCTCGGGATAATCAGCAGAATATGTGAAGATACGAGGAAATACTCTCCGTAGCACTCCATCAGCACATTTCAAGACAATCCCGTGGTGATATGCATGAACAAAGTCCTCATCAAGTAAAATGTCCCAACATGCCTGGAACAACTCTCTACGACAGTGAGTATGAAGCGACGCTATACCTGTTTTGGATATGCGAGATAGGCCACTCAGAACGTCTTTAATACAGTCTGGAAGCTGGAAAGGCAGTTGATATCAATGCCAGTCGGCAGGCATCATACAGGGACTCACAGAAGGCAGGAATCCCACTAGGTGGCATGCCCCCGATTGAGGTAATGTTCGAACATACTTCGTCAGGTTTCCGAAATAGAGATAAAGCGGCCAAGCTTTTGCCGTTCCAAAATTTGCCAGGTGAGTGGCATCGGAAAAGAACATAAGACCTGCTACAACCCGTTCCAAGGAACAACCGGGTTCCTTCGGCAACTTCTGAAGCTCGTCCTGAGCCTCGAGCCATACATCAGAGGTGTAAAGCTCATCGAATATTCGTTCTTGATGGTCATCTAAAGCATCCTTCCATAGACGTTTGAAGGGTAATAGGTGGAATGCGCTTGCTTGCACATCCGCGAATGCTGTGCGAATCACTTCGACAAGAGGACGATAATGAAAACTAGGGATGATGTATGGAACAGGGCCTTCTTCGTTTGACCTCGTCGGAATGTTGATAGTGACATTGGTCTCAACCCAATCATCTGGGAAAGTGATTCTATCCCCGCCCTCATCCTTGTCTAATTCTCGCAGACTTTTTCTCACCGAAAATCCCTCAAGATCCTTGACATCGAAATCATCAGCTTGCAAGACATCTTTGACGAGGCGTTGGATCTCAGCTTCTGATTTCAGGTGGCTACCTGAATTCATCCAGGACATGAGCCGATAAACGGTCATATTGGAAAAGGGGAATGGTGGCGGAAAGACGTTTGGCAGGGAATCCGTTCCTTGAATAGTTGTTGGACACGACCGTGCAAGTAACGAGGACTGTATAAACTTATTTGGCTTGAAGGAAGGACGACGAGGATATAAACGGCAGAGTCCGCACGAGTTGAAAACAGTCTGGAGAGAATCTCTTAGTGTTAAAAGGACTCGCTGGATCCTGGTTCGAGCTGGGATTAATGGAACGTCAAAAATATTATTGGAGTCATTAAGATCCTCGGCTGGATGGTGGATTTCGTCCGAAGGCCTAGGAATCCGTCTCCTGGGTAGGGTACTAGGTCCTGCTGAAGCCGAGTGGTTAGTAGATATTGAACGCAGGAGCTAGATGGTACAAACTTAAGTTATCGCACTCGGAACCATTTCCAAAATTGGTGTCCTCTAACTCGAAATCCATGAAACTTTGTCCTCGTTCCAAGTTTGCATCGAGGGAATCATGCGACTCAGAAGCCCCAAGACTGGGGGCATTGAAAGACATGCAAGCCGCAGAGGGTTTGCAGGGAGCAATTGGTCTTAGATGTGCTATCGCATCCCTGTGTCTTGCTGGTATTATTCTCTGTTAACACGAATTACCTGTGTTTAGTGTGCCTGTACTAGTAGTGAGTGACCATGAACTTGAATCACTCACTTGAGATGTGTTCACTGTGACTGACGGACTTGAGACTGAATTCACCAGTGTTGCATGTCTTGCTCGTTGTAGTCTCTTCTGACTTGCAAGGATGCTGGACTTCTTAAAAAGTCGGCAACTTGCGCGATGCCTGTTGAGTCCTCGAGTGTCCGTTGCCCTATCCCACGAGCAGCCATGTGCGCCACAAGATACCATTGAGAGAAATAACAGCAGGATCCAGAAAGTTCCTAACAGCTGCATGATTTACAGTGTAGAGTTGGCCATCACGGATGTATGACCATCAAAATGCATACTACGCAGTTCAACAACAAGGCTCACGTGACTATAACGTACCCGACCAAGATAATTATGGCTCAGTGGTAAACATAACCTCATTGTAGACAGCCAGGCAAGTGCAACTATAGAAATAATATCAAACATAAAAGATGCACTAAGAATACACAAGGATCAGATCGATCATGTGTTATTTGAAATGTACAACTACTTGGTGATGTCATCTGGATCCGAGTCTTATGCTGAGCCGGGCAGAATTCAGCAGTGTACAGGTTGTATGGTGTGGCTAGAACTAATAGAACAGCAAGTCTAGTTGATCAGTTTCATCTATTTTAGCTATCCAATTCGTTTAATACAAACATGCTATCACCAAATTCCTATCATTATCAACGCAGGTTTTCAGGCGTGAAGAATGTAATGTGTATCACTTCTTGAACACCTTCTAGAGTACCAACCTCATTGTGAGAACCTGTGGAAGTTTTGAGCGGGGTGATTCATTCTCCAAAACCATTGAACTGATCCATTAACCCGAAGTTGGGGATGACAGTACAGGTCAGTAAAGACTCCCGAGTTTCCCTTCGCGTGACCAATTGAGTATGGCACTAACTCCACTGCTGTGTCGACCACAACTCTTGGCTTGCTGGTGTAGAGTAGACAGGAGGGAGATATGGTTCCAGGAGAGCATCAAATAAAGCGTCAGAGTGGGTGTGAGAGAGATTCCAATCATCCTCCGCGTGCAATATCAATATTGGTACCTTGAGTTTCTGGACGCAAATTGGTGAGGTGCTAGATAACCTAGGAACAGAACATTTACATACTGATATCGCTGATAGAGTGTCAAACGTGACACAGCCTCTGAAATGTGCAATTCTGCAGCAGATGGAGGCGGGGGAAAGGACAAGTTGTGATATATGGTACCTGAGAGAATGAACCATGCACCGAGAGTGTGATTGTCTGCAGTCTGAATCTTGATGTTCGCTGTTTTCCCAGCTAATGTATCTGCAATCAATCCAATGAGTTCGAAAGAAATGGATGCGATGCAGTAAAACGTACGTGCAAGACCATGCCTTTCCGGTGCATCAAAATGTGCGTTCCAAGGTAGCTTCAAGGTGTTCATGTACACAAAGCTTAATTACGTCTCAAGTTCTACAGTCGTAAAGATTGGACTTACTGAGACTGGACCCAGGGCACTGCTAGAAGGATGACTGTCCCCAGAGAAACCTGAAGACCGCAAAAACCCTCCTAAGCTGTGCAAACAAACCATCATTGTCTGGTGGGATGGACATAAAGAAGTACTGGGTGCAATGACTCTGATTCGGATGGCATCATGTGGTCATAGTACGAGCATCTAGCACAGAAGTAGAATAGGTACATAAACAAGGACTAACATAGGGAATACCGAATGACTGGTAATGTCCGAAATGGACACTGTTTGTCAGCAGTAGTGCGGACCAAAGACAAGTCTATGCTTACAAACACATGGACCGTGTACATACAATTAGTGTACCATACTATCCCTCCCGGCTGAGTCGTCACCCCCCATTGTTAAGGAGTCGTCACGACCTAAATATCTCACTCAATTCTTACTTCCACACATAATTTACGACTTCAATCAATATTTTTAATATTTACTGTTCATTGTGAGGTTGAACGACTGATTTTCGAAATGGTGAAGTTCTTTGAAAGCAGCCAAATTCACGCAAGACTCACGCTGGTGACAGCCAACCGAACATTTCCAATGATCGAATTCATCAAATCCCCTGTGTACCATAATCAGAATTACTGAATGTATTATTGCATCACAGGATATTCATGAACTTTATGATGACTCAAATAGTATCCACACACCCGTGTGAGAAAACTATAACCTTCTATTACATCTTGTCCGGATATTACTTAGTAACGTTCTCCACTTTACTCATCATGCCAGAACTGACGACGAGCAGTTCTTCGGATTCGACGACAAGCACCAATATTTTGATAGATACCAATCAGCCTCGGTCTGTTTGTTCAACTTTCCACTGCCTCGAAGGTCAATTTACAATATCAACATTGCAGACATTTCCAGACCACTCCACCATCCACACCTCCCTCATCAGTTATGCCTTGCAGCTCTCCTATGAAAAATGACTTGCATATGAAGACCAATTCTGTCATTGGTATTTCTGGAGTGAAGCGCTCCCGCTTTCATTATACAACATACCAATGCGACAACGAGCTTGACTTGCCTTCAAAGAGAGCGAGAATGTTGAAAACAACTGTATGTCACAACCTCAATAATACACTCAAGTCCAATGCTCATAATTTAAAGTGGAGTTCCCCCTGCGTTCCAGGTTCCGAGACCTCGAACTATCTCAACGAGCGCATGCTCGAGCTTTCCCGTGTTACTCGCCGGGTTATTGCCACTCGCCTCAGATACCAACGCCTACGCGCTCACGAACTAGACCTTATGAAGTCTATCCACGATGATGAAACCGAGCTAACGACAACGGAATTGAAGACAATTGATCTCCAAATCGGAACAATCCGAAACATGCTTCGCGAGGGGGGAGTGGTGGCGATAGGGAACATGGGGTATGGGTTTGACCCTGGTGACCATGAACTCCATCAGTCCAGTGATGCTTCTGACAATGAATCCATACGCATGCTTGGCTCTGGATCTGATGCAAGCTGTTCAGAGTTGGATGAATAATTCTATGGTACTTTTTTTTTGGTTTAAAAAATCATATTTATTGTCCTTTGGGGTCGAAGACCCTATATCGGACATAACCCTTTTTTCAGGGGGCTTACTTCTGCTTAGCTATCGTACTTTTATGGTGTTACGCCGTTGTTCCATTTGTCCATAGTATGCAACGTTGTTGTACTTTTGTACCTTGGGAAGTAAACATGCCAGCAGCTTTACTTGAATGTTCTTTTCTTTCTGTTCGGAGCCTAAGATAAGATTGCGTAGTATCACAGCCGGGTGATCAACTTGAAGCCCCAGATTTTTTGATTCAATTGAGATTGATGGCTTAAAGTTTGCCGCAGACTTCGGAAGAGTCTGACCGTGGCTATGACTCAATCACCGTGCCATCATCACCTTTCTCCGAGTCGTCACTGCAACCTGAGTGCCCCAAAAATCTGAATTCTCCACAATCACGCATCTAACAGCATGGTACGTTTATGAAACCTGCCCTACTTGCCGCAAGATAGCCTGAGTTCTTCCTTCCAGTGATAACTCGGAAGTACTATCAATTAAAATTACAGTAGGCGGCTTCGAACTTAAATTACTGGAGAATTACCCCAAACGCCTGTCATGATCACACAGTCATATGACTCTCAAGATCAGAGGGCACATATTGAAGGTAAATATGATTACCGTCTCGGAGGATAGCCTAAGTGACTCATGTGGCTGCCCCTCGTGCCACAATATAACTGAATTTTGCAATTAACAGGTCATCCTTCCACTCGGAAATATACTCAGGCTGTGGTAGGGCGGCTAGATGATCACACAGTCGTATGACACTCTCAAGATCAGGGGGCACAAATGGAAGGTAATCATGATTATAATATTACTGTTACGAGGATTGTGACTCATGCAGCTGCCCCTCGTGCCAAAATTTTACATATAACACGTAGAACACTTCCAATTCACATTGTAATCACCGTGACCAGACTGGCTCACCATTAGGGTTCAATTGAACTTTAACTTACCTACCGCTGGCGGCACCTAGTAGTGCATCGTACCAAAAGATGGAATCTCCCCCGATAACTGCACACATCCAACAATATGGTAAGTTCATATCGTCTCCCCTATGATAGTCGGAACTGTGTTCTGATAAAGTTTACACTAGCACTTAGTTGATCACACTGGCAGCTCAACTTTGATTCCTCCCCAATTGAACTTTAAAAAAATAAAAAATAAAAAAGTATGGTTCTTTCGTGTGTCTATTTAGTTGACTGAAACTTTCACTTTTCCTCCACCACGATTGTAGAATTACCCTCAGTTGACTCCTGCAGCATATCCTATCACCTCGCAGCTGACAATATGAGCAGTGGACAGCGAACAGGACGAGATACCACGCAGCGTCTGCATCCATATCGTGATTTGCGATTGACCATCATGATACCAAATGTACCCCCTATTTCCTTGAATGCTCCGATGTCACTAGAAGACCTGGAAAGCGCTATATGCCAATCTGACACTACTTCCACAAGGCGAGCTGAACCTCCGAAGTTATCCGACTACTCACCAGAAGAGATCGAAGTAATCAACAGCGCGCGCAGGCGGGTTGTCATGGACATGATCATGACCAACGGTTGGAAGAAAAATAGTATGAGGAAGCAGAAACTGGCCATGCACTCGTATGCTAGAGAAGTCGTCAATGAGGTGAAAACGTCACTCGGTTGCCATGGTATGTGCTAAGCACCACGTAGTACTACTGTAACTCTGTCGCATGTGCTGATTTTCCACTAGGGTTAAACATAACGTCTTCCGTCACGACCCTCGTGATCCATGGCTTGACAAACAGCCGCTCAAAACTTATCGAAAATGCTGAAAAAGAGTCCCTACCTTATTACATTGACGACCTCGAGCCCGAAGACAAGTCACTGTCTGCTGAGGATCGCCAAAAATATATGGCGGAGCGTAGAAAAGCCATCTATAACTCAGACAATCATCATACGTATTTTTTACATGGTCACAACCGTGGCCGGCTCTTCATTTTCTCTCATCCTGCCTTGCAAGATGTACACATCAAACAGTGGTATACCGACGAGTCCTCGCCTCTTTTTGATGATACATTAAGGCTGATACTCGCGACGACGACCATTCCTATGTTATCGATGTCGGCGATTGGGGTAAGAGACCTATCATATTCTTATTTGCATGTGCTAACAGTTCTGCATTTATTTTCAGGTCATGGGAGCCATAGATCGGTATGTTGAAGGACGCCTTTCCAAGTCTGGGGACGTCCTACGTTTTACCGGTAAATTGTATGCCGACAAGCAGAATGCGATACAAAAGGCAATGCACGCTGCCCTTGAGACTGATGTTCATTGGGAGGTAATGATAGATTATTTTCAATACTTGCATACCAAGGGAATGTGAGTGGTTTCAACCGTCCGATGGGTTCCACGCTCATGTATCTGCAGGAAAATCTTAAATGACAAATTGGGTCTTACATCACCCACTTCGATCTCTGTTCCTATGTCACTGGAAGAACTGACTCTACCACCTGAGCCAGAAAATACCACCACCCCCCACGATACTGCCCCTGACTCGTACTCGCAGCACTGCCAGCATGACCAGCAAACAAACTCGTTCACAGCGTGGCCGTCAACCGTCTCTTACTCAGAGTCTCCTGTCCCTAGTGGGTCTGCACTTGCGCTTTACTCTGAGGCGCAGCCTTTCTATGACCAGTCGGCTTTACAAATGTGCATGTCCGAGTTGTTTGCACAGGAATATTATGCGAACTTCTCTGAGAAGTCAACATGTGGCTCGTTAGCAGAAGAAGATGACCAGGACACTTTCTGGACTGCGCCCGGGACATACCATGATACTATGTAGCCTCTTGAGGTGAGCAAAACCACCGATCTCTTCTATATTGGCTGAAATACACCTCAATTCATAGCTCGCAGCTATGATGTCAAACTAAACTTGTTTGTGTGCTCTTGGCTCTTACTTGCACTACTGTCCATAGTGGTTTATTCCATCTGAGAATTCATCGATCGTGTTTGGGTTTCAAGGGGGGGGGGGGTATCTACAGCCATGTTTTCTCTACTGTGCTAAACTACATGTTATTCGCGTACTCAGGATCTCAGGTCTTACTTGTACTACAAGTTGTACTTCTTATTGTCTACACTGTAAGCAAGGAGCGCTGCTCACAACCTATGCCAAATGTTAGCATTTCTCCAAAGTTGCACAGGAAGTCGACACCCGAAACTAAGTGCATACTTAGTTGTTCCACGCCAGGCTTATGGCATCTGCCGATAGACTCGTAAGTACGTCTGAGATGTTGTTAAGTGTTTGACATGGTAAGACTGGTTGATCTCGGCAGGTGAAGCACGGAGTTTAAATTTTGAAAACAGGCGGGCGGAATTTACACATGTCCAAAGCTACTTACTTCAGACACAAGCCCAGCAGACTCGCATCAATTTTTCTTCCTCTGGTCGCTCTTAGCATCGCGCCAGATCTCCCATCACCAGATCTTCGACACACCCCTCCACCAGCTGCATCCTCATCCAGCAGCAAGAGGCCACACGCAGATCTCGATGGTAGGGAACTTAGCTCTCAGAAAAAGGGACGTTCTGAGAGCCCAGAACTAGTGCCCGCATCTGAGGTAAGTCTTATTTTATTACAGACACTCACTCACATATTTGCGATCAGCCTGCAGTAGATCAATGCGTGAATATTGTACATGCCCAAGTATGTTCTAACTTCAAAATGCTGTTTGAGATAAACTCACCTCTAGTACTCTTCTAGTGTAGCATCTCATTCCATAGCCCCTACTGTGCAGTGTTGTAGACGTCCGATGCTCCAATACTGGTCTATCAGGAGGGTTGTTCTCATACGCCGTTATTTTCCACTTCTTCCGCAAATCAAATACTGTCTCTAGCTGTGGTTGCTACAAAGCGATCATTAAATTAAATTTCTCTGAATCTTCTCTCAATGAACTGTTTAGTCCTATGGACATTTCGGCTATCATTATGATGTACGCCGTCAGCAAATTTATCTCCCTCAAACTTAAACTGACCAATGATTCACATGGCGACTCGGGAAGTTTCAAGGACATTGGAGAATTCGTAAGTCTGCTAGTCAATGGGCAACGTTACAAGAAAGCCGAATTACCGACGAAGGTTGGTTAGTCTGACTGTCTAAGCGGTTCTCAGCAGTTCTAAGCGGTATTTTGCCGACTATGCTCAAACTTAGGCTAGTGGACCTGCCCAGCAGCATATAAAAGCATTAGTTCCTTCTCCTCTGAATCGTCCGACTTGCACCTCCCCTTGTTTCTTGCCTCTACAGTTGGAACTCATTTGTCCTCTTCTCCCCTTCTCTAGTCTGCCTGTATGTCGCACACTGAGGGCAGCACATCGTGTATTGAAGACCGACAACATGACGACAGCCTTCCTCAATCTCAGGCTACATCAGAATCATCCCAGACATTTGTGCAGGCTCGACAAAGACGCAGAATTGCTGAACTGGAGGATAAGTTGATGGCTCTCGAGTCTGGGCGTGCTGTAAAAGATAGGTATGGACACCATGTGTCACGTTGAGCTGCCTTTACTCACTATCCACCAGGCAAGTGAACCACTATATGTCTCAAGGAAGAGCCTTCAGGCGCGTTGTCGCTTTGTTCGACAACATCGAGGATCTCGTCGCCGAAAACGACAGGAGATACGATGCTGAGGATGAGGAGACCTCTGTCGAGTAAGTTTTTCCTTCCTTTGTATGCCACAGTAAGCGCACTCATGGGTTTGTTTACACAGTCAAGATCGACTACATGTAGGGTACGTCACCCTAATGAACACCTTTCCGTGGCTCTATAAGAAGTGTTCAGATATGGATTATGATGACTATATACGCATGTTAAAATCGGTATGTTTTACCAGTTTCAGTGATGGGCTTTGTCGTCTTAAGTCCTTGTTTAGCTTAGGCAGGGGGCTGACAGTGCTCGAGGCGATGATACCTCCAAGCTGAAGACACTCGTTTCTGAATGGGTCAACCGCGAATTCAAACCGAATCCCCCGGTCGACATGGACGATAAACATACCCGTGGATTCATCAATGATGCGTGCGGCAAGTTGCTGTGTCTGACTGAGCTTGATTGGAACAGCCCAGCGTAAGTATTGCGCTCAGGATTCCAAACACCATTAACTATCTATTAGTGTACGGGCAGGCATTCGAGATCGCGCAGAGGGATATATTGTCACGGATCTTTCTTTTCCAGCTTACTTATATGAAAAGTACACCGCCAATTCGGACAATTTGGAGGAGGGACTTTTCAAAGGGAAAATTCTGATTCAGGTTTGTCGAAGCGAACTCGTAAATACAGCTGACAATGATCTTTGCTATTTCTCAGAGCTACAAAGCTGTCTTCACGTCTCCCTCATCAGCAAAGGATGTCGAAGGCAACGGTGATGGTGCAGATGTCATCGAAAATAACAGACGCACTAAGAAGACTATTTCAACAATCAAGGTGAAGAAGCATGTCGCGCAAATTATCAAGATGGACAAAGTCACTCCTCGCTCGATTGCATATATTGCCTGTCAAGTAAGTGATAGAACTTTGTCTGCCCGCCACACCGTTGATCAATGACAATTGCATTTGCAGGTACGATTCGCACTCTCGTCTATTACCTCGTGGCGGTCTGTCGATGGTGATTTTGACTATGTACAATTTTGGCAGACCATTGTCGACTTCTTCGAAAGGCCTCCTGGTCGGGATGCACAGCGCAGGGTCACCAGACTGCTTGAATGGTGGACCAGGTGGGTATATGCATCGTCAACAAGCCCCAACTGATTTCTGTTGTCCAGGAAGGTTTTCGGAAGGAGTCGCCGTGCAGACCTTACCGACGACGCGAGAGCCAAGATGTCCGTGAACACTCTAGCAAGGCAGAGGGCACAGATTGATGATGCCGCCTTCGACTCAGACTAGAGATTCGACATTATCTCAACCCCTAGTAGCTTTATTACCATTGTACTAGCTTTATTACCATCATAGTTTGTTGTCAATGTCATGACTTGATAATACTTCCCCAGTGGTGTGAAATACAAGCTGTGTATCACACTACCGCCATGACACGGCAGCAAATGACTCGGAGGACTTACCAACATCATCAACAATTAGAATGAACTCCAGATATCATCATTCAAGCTACAGTTCCTGGATGCGCCTGGTTTGTTTTAATAAGCTGAGTCCAAAAAAAATATAGCGTGATCACAGAGGTCTCTGTATTTTCTAGTCTTCATGCCAATTGCTAGACAGAAGTATGGATTTCAAGGATAGAACCAATCGAATACCATATCTAAATTAAAACCTCACTGAAGACACTCTAGATAGTCGGCTGATTCTGTATATTTGCAAACTCTTCATAGTGTTTTCTTTCCTTTCCAGAAGTCAATGTAAATACCTGATGTTACCCCGCATCAACATTGTCATTTGATCGAGAAGATGAATCACCGAGGTTTCAAATGCACATATGCACAATACCCCCACAGGGCACAATAGTATCAATGCATGGCACAACATACAATTTGTCTTGTTGAATGGCAAGTGGAGTATCGATGTGAGCCATGATCCCCCTAGGCTGTCAATTTCCGAGTTAATGTACATCAGCAATATCTCACATTTCCTTTTCGGTCTGACTCATATTATTGGTCTGAAAAAAGTCGCTAAGTAAAAAAAGGAAACCTCTGATGTTACTTATTCTACTGATACCACTTTTTGCAAACTCGATTCAAATCAACGTTGTAGTATAAGACGCAAAAGTGAATTAAGTGCGATAAGACATTTTTTCGACAAATACATTAGTACGTGAATGGTAACAATTCAGAATCTTATAAGTTTTCAATGGCGCTGAGCCGGGATCAACAAGGAGAGCGGTTTGCGTGCAATCCAAGCACACGCATGAAAAAATCAGCTACTAATCCAATCCCCACATGTGCGCAAGTCGAAGGGAGATCTCAAATGCAGAGATTAAAACCCTCGCCGGGTGAGGAGAATGCAGGAGGGAGCATGTCCCAAGGACACGGCAGGACGGGAGGGCAGCAGAAGGGACATGGATCCCAAGTTGTTTGGTGGAGGTGGCAGGATGGGAGGAGAGCAGAAGAGTAAGGACCGAGCTGTTCACGGGACGAATTAAAATGCAATTTCGAATGCATGATGGTCCGCGAACTTGTTGACATAGAAGGCACGGAAGTTGTCTAAAGAGTGGTAAAATTTGAGATGATGAGGGATGGGATCAGTACCGTAAATGGGAAGGAGATGAGCTGCACGATAGATTGCGTCAATGTGTATCACTGAAATGTCTGGAGAGCGATCATCGAATGATGGCTGAACTACCCACATGCCCGTGTCTTCATCAGGAGCATCACCGATGACGCTGAACCAATGAACAACAGCACACTCATATAGGACCAACTTGTACTTGAACGAAAAGAAGCATAGCACACGCGCTACTTCGAGTCCTCGCATTCCGTCAAGTTCGGGTCGTGAATTGATAAACACGCAATCATAGCGGGCATGTGCATTCCTCCATTTCGGGCAGGATCGAATGTATTCTCTTCGCATCCCTCCAACCCCACTTAAATCACTGGGTGCATAGAATCTTGATGATGCTGAATTGACTACTGAGACTTTCCCGTCGTAGACCGGGAAGCTGTCAGCTGGGATAGTAGCATGGTCGCGAGTGTCGTGAGGGTGAAGCTGTTTGAACAGAAAGCTCCTGATGAGTTCTCGTAAGTGTTTAACAGAGAGCTCGATAGCAAGTGCCGCCACGGTTTGAGCACGGTTTCGTTCTAATATAATTATAAGCTATTTAATAACAAAAGCATCAAACCACATACGACATGTTTGAGCAAGCTGCACATGAGCCTCAATCTCAGGTGGCCCATCATCGATCTCACCATTATCAAGTCCATCGTTGTCGTTGTCGTCGGCAGCATTGGATTGAATAGTGTTGGGAATGTCATTCATGGGTTCATTATCGCCTGGATCATCGACATGACCTAATTGAAATCAGCAAAGGAATAATAGTGTGATCTCTATTCACTAACCTTTCATGTTTAAAGCATCACTAAGACATGTACTATTGAGCATACCACGTTTGGTAAAATCTACACACAATGCTCCAAGTTTGTCGAGTCGCTGATTTGTCACAAGCATTTGCCCGAGTGCGTTGTACCTGTTGGACCGACGCCATGGTTGCTTTACAGCTTTAATATGTTTATTTTCTGTCATTGATGAACAGAGACCGTTCGGCGCTCCAAAAAGACGGATAAGTTCAGGGTAGTGCTTCATTGCATGCTGGCGCGGGAGCGAGAATGTAGGAACGATGCCAAGCTTGAGGAATATTGGACGATAGTGGTGAAACCGGCGAAGGGCATCCTCTATTTGCAAGATTGTGTCCTCCGTGATAACATTCTTTCGGACGAGATAGCAGAACTCCAAGAATGCACGAAATGTACGGACAACGTCCGTTGGTACGTGGCCTTCTATTGCAGGTAGATATATCTACATGTCATTGAACATATATTTTATCAGTCGAGTCTTATGTCAATTAAAAACATACACATACCTTCATGAGCGCTTTAGAGTCGTCCCCGGTCCACTGTTTGAATCCACGGCCCTGCGGAAAACGTCGCAAGCCAGTAAATGGGGCAGCAACAGCCAGACGACGGTCTATGTCGTCCATAATTTGTTCAGCCTTCCTTTTCCCATGAATACGATGGAGGTATTTTTCCACCCACATAACGAGATGATCCTTGAAACAGCCTTTGACGATTTGGTGCAGGATATCTGGTGCGATGAGTTGATGAATATCGGCACGAGGGAAGTCGTTCGTAAAAGGCTGAACATAAATAAGTCCCGCGAGCACTTGCAGCAACTGAATGAAGCGTACCACAACATCTCCAACAATACCAAACTCACGCCGCAGCATATCCACATCAAATGTATCCTCCTCGACGAGAGCCTCTCTATGTGCCTCGCATCGGCAGAGTGCATCTTCATCATCTAGTTTTCCACGTGGAGCAAGACACCTTTGAAGGTATCAGATATCAGGAGAGCAGGCAAAGAACTAGTAAGACAAACCTTGGACACCAGTTCCTCACAATAGACGTAAGTAGAACTTGTTCTTCATAGTCCGCAATATATGGTCCTAATCCAAAAATGACACGTCGATAATGACCGTCACCGAAACGTATGACCTCAGGCTTTGACATGACATCTTTGAGCGTTTCGAGGATCTTGGCGAGTGAGGAATGAAAGATCTGGCGTCGGAAATTCCGAAATTCTTCTTTTTCTTTATGTTCATTGGTAGCTACAAGACTTAGCCGGGTTCCAGTGCGAAACAGTCTGAAAAACTCACTCTTTGGTATGGCAAGAAAGCCAATAAGACAGAGGGCGTTTCGGTGTGCTCGACGGACATTGTTGCGGACATTGCCAATAGATAGATATAATGGATAGTATTCGTTGTTTCCAGTGCCGACGGACACTGTTGTCTTGTCGCTTCCGAGTATTATCGGCACAAATGTTGCTCCGAGATTGTCAGGATCAGCCGCAATGATATCCTGAAAAGCATGATTAGTACGAAGAGGCTAACTTTATAATACCACATACTGCTTGCTGCCAGGCCCAATCGCCCGACATAAAGTCTTGATAACGGTGTTCGTCCTTATCAACTGAATATTCGCGGAAAGGGCGATAATCAAACTCATTTACATAGTCGGGGTTGGTGAGGATGTTTCGTGCAACTTCACGAGGGTCACGATACCAAACTTCGAACTGTTGGTTCATCCATGGAGGCACATCGGGCCCAACAGGTTTCTCTCCAGAGTACTGAATTTTGAAAGACTGCCAGCTGACACCACCGATTGGAATGTTGTCGATTGTGTTATAGAGGTCCTTACGATCTGCAAAAGGTGGCTGATCGCCATGTTTGAGAAGCGATGCAGCCCAGAGATCGAGAAGAGTGTTTATATTGGGTGCGGACATTTGTACATGGCTGTACAAAAACTCAGCCGTCTCGAATTCAATCCGATTGCGAAATGGTGACCAGTCATCAGGTGACTGTTCTGCGAGAGGGATTGGTGGAGTACCAGGGGGCAAAAAATTGCCACTTGCATCGCATGGTCGAGCTAAGACGTCATTAACATCAGATGTGCTACTAGTAAGAATAAAAAAGGTACAATCACCATTCAAACCAGTGTGATAATTTCGATACAAAGATTTGCCTGTACCATAGAATTCAGAGTCTACTTCCCGGGCTGGTGCTGGAGACGAGTGGTGTGGAACATCTTCGGAAGGTGCTGTTAGAAAAGAGGTACTGGCGTTGAGACTGGAACTGTGACTCACCATTAGCATTGCCATCTCGTTCTTGTCTTGGTCGTGGTGGAAATGAGTGGTCATAGTGCGGAATATCTTCAGAAGGGATTGTTAGAACTGTGGGTCGGGTAGCAGGAACCGCTGGGACTCACTGGAATTCATATCAGTGTCTACTTCTTGTATTGGTGGCGGAGACGAGCAATTTGGAATATAACATTCTGAAATCAGGGTCAGAAGGAATGTGGTAACCGTTGAGCGAGTCGTACCAGGAGGACTGATATCCATATCCTGCGGCGCAGGTTCATTGGTCCTTGGGTGGCACAGGATTGGGTGCATGATGGTGCGGTGTCTTGTTCGCCCGCCTTGAGATTTGAAATGTTGATTGCATCCAGGATGACCGCAGGGTAACTGAAACGAGTTATGCTTCCTTCGAGAATACTGAGTAGAGCAGGGTGCCATGCGTGCTAGAGTGCCGGTTGAAGAATATTAGTTGACGGGAACTTTGGCGTATAGAACTGAATTGGGACTAGACGTAGCAGTACGAAAATTGAGCCCAAGTAGTAAGTTCTGGAACGTAACACAAGTGTGAGCGCATATTTGTGCAAATTGACGGGGCCAGTACCATGCAAATTTTACCTTGAACTTTTCGCTTCATTTCGTCCTCGCCTCCCATCATCTCCGTCAGTCAGCTATGCCCCCCAAAGCCTCACAAGAAGTGTCCACGTGTCGGACTCGTCCATCAAACGCAAATGCTCATCCTGGTAGGCCTGTTCTGGAGGCTGAAGCTGAGGAGCGGCTCCAGAATGCAAAGGGAAAACCTCGTACCAAGACTTCAAAAGTTGCTAATACCCCATACGCAAATGAAAGCCCTGAAGAGAGGAATGCCCGGATTCAAAAGGTTGCTGAACGAATTGCAGGAATTGAAGACGGCATGGAGACTCTTGAAGCCAAAATGCATGAAAGCAAGCCAAAACCTATTCGGCCCCGTCCTCGTCCTACAGGCAAAGGTAACAAAGTGTCTATGAAGGACACCGCAAGTGGTATGAGCCTCCTATCAAGAGTAGTAACTGAAACTGACACTTACCTAGAGGACACGCTTCTCAGAGACAGTGAGATTGATGAGGCTGCTGGAAAAAGCGGCAAGACAAAGAAGCAGGAAAAGACGATGTTACTGAAGGAAGCGATCAGAAATGCCCGTTCTGGATTGAAGGCTGCTTCGGATGCACGTGCCATCAGTAACAATAAAGGCAACAATGCGGCATTATCGTGAGTCAACACACTTGCTTCCCAATGTTTTTACTCACTGAGTCAACTCTATTCTTTATTAACCGTGCGGTTTCAAGGACGACTGAAAAATCGTCACTCAACAGTTTTATCGATGGCTGGTTCAACGATGTCCCACCACAAGCTGACCCAAAGTCCAATGCAACCAGTCTCAAATCGAACACCTATTCTGCATCTCAAGCTGCTTCCACTCCGCCCTCATCAGTGTTGTCCACCACCAGTACTAACACTAGTTCTAAGACCAAATCTGCGGCCATTGACAAGAAGCAGCCAACCGAACTCAACATATTCTCCGAATCTACCGACGATGTCCTGATGGTTAGCGATGATAGCCTTGATGGCTCTGATGTTTTGGAACGGCATCCAGTTGCACTTCAGAAGAAAGGGAGACAGGCAGTTAGAGTAAGTCATTATTTCCATGAACCATTCTGTTCAAGGACTAACCTGGATTCTAGAAGTCTACTGTAATCGTTCCCGCTAGTGAGAGTGACTCTGAGCCGGAGCAGATAACTTATTTTGCAGAGTCTGGTGGTGTCAAGCGTAAGGCTTCGGATGATGTTGCAGATTTTGTTGACGAGACTGCATCCGAGGCCACGGATGATTCTGACATTTTGATTGATGATTCGCAGGAAATGACAGGCCTCTTGTCCGAGGCCATCATTGACTCGGAGAAGAAGGTATATGCCCCTCGCAAGACTACATCAGTGCGTGTTTATTTTATCTCTTGCATAACCGACTCAGTTTGTATATTTGAGGCATCTACCATTGTATCTCAGAGCGCTACCCCTCCCCCACCAAAAAAGTTGAAGAGAGAGCGCTCCAGAGCCTCCAAGGTTACTGATGACGACGATCTCATGCCTCCACCCTCCACTCAGGTCCCGGCAGGCTATTATGACGATGTTGTGCCTCCACCCTCCACTCAGGTCCCGGCAGGCTATTATGATGATGTTGTGCCTCCCCCCAGCACCCAAGTCCCATCAAATGCCGGGAAGACTGCTGCACAGGAGGTCATCAAGCCCCGTGGTCAATATCGCAACAACGATCTTCCCATACCTGCTGACTCAAAGTGGGTGAAGGCTTTCTTGTCTACCACGCTTCTCTGGGCTGGAAGTCAACCTAATCCATGGGAAATACCTGAGTCTGTGATGGCAGACGCACTGCAGGAGATTTTTGATACAGTCTACCCTGATGTCAAATACAAGGTAAATACGAACGGTGCAGTATTTGCAGTAGTAAGTTCATTTAATACATTTTGTGCTGCATCTTTCATATGCTGTTTTAGGCGCAACAGCGACTCTCGGAGTGGAGGAGCAACATTGGTTCCACGGCACTTGCCATCATCGTCGATTTTTGCTCGCGCATCACGGATGCACCAAACGCCGACATTGCCAAGCGATTCCTCCAGAATTACGCCTTCATGTATGAAGACCCAGACAATATATCACGGGACACAGCCTACCTATCAGTGTTTGTACTGCGAATGATCGCATCCACTCATCTCAGCGCCATCGTCGATCATGCTGATGTCCCTGCGTTATATACTGATGAGCTTGCCTTGGGTAAAGGCATGGACGGTGTCATCGTGCTTTGTGTTGTCGCGGTGAGGTTTTTTTTATCTGAAATTTGCTTTTCTGATTGTTTCTAGCTTGAACGTGCCCTCAAGTTCATTAAAGACAAAGTCATCAAGGTCGAAGACATTCTCGCATCCATGACAACTGGCAAGTCTGGCGTCAAACTCCCAAAAACGCTCAACAAGGTGACAGGGAAGATGTCGAGCGGAAATTATAAATTTTCATTCGCGAATTGGCACGAAGAGACGGAGTCATACATGAAATCAATCAGTAGCAGGGATGAGGAAACAAAACTCAACATTATTGTGCGCGCACGAAAGCTTATGAAGACATCGAACACGGACTTTTTGGACGATGACGTGGAGGAGAGTATCAACGACCGTGCCCTCATTTGTAACATTAGTTTCTTCCCGCACCATCAACATCACTGACCTCTTTTCTTATCTCAACAGAATACTATATTGTCATGGTGGTGCTATATTCAAGTTGTGACGCACCTACATGTCAGCACCGCAGCATTCGTACCATTCAAGGTTCAACCGCCGCCACCTTCCTTCGTATTGCCCTTCATCACAGTATTCAAGTTGAAGTTTCGCTCACTCACAATTTCGACCGCTTTGTCCGCTCGTTTTATAAATCCTATTAATTGACTTTTTGTGGTGTTTCATTACTTCGCTTATCGTACTGTTTGGATCCAATGATCACTTTTTCGTCTTACTACCAGAGGGATAAGTGAAATTAAGACGAAAATAAGAGATCGACTGGTCTGAATAAGTCAATGTTTACTTATCCATCGTTCCTACTTATTTGTGCTTATCAAGTCATTTAAGTACATAAAGCAAATGTGAGAATTTCCTGATGTACTATGTTAAATTGCGCTGCTACGTGGCGCAATAGATGGGATGCTCATTGAATTGTCGCGAATGAATACAACTGGCAGTTGTTACAAACTCACAAAACGTTGCGCGAAGATTCGTAGCCAGCCACAAATTTATTCTCGCCTGCTTCATGAACAAATCCCAGCTGCTATGCAAAGGTGAAGCATATTCGCACAGATTCGCAACTGGTATACTACTGCCAACCATTAGCTATCCAAAGAAAGTTGCCTTGCGACTCGAGCCATGATACAAATTGATTGTCGCCCACTTGTTGAACATAACCTGGCTAGTGGGCAAAGGTATAGCATTTTCACACGCATTCCAAATTGATGCATAGCATTACAAACATTAGACATATAAAAAAAATAGTGTTCAAAGTCACAGTACGATGTAATATTTTGTGTCGCACGCTTGGGTGAGTATATCCTCGTAGTCGGGAAGATATGGGCTTTCAATTACATGGAAAATTGTCATGGAGGTGACGGGAAATTGGCTTGTCAACAAAACATATCGAGTTTTAACTCCGGATGTGCATGCATGTCCCCTGCTGAGGTTAACACATCCTCGTGCTCTTGAAAAATGTGGGCATTCAGTCTTAGCTTGGATATTGCGAACCTTACCAGTGATGTGACAGTTTTGATTCATGTAGGTCAACCATTAGCTCTTGTTCCGCCTTCCCCTCAATTTTTAGTTTGAGCAATGTTGGGACAGTTTCCTGATCTTAAAGTTTTATCGCGAAATCAAGCAAACTCCTTTCCTGTACAAGGGCAAATATGATAATGTGATCCTCGATAACACAATTATGTTAATTATTGTGACTGTGTACTATATATCGTGATATATGGCCTTCTACTTTCTTTGCCGGTTCACTGATGATAATACTGAACGAAACAATGCCGAACAGGGTGTTGTTCACGATCGTGCTGATTTTCTTCTTCGTCGGATATCTCTAGTCTCAGGCGAAGGTGTCCCCGAAGTCGATGCCGCTGAAGTAGTCTCCGAAGTACAGGAATGGCTACAGTCTCAACCGGGTGACCCAAATTCTGTGAGTCTCTTTTCATTCTGCAGGCGCATCACAAACGCGATGTATACCTATGCTTGCTGTCAGTACCTTACCCAATTCTCATCAAATTTCTCATATGCGGCATTTTTAGCATATACCACTTCGAGCTGCCTTAGACTCCCTCCAGCGATATAAAGCTCTTCAACGTGAGAGCGAGCGTGATAAAGCAGAATGTCGTCATCTTCGCGACCAGCTTCGCAACAGCACACTGACCACAGACCAAGGCTCCAGAACATCTCGTGCTGTGGAAGACAGTCTCCTTGCTAAGATCGAGGAAATAGAGACTGAACGTGCCCTGTGAGCTGCTCCTCATAAGCAATGAATATTTTCTAAATGATTTCTTCGTAGAGAGGTGATCGTTTGGTTCAATGGCGTTTATGTTGAACTTAACTTGAATACACATAGATGTCGCAATTGCGATCCCAGTTGCAAAACCTTCGCAATCCTCGACCTCAATACCTTCGCAATCCTCGACCTCAATACCTCGTCATCAATACTAATCCCTGCCCCCCTCAGCTGAATTCTTTACCTTGCACAATGGCTTTAGATACCCACAGGCGAATGGGACATCTTGATTCTCTGCACCATCATTGGCGGACACCCTGGACTTTAGTTGTCTCTTCGTTAATTATTTTCTGCAGTATCATCGTGGTATGTGCCCGTTCTATTTTCAACATAAGTGATATAATGACCTCCTGTGGCAGCTTTCAATCTCAGCCTGGCTCACATCGCGTTTTACTGCCTACCATAACTACTTCAGTCTAGCTGAACGAGACCGCACTCGTTTTCTATTGTTTACTTCAGCATGGACGATCGTATTCTCCAGTCTCTACATGATTTTATCCTTTTGTCTTCCAGGCAGTGTTTTGGGTAGCGTGTACGTAAACTTCCTTTGGCATGGACGGTCGGACTTGCTGATAAATTCGTTGTAGCCTGTTTTTAACATGGCTCTTCTGGACCGCCGGCGCTACAAGTATGACTACAGCTCTCAGTGGAGAGCTGGATCGCAAGTTGGTGTCATCTTCTTACTACTTACCGCTCACCTCCTATCTTCTTAGGACCCAGGGCAATTTCGTATATCCTGTTCAACTTAACGCGCTAGAAGGCTTTGCTTGGGTCACTGAGTATGTTTCTCTGATATATAACCATGGCTTCCTTGTTCATATTCTCGCTAGGGCTCTTGTAACTTTCGCATTACTAGCTGCGCTCATCCGTAGCATTCTCGCGGCCCGCCGTCGTGGAATGCGTAGACCACTAGCTGCTTAAGCGGGCTGTTATCCTCCACTTCTTTTTCCTCGATCTACGTCATATATTGCAGTTGTGATGACAATGCATGACTAGCATTGCACATAGCTGATATATAGTGCCCTCCATTCTTGCGTTGTCCAATAGCTTCGTCTAGTTACCATGTGGTGTTGTGTACGAGCAATATAAGTTATGTTTTGTGGCAAGAAAAATCACCTTTTCGATGCAGTTACTACACTGCTCACACCGCATCTCCACACAACGCCTGAATTAGAGGAATCGGTGAATGCAAATAACGTACATATAACATTCCAGACTAGTGAGTTAAATAGTCAAGCTTCGTGTCGGTTCGTGTGATCACTAAGTAATATGATCAAAGTATGTCTTATCTGGTGTCCGTGTCACCAGTCTAAGTCGTCGTGTCATCGGGCAGGAATGGAATCATGAATGTGAAGTGGGACTAGTAGTATTACCTAGTGAAGTCATGTGATTGCATATTTCTTTTTGTCAATTGACCCCTATATAAAATTTCACTCTCACCGTAACCGTTACCATCATGCTTGGGCTCGTCATGAAGACGGATACTCTCCTCAGACCTCTTAAACAAACACTGCCGTTGAATCTAGAAAGTCCCAATTTACTCTGCTCAAACATCTCAAAATTCGTGCCATCGTTGCTCTCGCCGCTGAAACTCACAAAACTCAGCCATGTGTTGAGACCCCTTATCTTCATCCTCTTTCGCCTATGCTGCTTCATCATGCTGTTCCGGCCAGTACTCAATCATATCATATTGCACAAGCTCGGCCAAGTATTTAAATGGGCGCTGTTCTTCAATTCGCCCCAATATCTCATGGCCCTGTTCAAAATCCTCATGCTGGCGCTCGTGACCGCTGTCATGTACAATCCCGGTGCTACAGTAAAATCTATCGCTTTTATATACGCTGCTTCAATTGTTATTACGCGACTGACTCTGCGTCTTTTTTTTCGTGCAGGTTTGTTGACGTTCAAATTCATCGTCCTGCTTGCACGAATCGCTTGCCACATTTGTCTACGGAGATTGGAATATATATGGCACAAGTGGAATCATATTAGACGTCCCTGGATGACTGGTGTATCCTTAGTAGAACGTACCTCGTGTGTGGATGTATAAAGTGTACGCAAACGATTTATTCGCTTTCCACGTTTTAGATAGTTCGAGGATTCGCTGCCTATGGGGGGATATAATAAAGCTGCCAGCCGGTCAAGGTTGGACACACGATCATCCGACGTTTGCATCTGTGTATTCCGACGCAGTCAATCATGAGGGCTTTGACAGAATGAAACGATAGAATTAGACACACGGTAAAATCTATGATGTCATCCTGCCCGATATCCAAGGGTGATATGCGATGATCACATATAGATAAGCAGTCAATTCATCACGCAGCACAAGGTCGCCGAAAGAGTGAGATGAGTTCACAACCGACACTATATCCACGGCACCTCGCATCCAAATTCTTGGATCGAGATATGAATCGATTCTAAAGGACGAGTAGAAGCATCAAAACATGGTCATGTGTGAAATAAGGGAGGGCTTAGTATCTACCTTGTAAGCGTGAGGAAATACGATGCACCGTAGGCTAGAGAAGTCGCAAAAACGGTCCGATGATAATGACCTAATGAGTGCCGTAGGTTGTTTGATCAGAGCAGGTATGCAGAGCCAGTTGCGCTATGGGAGCCAAGAGGTCGCTGAGAAACACCACATCTGCTTCAGCTCAACTTTCGTTGACGCTTGAGACCTTCCTGGGAGTGAAGTACTGAAACGAGCCTGTGGAAAGCACCCCGAACCAGCTATGGTGGGAGACAGCGTGATCATCCAATGGGCTAAAAATCTATTTGACACTACGTTTGACGCGCCTTATTCGGAGCGTCTGCAAATTTGCTATCGCTGAGCAGGCCATACCTTCCAGATCCTCCTCAGCCTAAGGTTCTTGCCGATTATGGATGATTCGGAAGATCCTGGTCGACGGCGATATCCTTTCTGAAGTTTGAAATGGTTTGGACTCTTGAACCTGCGTACCTGCTAGTTTTCCTAGTGCAACATCGACAGCCCCAGCTGGCAAGCTGGCTATGAGTATGAACCTTGCTTTACCCGCAGATACCTGAAGAGGTCGATCTCAACCATTTATCTTTCAGTTCAAATATCCGGTCCTTGATGGAATTGACACTGCAAGTCTGAACATCACATACCCAAGCTCCTCGCTCTCGTCGTTCATGTGCGTCGGCGAATATTAGTGACGCGCCACCAACAATATGCACGTTGTTCCTTAACTGGAAGCGCAATATAAATCGCATTGCTCAAAGCCTGGCACGTGTTCAACGTTCATCATCTATTCTGTAGCGTTCAATGCGTTTTGCGGTGCTGTTGGTGTGCTGGTTCATTTCTACATGAGTTAGAATTTGTCGACCATACCTGAGAAGAGTGCACTTACAGGTGGTGTCTATAACAGAGGCGGGCGTGCAGAATGAAAAAGGGACAAGATTTGAGATGTCGAAGTCGCGAGAGAGCGAACGAAGTGAAGGCAGTCAGGAATAACGCCATGAGATGGGATTAATGATGAGCTGATAATACGCGCGAACAACAAGCATGCATGAAAGGGGCACCACAATATAGTTATAATAAGCCTAGATGATCACCACTCCATTATGAATCACGATACTCCTCCGTGCGCTGGGAACCTTTCCAGTCACCACCGTATGAGTTTTTGCGATGAGGACCTTTCTCCCTCTGGTTGAATCTCCGCTTTTGTCCCTCCGGGTTACTCCTGAGGTCAGAAGCAGCACCGAGACGAGAAGGCCTTGCATATTTGATGACCATCTGCCTACCCGTCAAAGGGTCCTTTGGATCTTTTATAGCCTCGAGCGCCTCTGTAGCGGTCTCGGCATTCTCAAATTCCACAAATCCGCTTCCCTTTGATTCGCCGGTGATTTTGTCCCTCACTAGACCCGAGCCCAGAGTCAGACACATTGCAGTTCAATAAGTCAAAGCGCACGCACGTAATCTCACACCCGCAATGGAATGTTGAAAGTTGCTGAATATCTCGCGCAAGTCGTCCTCCACCCCACCAAACGGACGAATGTACAGCGTGTGGTAAGGTTCGCGCACAGGCTCCTTCTGGACTGCAGCATGGTCAAGGTGGATGTCGCGGTTCATGATATATATTGGGTCCTCTTCATCCGCCTTGACGACCTTGCAAGCATCGTCCACATTGGTAAATTGAACGTGTCCAAACCCACGGCTGGTTCCTTCTGGTGTGGTGCCTACAACACATGCCTAGTCAGCACTTCGTAAACACTTCAGTGTAGCATGGAAAACACACCCAAAGATACGCGCACGATCTCCCCGAACTCCGAAAAAGACTGTCGCAGTTCTTCTTCAGTGATAGAGTATGGAAGGTTTCCTATGTAAAGTGTTCCCGAAGGCGGAACGCTTCTCCGAAAGCCCCTTGACTTCGAGTTTTGGTCGCCAAACCGTGACTCTTCATCACGCAGCGCTAACGACGTTGACAATGCCCGCTGCCATTGCAATGGCATCGACACTTTTCCAGAGCTGGCGTGGCGTAACAGAGCTAGCGACGAATGTGACGCACGGGCCCCGAGAGATACAGAGAACATCCTTGACTGAGCTAAAAGGGCTTTGGAGAACATGACAGAGAATGAAGGAGTACAACGAATTTTCATGTACTGAGCTCAAATTTGGCTCAAATAGAAAATAACTTTGTCACTTTGTCACGCGACGCGCACCGTTACACGTGACAGTGAGCCGTACCCTCAGCTGGCGGTAGCTAGCTATAATGTTTTGCTTATAATATCAAGCTTGTGTATTAGTCATTATGTTATTGAGAAAACAAATACGACAGCCATATCGACAGGAAACAAAGAACAGAACTAGTAACTACTATGTGCACAAGATGGTCCCCCTATTGCACCAATGTCCTAGATCATGATGTATGTACAAAGCGCGCTCTTATAGACGCTTCAACGCTTTCTTACGTTTCTCTGTCCCGGAGCTGGCTGAGGTTGCGGATCGCTTGACAGCTTTGGTTGTGGCGGCAGCAGCTGGGCCCGCAACATTGGAATTTGCAGTCCCAAGCGGAGATAAGCGCTCCTTGCCGTCTTTGCTAGACACAGTACTCGTAGAGATTGATGAGGGCAATGTGTTCGCTTGTGATGATTGGAGAGGTTGCGACGGTGGCGTAGGAGAGGGTTTGCGAGGCGATGATGCAGATGTTGGGACAGGTAGCGTAATATGTGGTGGCGGCGGCACCACAGCTGGTGTTGGAATCGAAACCGGTATCGATATCGTGGATGATTCTCCCTCTTCCTCAGTGGATGACGTCTGAAATTCGGGAGGTCGTATGCGAGGAGTGGCATGAACACTTGTTATAAGCTTCGCGCGGGAACAGTACGCGTCGTAGTCCTCTAAGAGGAGCTTCCCTGCTTCCTCGTCGAGGGCACTCTCGGGATTTGGATAAATAAGGAGGCATTTGATTGTCACGAGAATGTGACCGATGCCATATGACGGTTGCCAGTCCTTCTTCAACGTGTTCACACAAATCTCTCCCGCGGAAGAGACGTTTGGGTGGAAAATCTTGGTTGCAAACCAGCCTATGCCGATGGTATTTGATAAATGTAATCAGACAACTAATAATGACGCGTACATTTGGGGGGTGCAGTGGGGAATTCGTGTGTAAATTGGAACCGCACCCTGAAATACCCGCCTGCGTACGGTGTTTGTTCTGTGGTATAAGATGACTTGATTTATGGACGCGTATTTCAGTATGCAATGACTCACCTGGTCCCTCGACAATTCCTGTGAGGTCTAGCATATTCTCCTCACTCGTGACGACGCGAATGCCCTCCGGAGGATTGTTCTTCAACTCGGTGATCTCGCGCATCAAACGGCGCATGGCCGCGGGTGTTAGGGACTGTAAACCAATAGAATAAACATTACAGCTGCATCAAGCAGCACGTTCAACATACGCACCATGGCAAAGTAATAAGGTGTTGTTGAATAGAATTCAGATGGAATGTGGCTGACCTGAGAGGCTGAGAATGGTTCGAAAAGAAGGAGCAGTGATGACAAATTTGTACTCCGACCCTAACCCTAGTCTAGGGAGAAGAATTGTTGCAGCAAGTACCAAGCAAGTACCATGTGTGAGTTCGCTTTCAGGGAAAACATCCTTTGCAATGGGAAACTCCCGAAAAGTCACCTTGCTTGCAGGTCAGATGGGCCAAACCGATAATTCTGCGGATCGTCCACCGTTACAAATAACGGCATTTTCCTCATTCTCTGTTCACAGTTCTCACTCAGTTGTCTATGACGACCTGCCCTACAAACAAACCATCGCCGGCGACGGCGCCTAGTATTGAAAACAAGGGAATTCCGCTTTCGTTTGAGGTGACTGTGCAGTGCGTTCCTTATTACTAGTCGTACAACTCAGTGGACTGGCACGAGCAAGACTACTAGGCACGATCGAGATAAATTCAAACATTTACATTGCTCGGACAGTATGAACATTTAACTATACTGATTGACTCCGAACTAGGTGGTTCAACCATGATATGATGCGAAAACAGAGACATGACTCACTATCCGTGCCGCTCGAGTTGCCGGCTCAATTTCCAATCGACTACGAAGGCTGGCAGGTGTATCACTGGCACTGGGTGGGTCATTGTGGTTGAGTTCTGGTTGTACAACGGCCTGCTCATGCTCACGATATTATAGGAACAAAAGTAGGAAGGACAACAATCGGTGTTCCAATTGCAGGATTCATACTGCTTCGAACATGCACTGACCAAGATAGATGCTGTCAAAGCAACAACAACAGCGGGGAGGGATAAACGCATTTTCTGTACGAGATGATATGGAATCTTCTGAGGGGGCTCTCGAATGATAACACTGAGGATGGGGGAATACTATAGGACAACGGCCAGTTTTTATATCATGCATATATTACCAACGGGCTTGATTCTGATCGTTTTGGTAGAATTGTGTTTGCTGTCAGATAGCACAAATTTCAGCAGAACCTGCTGGAGCGTGTTCCATTGGTCACGACCATCGAATCATAACCTGCCTGCAGGCATTAACGATTCTCTTCTTTGTAACCACAGAACGCTTGCTTGAACTACCGGTTTCTCGTCCCGATCTCTCACTTGTGGCTTCATCATCTGAACCTGGAAGTGTGCCATGTGTGAGAGGATAAGACCATGCATTTTGAATGTAGGCTCGGGACCAGCCATGTAGTGCTACATGGTTACCGTCGACTATCAATCACACGTAAACTTTCGTTCGCGCACTGCATAGAGTGCTATACCGTATCTTTCTCGCTTGGCGCTGCAGCACTAAATTGAAATTGAATCCTCCAAATGATACCATTCGCTTCATATTATCCTCCACCACCACTGCAGCATGATGGTCTGCTGTCGAAATCTTTAGCATGGACAGCAGACCCTCGTAGCCTCGGCAAGGAGGGCAAATATTTCCTTGCTGAAAATACTCCGTGTCATAATGGCGACGGTCAACGACCTCCTGCTACAAACCATCTCAGAGACTCAAAAAGGCCTGGCATGGCCACTGAATTTTTCCGCAGTGCACTAGCACAATTTCTGAATGTGTTAGAAGCCGATGCCTTCTTGTACTAAGCAAAGATATGAGAGTCTTGGGTTGAAATAACTTCGGATGTTTGGTCAATGGTGCCTTGCGAGACAAGATCAAGGCGCGCGAAAGCTTCGAGTACTTGCTGGAACTGTCTCGTTGAAAGCGTGTTGTTGTTTGTAAAGTCCGTTATTCAAAGCAGATATTAGTATGCACATTAGTAGGCAATACATAATTCATATTAAAACTCGTGATTCAATGGTTTGGTCATGGTGCGCATGTAGCAAACCGGCTATTACTTATAGGCGAAACAAATGCCAAATTTCGAATTCCGCGCTTCGTTTCTCTGAGATCGACCACATATGGTGATCTGACTATGTTGTATGTCCACTCTCAAGAAATGTTGCTGTTGATGATGAATATTGTCACCTGCAAGGTGTCTTCTGATCCATTGGCATTCACCCTTCCTGATATTTATATTATACCAGAGCTACGGGCTCCTCTTTGATGTATTACTACTACCCGATGGAATTGTTTGACAAGTTATTTTGAAACTTCGAAACTTGTTACATGATGTGGAAGCACGTTCCTCGAGTGATGTCAGTCCAGCGCGTGAATGACGCTCACGTGATTGCTGTACAGGCGCGCTTAGCAGACGATTCTCTAGCTTGTACTTAACTCCACTTTTCTCAATATGATTATATCTAGAGGCTACATTCGGACGTTTATCTCATGGTTGAGGCTCATCATCAGGACCATCGCATTTCGATCATACACAAGTATCCTCTCTGTCCTCCGGCGGGCGTTTCGACACTGTCAATCCATCATTGACGGAAAAGAGAGAATCTTTCGAGAACCAGGTCTGGCGTGGAGTTCTCAACCGGCCGCCGTCAATCAAGAGAAATCTACCTCTGTAACGCTCGCAGTACCATTGTTTGAACTCTCACCTCGGCAAAGCGACGGGCGGAATGGCGTGGCTTCTAATATCCAGTCTCCTCTGGATTCTTGTGCGCCATGGATAATTTCTATGCCCGAGCCCTCCACCGCCACGAGTATTGCTGTGCCCGTGGTGCCAGTACAATCTTTTGATAATATCGCTTTAATTCCCGCGATACCCGGGCAAATCAAACGATACGATAGGATTGAATTGTATGTACATCACATTTGCCGAGCACTTTGCCTTTCTAATCCGTAGCTACAGTCAGGGTGATTATGCCTTGTATGAAGTTCCGAAAGGCCCTTTAGACTGTTCAGAGTAAGTATGTTGGCGAGAGAGTGAATAATAAGATTGAAACAGACTGGCAGGGAGCTCGCCCTGGTGTCTGGATGGGAACCCCTTACACACCCAGAAGGTGCTTTGTTTTTCTATTGCTCACATAAAGTATGTTTACGATCATTTCTGTCTGACTTTGACTCATTTCCCACCAGAGAGTTTTTACTGATGCTGATATTCGAGCCCCTGGAATGGTGGACAACATAGGTAAGGCTGTTGACAAGGCGTACAAAGAAGTGGAAAACGCAGGCATCGACCTCGATCCATCCGTCGAGTTAGTATTGGAGTTCATGAAAGGGAATCATGAAGAATGGGGCTATTACTTTGCCGATCACAACAGACGCATCATTTTCTGGTTCGAAGCCCACGAGTCCAGTGATCTCATTGGTTATGTCCGAGGCGTAAAGTGCGCTGATCATATCAGTGAGTTCTTTATGGGAAGTATCCCCCCTTCGAGCTTCTTTCATTGCGCCACTCCCAGGATATGCATTAGAATCACAGTACTGGTTCGTACGGCCTCAGGAGTATGCCTATTCCTCACCTTGACCGAAGTCTATGTGCTGAAACTTGTGTGACAGCCTATCTTGACCTCGTGTGGTTATCCATGATGATTTTGACAGGCTACACGTCGAACTATATCCAAACAAACGCTTCCTTCCAAAAGATGTTGTCGTGAGACTCAGAGAAATTGTTATGTATACCCAGGCAGGTGGGTAAAGATTCATAAATGTTTCACGCTATACTGAAAAGTTCGTAACAGACAATATCACTTCTGACACGTCCTTAGCGCCTTTTTCTTCAGAAGAGGTTGCAAGTATGCTTAGCCTTATGGATCCTCTCATGGGTAAATCATTCACTGATATAGATAGTCGTTGTTGATTAGTTCTTAGGCAGTGCTGGCATTGAGCATGAGCATCCACATGAGCATTCTGTGTGGATTGTCGGTAAGCCTGAGCATGGAAGGCCAGTTGTTTACCTGATTTTTTTTGTACTTTTAGCTCGATTTATGGAAGAATTTTGTGAGCTCTGGTCGATTGGAAGTGCATCACGCCTCCTGATTACTTTCATAGGCAACGTCAAATTTGTGAATTTCTGTGGACAACCGGGCGCCCGGCTTAACGCAGACCAGTCTCTGTACGGAGATACCAACACCCGATCGAACAATACCCTTCTTCGTGTTATGAATTTCATACTGTTTGGATCCCCTAATGCTTATAACAAGGTCATCAAAAAGATATGGGTCGATTCTACCGTCGTTCAACCGCGGTGGAAGAATTTTATCAACAGACTCAATAATGAATGGAATGGATACACAATATTCGTGAGTTGTACTTCTGCTCCATATTGGCAACGCAATCGATGTCCATCTCAGTCTACTGTGATGCTTGCTGTGGATATCAGCTTTCTCGCGGTACCATCTGTCGGGACTCAAAAGGCTGCGATTCTTGTCTCTTATATGTCTACCCTCTGTGCCATGGGGTCGTTAGTGGTTTCACTAGTCTTAGCCGGACAAGTCAATGACAACCGGCGGGACTCCGCTAAAAGCGTGGTAAGTTCTCTTTTTGATTGTTTGGTCTGCATTCTTTACGTTTAGGCCTCGTTTATGGAAAGGATATCGGGTTCTGTGCTCGGCCTCGAAGGCCTTGCCCTCATGCTATGTCTGCCATTTGCTCTTCTGATTTGGGGGTGCGTGTCCTGTTAAACACCATGGGGCGGCAGTGGCTCATTATTCAATAGAATGGCATTCTTTGCTGCAGCATTGTCCATCATGATTTTCACTTCTAACATCGTCACCATCTCGATCGTATCTCCCATTTGGGTCGCTATTTTAATTCTGGCGACATGGCCGGTACTGGCTTCCAACGATGTGCACATTTCTGACCTGCTCTCTTGGATCACAAAACAGATCAAGTCGCATCGCATACCATCGTGGAGCGCCACCAGGGCTCGCATTGAATCTGACGTATAGTTTGTTGTGATTTCAAGACTTTTGCGTAGCATGTACAGTTGTATCTGGTGTTTTGAGTTGTTTTATGTAATACCTGACTTGTCGATGTTACTCACATATCGTTGTATAGCCCTTCTCGAGCACCTTAACTGGCAAGCATGCCTTGAAAATCGTGGAAGGAAAGTTTGTGCGACGCAAGTCGGAGACTATCATTTCACCCAAGTGTGGGCTCGAGGAGCCTTTGTCCTCACTCGTTTAGACATAAAAGCATTCATAAGTGAATCAGCTCGCACGCCCTAGATCTCATCATCCATCATCTATATCAAACTCTCTCACAGCCTTACAGCGACTAGTCCCTTTTCACCTGTTTCCGTTCACTATCCAGCATCCAGCAACAGGCGAGCTCAGTTTGCAAACAGTGTATCTAGTACCAAGTGCTGCATCCGTCGCTTAGAAGGGGGCGTTTTCTTTATGCTGCTTGACGAGCGACACTCTCCACCCCTCAGATCTCAGACGTAAGTGGTAAGGAGATCACGGCGGAAGGAACGACAGATTGATATTAATGTATGGTGAGCCGAAACAAGACTTGCCTGGTGATATCCCCCATCAAGTCAATCCTAAACAATGACTATGGTATCCTCCTGAATAGCAAGCAGCATCGATACCAGTCGTCGTGGATACCGAAGATGATACCGTGTCGATGCATGCGGGGAAAGACTCGGATCAGAGCATGTACTTCGAATGACCTGCAACTTGAGCGAGATAAAAAAACATCCAACACACCAGACTTCGTTAACATTAGCGTTGTGCTGTGGTATTGAAACAAATCAAAAGAATGACATTTCATCCTACCTCAAGTATCACATGAACTGCATCGTACCTCGACCTTACAGCCCCACTAAACTCCGAAGTTCCACTCCCCACTCGTCAATCCAAAATTCAAGTTGCCTTCTCCTTGCATCGTAATAATCCCTCCGAAGATCCTCCCAAAGATTGTATTTCTGCACAGCTAAAAACGTGCCGTTGCAGTTCGTCGAACGTATACAAAATCCTATGTAGTTCCGTCCCAACATCAATAACCAAACGTCATACAAGAGGAGAAAGTGGAATTAAGATTGGGATCGAACTCACCTAACAATGTTATTTGACATCCTTATCTCCATCCCGTATCCAACATCGAACAGGACAGGTTCGATCAATGCTGATATCAACGCATCGAGCAAAGAATGCTGCTGCTCTCCCTCCTCCTGAATCGCAGCGAGCGTGAGAGCAGAGATGGAGATGAATCACGGATCAGAGCATCGAAGCATGGGAATTGCCATGAAAAGTTGGGGCTGGTGCGTTTTCTGAGGTGGGGTGGCTTATGTTTGATTATGGGTCAACCTGAGGTTAGGAGGAGGGGAATGATTATCAACAGGGTTTGCATTTTGAGTGTGTCGCTTGTACCTAGGAGGAGGTTGTGCAGGAGTTGCCATATCCCTAGTTTCTTCAGGTCTGTGTCATGCCATTTGTCAGGTCGCACATCAATCACAATATCGATATTGGGAAATAGTTATATTTCATCGTAAGCAACCATGGCACACATGAGGTTCGATCATCGGAAAGACGGGACGCACATCTCGAAATTATTCCGGGATCGAGCTTAGCTGTCCTGGTTTCCATAGTGAACGGCTTCTCGCCTTCCATAGTTGTTGAGAACCAGATAATCATGAACTGACGCTTTCCTAAATGTGATCATATGATACTTAGGCGCTTCAGATGCACAGCTAATGCTAATATGTATAAGCTGTGAAGCGAACACGAGGGTACAGCATGTACAACAACGTACTAGGAAGCAGTGGATTCAACTGTGACTTTCCCACCAAAGCCATCATTCCCTGCTGCCTGCCCATCGCTGCTTAGAGACCTCCTCGTAAGTGATAATTTTGAAATCTGACAGATGAAAGCTGAGATGGCGCTGCACTCCATTGTTGAAATTCTGGAGTATGGCTTCACCCACCGCTAAAGCGAAAGAGACATCGGCAACGACACCCCGCCAGGAATTCAAAGGACACACCGAAGCGGTGCGAGGCGTCATACACCTGCCAGGTGGACAGCGAATCATCACTTGTTCAGCAGACGGCTCGCTGCGGGTATGGAACTTGAAGAGCGGGAAACAGATAGGTGAGGAGTGGAGAGATGGAGAAAGTGAAGTGTACTGTATAGCGTTGTCTCCGGACGGGAAGAAAGTGGTTAGCGGGAGTTTCGATGGTGCAGTGAGGTTGTGGGATATCGACACATGCAAAGTCATCGCTAAATGGATGGGGCATATACAGTCAGTGGCGTCTGTCTGCTGGAGTCGAGATGGTCGAAGAGTATTAAGCGGATCTGACGATGGGACCGCAAGGCAATGGGACGTCGAAAGCGGAGAGACAATCCTCGAGCCAATCGAGACTGGGCACACCATTGTGTGGGCAGTTATCTATTCACCAGACATGTCCATGATTGCGACTGGTGGACGTGATGGGCCCTGGACTGACGAACCCATCGAGTGCTCCATCAAAATCTGGGACACAAAGACAGGCGAGCTTGTCGCAACTCTCAAAGGACACAAATGGATGGTTGTGTAAGCATAAATACTGTCCGCGATAAACAAAGCGTGCTTTGTTTATCACTGCCTTTTGGCGTAACGGTTAAGGGACGACAGTCTTGACCACTTACAGGTTGCTTGCCTGGCTTGGACCGAGGACGGAAAAACTCTTATCTCCGGGTCATCCGATCACTCGATTAGGACATGGAATACCAAAACATGGAAGCAAACCGCACTACTGGAAGCGCACACCGACAATATCTGGGCCATTGCAATATCACCAAATGACCGCATCCTCGCAAGCACATCATATGCATTAGACATTACAAATACAGTGCTATTGTGGGACCTCGACAATGGACAACTCATCGGTCCGCCCCTACAGCATGCAGACTGGCTTAACTCCGTATCGTTTTCGGAAGATGGAAAACTACTAGCCACTGGCTGCCACGACAAAAACGCGTACACATGGGATGTTGCTGCGATTGTTAAAGAAACCGGCCTCGACGACCTTCTTTTGGATCCAAAGGTGAGTCGATATGAATGCCCATTGTATATTCTCACAACTGAATGCGCTCTGCCAGGCCAAGAAGTCGCCACTCCATGTACGTGTCACTTTCATCAAAAGATCTTGTTGTTCTCAACATATATACTCTAGACTAGTGCTACACAACCTCCGGTTCAACGACGTCCGCCTGCTTATCAGGTACCTCAAGGTTTTTTCGATGGAGTCCCACCAAATCGTTCCCATGTATGTCATCACTATCAATTCGATTTTGTTTTCCTGACCTCTGGCATGTTCTCAGTCCTCTGCACGAAGCCGCTCCCACTCCTCAGCATCACCAGGCAGCACGCTTCTCAGCCGTCTATTCCACCGCAACAGCAGTCCCTCTAGTGCTCAGGCTACATCACAGTCCTCTCCTCTCGACTGGGCTCGAAACATTTTGAAACGGCGCAGACAAAGAGGTGAAGGCATTGGGTTTCAAGGACCCAGTCCCGCAGTTGTCGAGGTCCCATATGCGAAGGGCAAACGTGTATGTGCCTTCTCTTCCTTAATCGTCCTACTCCAGTTAATCTCATTCAGAGAAATGCTTGCGCGAGGGAGAAACGGAAAAAACTATTTCCTCCGAAGATCCCTACTGCAGGTAACTCACGGCCTCCAAAGCCCAATGTGACCCAGTCATCTTCGCAACCACAGACTGCCATCTCTGGTTCATCCACCACACCTCCCGTTGGCGATGTTACTGGCTTAGTCACGACCTCAACGACCCCGCGCCCAGATGCAACGATAAGACAGGCTGGACTCTGGACTCGCTTCTGGCTCTTTCTTGGCTGTCTCTCTCCTGAATACACAGACGGTCATCATTAGATCTTCCCATCCTTCACAAGTCGCATGCCTTTCCATCTCTCGATGACCTTGATATGCTTTACCTACTCTCTCTAATGTATTTCGAGCCGTCTTGTACGATATTACTCGTCACCTCTGTCTGCAATGTACGCTACCTATTCATTTCTGCAGCTCAAAACTTGCCGTTGAAACTCGTGACGAATGTTTATAAAATTCTAGCTGCATCATAGCGTCAACAATGAACACGAGAAAGATTCTGCGACCCAAGTACTTGAGTGCAGACAGGAGCATTTTGGGAGAGCAATACTTTCGGTAGAGCGTTCTATAACCTGAGTATGTTCTTTCGCAGCAGAGCCACTTCCTGCTACTAGTGTGGATCCACTCACAAATTGAAGACAGATAATATGGCATCGAGCCTGACAACAAGACAGATTCACACTGGGTGTAGTGCCCGACATTGACTGGCGTCGTATATTCTACATGGGTGGGGTAGAATACCCGTCTTTGTGGACGAGACATTGCAGATTTTAGGGGCAAAATATGAGAAGCAAACAACATGATGCAATGACCGGGAAAGTCGGACCTTCTATAGATGGCACGCGAACCTGCGAACCGGCACAGGTGGGGAGGGGGAAAATTCAGATCAGCATCACTCAATACAATATAGCACGTTAACAGCAAGTGAACAGCAGGGTACGGGTATATGAGACTGAGTTTAATCACTGACTGCAGCCAGGTAGCTCTATACAAGGAATGTGTCAGCGAGAATATTCAAAGAATCGGTGTAGAAAAATGAACTGCCGAAGAGACAGTGATAGGTGGACGGCGCCAGGTGCTTTAGCAGTCGGCAAGATACTCACCTCTCTATCTTCCAAAAACTCCCAATACGCCAAGGCAACAGCGATCCAAAAGCTCGTATCAATTCCCAATATACGTTCCTCTGCTCTGTTGATCTCGAGAAGACCCGTCACCGACGCCAAGGTGAGTAACGGTGTGCGATCATGGAAGGTTAACAATGGCGTCGGGGTGATTGGAATAATCTGTGATATCCGATGTCCTGAACCAGGCGGTTGGGGACTAGGCCGGTTGAGTGGCGTGATCGTAAATGAGGCAGAGTGCGAAGGCCTGTTGTTTTTGAACATCGACAGCGCACGTGTTAGAAATGATGTCTGCTCGTCTGGTTGCGGCCCCGGGATGTGTGGTGTAGAATGCGGTGCCAACAAGAATTGTGTTGCCTCAGAACAAGAGGCGCGTTTCTGTACTGAAATGGGGGACGGGGATATTTCCTCCAACCGTGCACTGATGCTTTTTGGTGTAGGCGGGGTGATCATGATGGAGGCCGGGGGCGGTGTTGGAGGATAAGAGTGCACTGTCGATGTGCTATCTATGGACATCTTCGAGGTACTGGGTGAGTGTACCACAGTAGAGGTGGTGTTCGTAAGACATGATAAGGACAGTGCGGCGGCGTCTGTATGATTAGGGGACGTGCGGGGAATAGGAAGGAGGGATATGGAGACGCCCGGGGGAAATGATGGTGCACGGATGCGGATATACCACCCGCGCTTTGGCTTGTGGATTGTCCAGCATATCGTCGATGTTTGGTTGTGCTTCGGAGGAAACTTGTGTGAATTGGTATAATGCATGGAAGATGAAAACGCACCACGACATGCTCAATGATCTCATCGTCCCCTAGGAACCTTTCCTTCATTTAAGTGAGCGGGCGAAGAAAGAAACCGCTATGGTATCGCACCTTGTACCACATGACATTGTCGTGACCCTCCTCAAAGACGTTGATTCGCAAGTCAGAAATGACGTCGGAGCTATAACAAACCAAGGTAAAATGTAGTGGTGGCATATTACCTGGATGACATTTAATTACCTCTGTATCACATATCGAGCCAGGTTGGGACTGTGGATCTGATTCTGCATGGCTCCGACCTGTAGTTGTGATACAAGGATAGGCGTTTGACGCTCGACTTGTTAATGCAAGGTCTGAAACGGACTACTGTGGCTGTGCAAATTTCACTCAGTCTCCATTGTCCAAGTTACAACGGTGCAGTGCCTTTTAAATTGGTTTTTTGAAGCAGAACTTTAGTCGTGGATGCCACCTGGGCCTGCGTTTGGATGGCTTTGCGTTCTCCACTCAGTTACAGATATTGCTGTTCGTGCAGCACAGATAAGAGCCTCCCAGGTTTTTCCTGTCAGACCCGTTGTATCTCCGGAGTTCTCTTTGCGCAAGAGCAAGACCGAGGAGCATCAGCTAACGTCACAGCTTTCAGGTGATGCTCAAGCTGACCACGACTCTCCAAAACCGCGCACAAATCACGCGTTTTCTACCAACCCTCCGATTAACAATACTCACCTGTCCCATCCCGAGGAACGGCAAGAGAAAGCGACACCATTACCACCTCGGTTTGAAGAGGACATCCAGTCTGAGCAGTTTTCGCGCACTACCTATATATCTCTCTCCGCTGAGCCTACCTTCAAACCTCAACTACCTAGCGATCCCAGTCTTGCGGTCACCTCTATTCCACTTGAGGTGGAGGGTTCCTTGAAAATCGCGTCTTCTTCCGAAGTCACATTTGACTCTGGTTCTCCCTCCATACCCACGAGATTTGTTTTTGAAAGTCTACGTCGCGAAATAGAAAGTCCTGTGCCCCTAGATTTAGAGGTGTGTCTCTAGTCCTTTCCTCCCTGCCAGTTTACTCGTTACTTATGTCCACCTCTTGCTCATTTCCATGTGTTGCCACCCCATAGCATCCAGACAAAGATCTATCTGCACCCATAGACTCCCCTCCTATACAATCACGCAACCTCCAATCATCCAAGGTCCCTTCATCCAGACTTGGTCGCTTATTTCATTATGGCGGTACGTCTTTCTTTACTGTCCTTTCGTGCACCTTTTGCTCACTTGTAGTCACAGGCCTTGCAGCATCACTCTCGTACGGCGCTGCTTCCGAGCTCTTACGTCGCTCTACTACATCCCATGCAAACGACACACAACCAGTCATGCTAACTGAAGCAAACATAACTCGTTTGGTATCTAAGCTCTCTCAGATGCGTGGTGCCGCACTAAAGCTCGGCCAGTTCATGAGCATCCAAGGTGCCCATTCATTGGCCATCTCTTATCATTTTGTCCACTACTAATCTTGGCGCTAGACACCCACCTCCTGCCCCCAGAAGTCGACAAAATATTCCGTCGCGTTCAAGACAGCGCTCACTATATGCCGGACTGGCAGATGCAACAAGTGATGTGCACGTCCCTAGGGGAATCATGGGCCGATAATTTTACATCGTTCGATCGTATACCGTTCGCAGCTGCAAGCATCGGCCAGGTGCACCACGCTGTCCTTGCTCAAAGTCAGAGTCCATCTAGCGACGATGGCCAACATGTCGCTGTAAAGATCCAGTTCCCGAACATTGCTAACTCAATTGCGAACGACCTTGGCTATGTTAAGATGATTCTTACCGCTGGAAGCTTGCTTCCACGGGGGTTATTCCTGGATCGTACGATTCAAGTGTGTCTTCTATATTTTCCTCATGCTTAGTGCTGAATATCTGACTTTTTATTCTCGATCTTGCTTCATTTCCTGCTCTCCGGATAATTCACTACATTCTATCTCAATACAAAGGTAATGAAAGACGAGCTTGCTGACGAATGCGACTACTCGCGGGAGGCAAGTTTCCTCGAGCGGTATAGGAGCCCAGATTGTCTTGGTGCAGATGCACGATTCAGGGTCCCGTGGGTGTGGCCAGGTAGCACAGAGCGTGTTCTTGTAATGGAGCATGTAGAAGGCGTCAGCATTGGAGATGCTATAGTCGGAGGTTTACCACAAGAAGAGCGAAACGAGGTGCGCGCTTCTCCTATCATCCACCATAGATTATGCATTTCTTGAAATTCATGGTAGATTGCATCGCGAATCATCGAGCTCTGCTTGCGGGAGCTCTTCCAGTTCAGACTCATGCAGACGGACCCTAACTTCACAAATTTCCTGTGGGACTCAAGGGCACAACAGGTGTGTCTCATGTTGACACTTCATATTTTCTACTTCTTGAGTTGCCTGGACGAACTCGCTGACTATCATGGCAGCTGTCCTTGGTCGATTTTGGCGCAACGCGCGAGTACACGAAAGAATTCATGGACAGCTGGCTGCGCCTTCTTCAAGCCGCTGCATCTGAGGACCGTATCACATGCGCAGAATGGAGTCAGAAACTTGGATATCTCACTGGAGAGGAAAATGAAGTGCTATCTCCTCATCACTGTCCCGCGCATGTATTCACAGAACACGTTCACAGGTCATGCTCAATGCGCACGTCAGCTCCATGGTCCTCCTAGCTACCCCCTTCAAACCCACGACCTCGCAGCCCTTCGCATTTGGATCTGGGACACCGTGGGCGGACATCACAGCTCAAATACGTGATTTCATACCCGTGATGCTTAAGCATAGGTTGACGCCCCCACCAAGGGAAACCTACAGTCTGAATCGGTGAGTCTTGGGATAGATTTCCCTTCGAACAAAAGCTGGGTTTTTATCTTCAATTTTTTGCGTGCTTCTTTGTGCTCTTTTTTCTCATCGTTGGTTCTGTAGGAAATTGAGTGGGGCATTCTTACTTGCTTCGAGGTTGCGTGCTGTGGTAGACACCAAGAAGCTTTGGGACCAAGTGACTGAACCGTACAAGTTTGCATGAGTCTGTGCTGTCCGATCCAGAGTACCCAATGCATAATTTATATGGAACACTTAGTGCAGCGATATGCGTCGTCTGACAAAAAGTCGCTGCAATCTTATACAATAAGGAGCCGTCCTCGCAACTTCCGGTCGTTGCACAGAGATTCTAATTACATTCATTCCAAAAGCAAGCGCTTATGTTTCGTTTGTCAACGCAAACTTCAATAAACAGAGTGTATCTCTACAGTACTAGTGACTTTCGAGGTTGTTGATTCGGAGCAGCAATGTTGAACTTCGACGATGCAGGCCCGTAAACAGTCGCGCAAAGTGCGCAACTCCCGACGATCGGCACAATTTTAACCTGCGCACGTATCGCAAAGGAATAATGCTCTGATTAAAAATGGGTTTTCTCGTCCTGGGCGACCTTCCACAAAGAAAACACTACTTCTGTAATTGCGTTGTGAAGTTGGTGGAAAACACGAGCATTGAGTTGATCATGTTCTTTCTCTACTGCTTCGTTATTACGTCATAAGTGTACTAGTTCTTCATTACATACTTCGAAAGATCGTGTTTGTGTATTAGCCTGAGGCAGTCCATAGTCTCTTAGATGCTTGCTACTTAATGGCAGGTGTGAGTGGTGCCAATAGATCGACATCAAGAGTCAACTGTTGAACGACTTAGCGAGCAACGATGGATGCGCGCTAAAACCATGAAGTTATTTGGTTAGACTCTGAATCGGAGTTGCCGCGGCCCTGTCCCCGACTTTACGTGCCCACTGCCGCTCAACTTGAACAGACCGTCATTGACTCGGAACGTTAGGCGACCAAACATGTTGACCAAGAGGCTGATTCTAAGGCTCTTGAAAAGTCTGTGCCAAGTGTTAGCAGCACTCATAACTCGATCTGCCCAAAGGTTGCGCATCCTCGTGACTTGCTTTCGACACTTTGTGGCCAAATTGAAGATTCATGGTTTCCCAAGGCACACTGGCAATAATGACTCGACGACACTTTCTCCTGCAGACTGTTGCACTGTACCGCCCAGTACTTCTGGTGTGCGATGTCCCCCCGTCAAATTACTACTACCACTTCACAACCAGCAAATAACTTCAGCTAGTGCAGCAAGCAGCACGCAAGATGTGTTGTTGTCTTCGATGCCAACAATCTCCATGCCTGTACCATGCATTCCCCAGCAATCTATTCCCCTTCAACCGGTTTTGCCTCCACAAGTTCCTAACGCCAACCCTTCCAGCGTTCCAAACACCGATATCAAGCTTGTGCCATTCGCTGCGAATGACATTTCACGATACGAGAATCGTCCTTTCGTGTACGTGAATGCAATCTATCTAAACAATGTATCAATCTTGAGGAGGCGGCCTCTAGAGACACAGCTCAAAGGTGCTATGGAATCCAAGCGCTCACGAGACGGTTCCCAAACGAGTGAGTGCACAGCCAGGGGGTGAATGCGGATAACGAACTGTTCAGATCATGTCCATGGCTGAGCGGTGATTGGGAGTTATGTGTGCACCCGGAAGGTGTACTATATTTATACAACGACCACAAGGTAAGCATTCGATCATGAAGTTTATATGCACTTTCCACGTATTCTGCAGAGAGTGTTCACAGAAGCGACCGTGGATAGCAACATGTTCGGATTTCTCGACAAATATGTGGATGCATTATATGAACTAGCACAAACACAATCAGTGAATCTCAGAGCTGATGACATTGACCTCGTCGTGCAACTAGCGCAAAATGAAGAAGATGCTCAAGTGTCTTGTTATTATTATTTCGTCGACCACACAGATCGAATACTATTTTGGCTGCACGATCGCGATCAAGCGACGGAGGACATCTTTAGTGGGATCCAAGGCGTCATCGATCCGAGCCATATTCGTGCGTTATGCGGGACTAGTGACGATGCTGCTGATATGACCTAACAACTAGGATATTCCCTGGAGTCTGAATACTGGTTTGTCATGCTCATTTTTGTACGAGTTTTTGACTACTTCCTGCGAGATCTATTTTGATGCTCATGTGATTTCAGAATCTATGACTGTATGACATGGAACGAGCAGGACGCATTGCGAATCTTACCCGAAGCACCGCATGGATAGAGAGAAGATCATCAAGGAACTGAGGGGGCTTGTCATGCATGCAAGTGCAGGTACTTATCGCCTGGAATCAATTGTCTGATTCTGTTTGAATGCGCGATTCAGAGATCATCACTTCGGATATGTCCTCGTCGCCTTTTGATGGAGATGAACTCTCCAGAATCTTGGAGTTGATAAACCATCTTAAAGGTGTGGCCGCCCCCTTCGAACGGGTTTCATCTGTAACAGTCTGAAGTGCTATCATATATCTCCAGAGAATGCTCTAGACGATGACGATGACCCACATTCCACTTGTATTATTGGTAAGTAAACCTATATTCACAGAACAGTCTAAGACTCACCATTTCGTCAACAGCGAGATTCATGCACTACTTCTGTATATTCTTCATTCGATATCTTAGCGTGTGGCTAATTCATGCTGAAGATAGAGCCAAGTTCTTTAACTTCTGCGGTCTACCCTGCGCTCGTCTTGAAGCTGATAAATCGGTGTACAAGGACGATGAAAACCCTCATCCACTGACCAGTAGTGCTTCTTTCGCTCTCGACGTCATGCTTTTTTGGGCACCACAATCACACTTGGAAGAACTTCGAAAAGTGTGGGTAGATGAATGCATCAATACGCCGCGGTGGAAAGACTTCAACAAAAACCTCATGACAGAATGGACTGGGATCACAATCTATGTACGTATTATGATGTCAGCGTCCTCCTTCGTAACCCCATTGTTTCCAGTCCACTGTCATGTTAGCAGTAGACGTAAGTTTTCTTGCAGTGCCGAATGTGAATATTGGCCAGTCGCAGTCGATCGGGATTATCGTCACCTATCTCTCCATCATCTTCATCACTGGCTCCTTGATTCTCTCAGTCCTGCTGGTGCGACAGAACCAAAGATATGGTTTTGAGTCAGCGGACAAAGCAGCAAGTTCTGGTCCTAGTGTCTACCTCCTCCATCCTAACTAATTCCGTCAGACAGAATTTCTGTCTCATATGACGGGGACATTTTTCGGAGTGAGAGCCCTTGCCACGGTTCACAGTCTTCCCTACGCAATGCTTATGTGGGGGTAGGTGGATTACTACACCATCACCGGGCTAATGGTCACCTTTATTCTCAATTAGGATGATATACTTCGCAATCGCCATTCTGTACAATGTGTTTAAGTCTACGACAAAGGCCATGCTGGCATCAGTTGTCGGTGGATGCGTGGTCGTCGCCATGTTCATATTTTGGTTCATCTGGGCAGCAAGGGAGTTCCGTCTTTTCGAGCCACTGGCAAAGATTTTCCCCTCGAGAAATACTCGACCTTAGCACATACCTCAGGATTTGTATATATGGAATGACAATTACTTTATCGTCAACTGAGTTTGTGGCGTTGAATGCCTGAATCAGTTGCTAAGCCGCCTGTTACATTCCGAGGGAATATAAACCACTGGCATAGGATTTCGTACGTTTTAATGGAGACCAGCGCTGATATAGATCGGCGGCTGTGTCACACCGTTACAATGCGTGTACAGTCATTTGCATTTGCCTCGCTTGGCGCTCGAATCTGATACTAGTATCTCACTTTTTTTGCTCTACCATGTGGCCATACTACATAAAGGAAAACCTGGAACAAAGGTAAATACGTCCAATCAGACTCGCCAAGGTCCTGGCATGTCACTGCCACCTGATGATGGGGGTCGGATATATCACGAAGGAGTCGACGACGGTCGACTGTTGCGGCACAAATATACAGGCACGGAATGTGGCAGAGCAGGTGGAGTACAAAGCCGCACTGGTTCCCAATGACTAAAATTACACAAGACTCCTACTAGGTCATCGTGGTATTGACTAGTATTGGCACTATCGACTTTGTGGAAGATGCGAGAGATATAGAGAATACGGAATATGAATGCATGAATGTTTGCATGCCAGTACCGTCCTGGAACATATGACACGGCCGGTATTTCACGAGAGCTGTACATTGTTGGCAAAGCGAGCGTACGTAAGAGATGCTCCTCCTCGTGACGGGCCAAGGCTTGGTTAAGGAATAGAACCTTGTGTGAGAACGAAAGATTAATCGATCAACACATGTACAGAGGACGACCTGAAAGGTACATACGCGAATAATTTTACTCCCATGAAGCAGCCGACGGACTATACCTTTGCAACTCTCACTGATACTCTGGAGTCACATCCTGTCATTCCAAACACCATGAGCCAAGAGCACCGTGGACCACATCCAGGTCTACGGCGATTTATGATGTCGTATGCCCCCGACTGGTGAACTTCTTGACCACTGAGCTTTGAGCTTGAACTCATGTAGCATCTTTTCCCGAAGGATCATATCTGGTACGCTTTGGTGAGGATTTGGAGCCACTGTGAAGGTTGCAGGCATGGAAGCACCCAGAGCTAAAGACTGCATTAACTTGCAGGGCAATCTCCTGGGTCATCGACAACCACATCCGAGTCTCTGGGTTTAAGAGGCACTTCTCGTTATCTGATGTCTCGTAAGTGTCAATGCTTCCATTCAGGTTCACATGTTCACTTGAGACCTTGCTAGATTACGATATCCGTGGGTATTATTCATCAACTGGGTTCCCTACTTACAACGCTCACTTCATACCCACCAGCTTTGCTATCAATGAACGCGTCGGGGTAAGCCACAGCCAACATGGACAAAGTCTTTTCATTAACAACATGTCAGACAACAGCTCTTGGCTTCATCTCTTATGGCGTCCCATTCGTGGTTCAGTGCCTCGTCAATTTTTTGACAGTCCAGTCATGGTGGGATTTCCACCACAGCACTCTGGGATGTATGTACCTAAATCTAGTAGCTACATCTTATCATTAATCATGACGATACAGTGACCCTCTCTCTGTCGATGACAAGGATCATTACACAATTTGTCAAAGTCACGGTTGGACGACCTCGGCCAGGTAAGCTTGCAGTTTCACGCACATAGATCTACCTGGCGTGTCTTACGATATTCACAGATTTAATTTCGCGCTGTCAGCCTGTGACGGGCTCTGCAGACCCTCTTTGGGGCCTATCTACCGTAGATATATGCACGCAGACGGTATCGAGGATACTCGAAGATGGATGGAGAAGTTTCCCCAGCGGTCATTCCAGCAGTATGATTAATGTCGTCTCTCCTTGTTACACATCTGATATGTCTATATGTAGTGTCCTTTGCAGGCCTCGGATTCCTCGCCTTGTACTTGGTCGGCAAACTGCATCTATTTGACACCCGGGGATATGTCGTGAGTTCCCATTGCCCTGTGGATAATGCAGCACGTGTTTTACCACCCATGATTCAGTTTAAAGCGTGGATATCTATCACTCCCCTTGCTGGTGCATTGTTCGTGGCAGTTTCGCGCACTATGGACTATCGTCGTACGATCCTTGTTTCTTTGATGAAATCATGTTGGATTACTCACTTTGCCATTCAGACCACTGGCAGGACGTTGTGACTGGATCTTCTCTTGGATTTCTCATTGCATATTTTTCGTACAGGCAGTATTACCCTCATCCAGCATCAGCAGATGCACATCTACCATACACTACCCGGTTCGAAGATACCAAGAGTGTTGAATTGGATGGAATCAATGGAGCTGCGGAACCGCTGCTAAACAGCTATGACGAAGATGACGAAGTGGTCAGCACGAGACGTAATCCGAGGACTGGGATTCGACGATAAGCTTCGTTACAGAATATTTTTTTTCTTGTACGTAATTTTGCGCACCAGGCATCCTGGGCCACATTTACTGTTTCGAAATATTAGCACCTTACAATTATTGGTGAATTATAGCCAGGTCAGAGTGTGTAACTACAGCGGACAAAGCTCCTGGCATTAGCATGCATCTACGTATCTTCAGACTTCAGGTAATTAGTTATCGCTTCGATTTCCTTCGAACGACCCCCATAGTCCATAGTCCATACTATTGCAATAAGGGCACTGAGTGGAGGCTTGCTACACGGTTCACTGCCCCTTGGTCCGTTGAACATGGATGGAATCATCCACCGCCGGCCTAGCAGCCTCGTGTCTCTTTCGACTCTTCGGGCCAGATCCTCCAGCCTGCGGCATTGCACCGTCAGTTGCCGGTACCATGGAGTGCTTTCCCCCTTCCTTGGAACGGCTAGAACCATGAGCAGGGTGCGCTTCACCAGGCTTCGAGCGAGCACTGTAAGATCGCTTCTTCCCTCCTCGATTCTTACTCCTAGAAGGAGTAGCACGTTGCGTTTGCGTTCCAGAAGCACCGTGCGCTTCTGCTTGAGTACGCGCCTCTTCCGTTGCCCACCACTTCATGAAGTCTGCCTCTAGTTGAATGGCTCGCTCCTCTTCTTGAATCTCGACAAGCGATCGCTTGTCCTTGGATGCAGGCATGTCCTGCAGAAGCTGTAATTGTTGTATCTCAGCAAATGAAAGTAAGGATGGTTCTGTAACGCTTGATTGCACTACTGGCTGAACAGGTGGAAGGGTCCATGCGGCACCCGTATTCCTGGTATATATGAATCAGAAAGACGTGGCCAAGGGGAACAGCAGGCACGTACGAAACACGTCGGGGACCTGGTGAACTGGATGTCGAAGGGACCTGTCGAACGGGCGAAAAGACAGGGCCGAGTGAAGATGCATTCGGCTGAGGCTTTGAAGATGAAGGTACGGCTTGAGGAACCGGCCGCTGAGGTGTTCTCGCATGCGTTAGCTTCGCGGCGGCGGATGATTCGGGGAGCGAAGACTTCCCCAAGTCAAGATCAGACGGCGTTCGACGCGGTGGCGGTGTCAGTGACGCATCGGGCTTCAGCGACGAGCTCACGGTCCTACGCTTTGGCGTAGCTGCCTGTCTCAAAGACTCCTGACTAGGTTTGGCCATAGCACCGTGTGTTGCTCTGTTTGGAATACCGGATATCTTGGTGTTCTCAGCCTCTGCCATAATGGCCTTGAGATCGGTCCTTCATAGTGGTATCAGCACAATGTATAGTAAGAATAGAAGTAAAAGCTCCACACACCTGGGAGTGGAGATGGACCGTTTCCATACCGGTACCGATCCAGACAGTTCAGCAACCACAGGTACCTGATGATTAGGAGTATCCGACGAAGGTATTTCGTCCATCACGAACAGCTCGTCTCCTGACGGCCCAGTATCAGTAGCCTTGGGCGAATCTGCTGCCGGATGCACAGACAGACTTGAAATTGGGCGAGTCTTCATTGGGCTGGCAGTCAATGACTTCGGAGAATCCCTGTGAACCTGTGGCCTGTCTATAGGTTCAAACACGACTGGAATATCCTGTTGAGCAAGCCATTCGGCGTGCTTCCTCAGCGCTTCGTTCGCCAGCAGGTTAGAACGAGAGACCGGGGACTTTGTCATCTGTGCACTGCGGATGTACTTAGAAAGTTGCCGCACGATGGAAGTGTCAAGGTCCTCGAACATGCGACCCTCTAGCATCATCTCCAGATTTGCAGTGATGTAACTTTGCAAACGTTCAACGAGATGGGTCGCGTTGATGTGCGTTGCATCAGCGAGCAAATAGCACGCATTATAAACATCGAGATACTTCAAAATGACTTGTGAACATAGAAGCATCAGGCGATCGAGTAGAAGTTCGTTCTGGTTGAAGTTGCATTATGAACCATGTGCCTAACGATAGTGCACGTGGACTTACCGCTGCGGAAAGAACAGAGAACATGAAGGATAGCACGTCATCTACCCCTTGCACAAAGTCTTCGATGCAGTAAGATGACCAAAACGATGAAAATAAGACACGAAAACACACCAAGAGTTTCAAACAAGTTCTCGTCTCCATAACACATCCATCGAACGACATATTGCATGACCTGCCACTCCAAGTGCTTGAGATCAATGTCGATGATACCCGATTTATCACGACGCTTAGATGTCCACACATTATTTTCAAAGAAGCTGGCGAAGAATTGACAGCGGGCTTGTAGCACCACTGAATGACTCCAAACGATGACCTGGTCAGCGAGGTGGAGCGCGACATCGGGCGCAAGGGAGTCTTCTATTGTATTATTCCGTAAATGACCGGTTAACTGGGTTTTCTGGTAGAGCAGGTGGAAGTCTTCTGCCTGTGAAGGAGTGGGGACTCGCTTCCCTGGCGATTGAAGTGCTTTCAAAAGAAGCTGAAGATTAAATATGCGTGCAAGTGATTGAAGTTCCGCCTTGATTGCTACAGGTTTCACAGCAAATGTTTGAAATTGGGACATAAAGGGGGTTCCGATGCGTAAATCCCAGATGGCGAGGAGCTGGTCCGAGTAGAAGTATCGAAGGAGAATAAGGACTGTGAACGGATGACATCCAATGATTTGAATGTGGATCCTGTCTCCTGGGACGAGACTGACCTCAATCCCTGAAGATTTATCATTTAATGGTTGTCCGGTATGCAAAATGTTGCCCAACACTGGACATCTCACAGCGAGAATGAGTCGGTGAGCCGGAAGGTGCAGTGGACCAGGAGTGACAACAACCACGTCGGCATTATAGGGTAAGACGATATCTGGCGCGTTCTTGCGTTGGTCTAGAACCTGGAGTAACTTCGATAGATCTCCGATATCGTCCAGGATCAACGCGTCCTCGCCATCTTCATCAGCATCCAAGAGAGGTGTCGCCATGTTCAGTGTGGCAGACAGCGCCTCCGCACGTGATGACGGACCTAGGTATGGTTGGATCTTAGTAATATCACATGAAAATGAATGTGCAGTGATGTGGATGGGCAGTGGTTTAAAATCGACGCGCAGAGCCCCAAACGCCCCTGTGCTGTTTGCACAGACAGCAACAGCACGCTGTATATATGGTATGCGCTGGAATTTGAATGCTTTGGCACCGGAACCCTGACCTCCCTTGGTGCTCCGCAAGCGGACGTAAACATGTCCAGACTGAGTGCAGACTATGACAGTTCCATCGGCCCCAATATCAACGTCCTACAAGACGTCAGACGGGATGGTGTTTGAATTTGAACCCACCCACCTGCACAGCACTGAACTGACGTCTCAGGGCCCATATGCGTTGAGGCTTGAAAGCAAGGGAACTCTTTGCGGAATCGCCTTCTCCAATAGGTTGTGAAGTAAACGTGAATACTTCCCCATTCGATGAGAGGGCGGCGATGGTGTCATCACAGCTCCTGAGCTTTATGATGGTCTGACCCTTGATTGCTTGCGGGGGCCGGTAAACAGAGATCTCTGAAGGGAATCTCTGAGTGGGGAAACTAGGTATCGAAAGTCAGAAAGAAAGTGAACCGAGCTCAGGAAAAGTCCGACCTAATCTTGGAAATCCCTCCAGACCAAGCACACAAGACTTCGCCCGTGAGAAGTAGACATGCCATGAGGGTTTCCTGAATCCGGAGTCACTCTTATTGTAGAACTACATAAAAATTCCAACGGACCGTCATCACTATTGCGCGAACAGGCTTCACTATACTGGAGACTTTACGGGGGAGCACTTGGACGGGCACTAGCGCCTTGTCGTACCCTAAGAATTTCAACATGAGCATGTATTAACAACTCAGGAGAAATAACCAACCAAGTTGCCCGCCGTTCGTGCCCCACGTCCATACTTCCGTATCTGTCCAGCAACCAGAAGCGGTTTTGCACGCTGCAACACCTTTGACAAACTCTCTCCTCAGCGAGCCGACTTTTCGTGGCGTAGCCTGGATATGCTCATCTTGTTTAGCCGAGGATGAGACCTCAATGACGTATCCAAGCTGATGGAAGCGATTGAGTCCCCATGTGAGAACTTCTCCAGTTGAAGTGAGCGCGAGGGTGTGGTCTTGGCCAAGCGCAATGGACTCAATGGTGTGTTTGATATCGGGAAGGGGCATGAGGGCATACTGTGTATGTTGACTTGGACCCAAACTGCAAAAAAATTAGCAATGCAACGTACGATCGAGTACATATCTGCGCCTACCGTCCTCCACCGCCAAAGCCGCAGACACGGATGTTATCCCGAGGCTCGGAGGTGAGTACAACTACGGAATGGTGAGCTCGGCACATATATACCCCGAACAAAACGCGCCTGTATGAAGCTTGGACATTGATACTTGCTGGACGTGAATTGGGGCGAAGCGGTCGTCGAGGGACCTGTTGTGCTGATGTGCTACATCGTCCTTACGGGGAATGACGACCTCATCCGGATATGCCCTATCATTTCCATCGCCCAGCCCCAATGCTGCGTTTCTGATGTCAAAACTCTCTTAAGACGTGATAACTCAATTCCATCAGCACGTCGACCTACCTGTTCGTACCCCAGGTAAACAGTTCGGCAAGAGTCTCTTCGTCCTCGGTAGGCTTTGCAGATCTCACAGTTGAGTTGTAGAGGTCATGTGCAGTATAGCCTTCTAAGTCCTTGATGGAGGTATCGATATCCAGGCGCTTCAAAAGAAGGATCCTTGAACTCAGTAAGACAAGACTGCACCGGCCACACATGCGAAAATAGAGACGTACGCAGCAGAGACGTTTCCCGCATATAGCGCCCTATGTAAGGGCGTCCAATGACTCTCCTTGTCCAGTATGTTCACGTTGATAGCTGGGTGGGCGAGGAGCATGCGGACGTATTCCAAGCTTGAAGCCTCAGTGGAGCTGCATGCCAGGTGCAGGACTGACCTGCCAAGGGTATCGAGAGCATTTATTTCGAGGGCCATTCCTCCGTTCTGTACCCCCGCGCGCTTCCATGATTTTCCGCTGCTGCTGCTGACAGATGTGGAAGGTTGTCCAGGACCGCCATTGAGCAGGCGGTGAAAGGATTGCTGCTTGCGTAGTGCAAAGTAGACATGGAGCAAGGTCATGCGCTAGGTTTATCAGACTGAGCGATCGCTGGGGGTGATAAAATCACTCCTCCTCGAGATCGTCTCGGCTGTGTTGTATGTCGGTGCCGATGATAAGGCGGCACAGACGGTGTCTCTGAATAAATAGTTGGCTGTTTCAATGTCGGATATCTGTATTTTAGAGGCTGGTCCTGTTGCAGATGAAGAATAAGTTATAGCCGCTGCGGGAGAGAGAAGTATTAGTACGAGACTGATAGCGACTTGTGGTAGAGAATATCTAAGCTGACTCGGATACTATAGATATTGTGTAGTCACTGACTCCCGCCGGTTATACAAATTCGGATACTCGGTGAGTGGGAGAGACCGAGTGAGAATATGCACATGATGTATATAAGTAGATCACTACGGGCGGGCCGACGCGCGGATCATCAAACCTCGCTCTGTGCCGGGCCACCAACGTTCCAAATTACATGTTGAAACTCGTCCAACGTGGGCGCGGTAGCGCCGTGCTAGTTATAAGGAAAAATTTGGCGAAGGGCACGTTGTTTAAACTGCAACGAATGTTTGCTCTAATTCTTCCAGACTGTTCCGACTGCCAAATGACAGAAATTGGACAGATATGATGACAGAATGTACCTGAAATATGCTCAGTCAGGACTATTAGTTTGGAGAAGGATAACCGATGCTGTGAACATGGTGGTAGACAGAGGCATACTAAAATATGCACTCGGGTATGTCCTCTTCCCTAGTACCAGTGTTCTTATCCAGCTAATGGATACAGATATCGGTAAACCAGTCACATCTATCATACTCAGAAGCCTCGCAACAAAAGGCTTCGGTAACTCCAGAACCTGTTTGGGTGTCAGGTTGGCAGAGAAGACCACAATACTGTGTCTGTTCAATATATATCGACCCAGCGGCCGTCCCGCATGTGGCACCAGAAATTCCCAAAATCGCAAACACGGCATTTATGATAAGTACTACCAGCACCTTCTCTCCTGTAATTGAACCCGCCGCAACAGGATAGGAATATGCCTGGTAGCTGTCAAAGTACCTGCGTGAGGCATCAGATAAAAACATCTCATGGAACACACGCTTCTCCAAAAGAATGCCAGAGTGGTGAAAACACCGTCAGAGGATATGAGCCCACATCCAAATAAGAAGATCATTGAATGTACTTGTCAGATGTAGTCAGTAACATGACTACGACCACTTACGGTACAAAGATGTGGTATCTTGGAGGAACCACTGATACCTTGAAACGACGGACATGATGGCTGTCATTCTAAGCGCAATGGTCGTATACCCAGAAGACAGTGGACAACGTGGTTGAAGACATGGCGATAGCCACTGCACGCCATGCTTGCACCTCAGGCCTCAGGTGTGGAGAATGCCCACGTCGCCCGAGTCAAGTCGTTGATTCGGAGGTAAGCGGTCGAAAACACAACGTAGAGAGCGACTGATATGACAATCGATACATCGGTTCCGAAGAGCTGAGCGAACGCGATGAATATAGCCTTGGGAGACGATTAAAGAATGTTTGGCGTCAACATTCCAGTAAGCAAATTTAGAAGCTGACCTCATTTGACGGCGTAGTTCTGGCCCGAGGCTAAACCTGACAAATATCGATATTGTTTTCTGGGGCCCAAAATAGTCGCCCGCCGAGAAAAGTGGGTGCGCTTTAAGAGTGGTTAAAATATTGCGAAGCCTAGTAAAATTGAGCCGAAGAACGACAAGCCAGACGTCCAACCTGTGCGTGAAAGGGTAAATTCGGACCATAAGCCGGATTTGCAACCGTGTCGTTGTACAGAGAGGTGCAAGATGTATCCATAGTCAATACGCCATTCCTAGTGGTCATGAGCTGTCACCCATGCTAACCGCAAAAGACAACTCGATGGTGGAGCTTCGATCCGAGAAGACTGATTTGTAGTGTTCTACGACCGGCGTGGCATGATAACTTGAAATGAGTCGAAATGTTGTGCCAAGGGATCCGGATCTCCCAGGATGTGGGACTGCAACTTGGAGATAACGAAGAAATTCCGAGAAGTTAGAAGCACCGCAATCTCTCAATAGGAGATGCACGCAAGGGAAAAATATTCGCACCATTTGTCATAAGCCTACTCGTAATCTGTCGGACGCAATGTTCAGTGCGGACAAATATCAGAGACCGCGGTATCAGCGCTCATCAATGTTGAACGTGGAAGCTGATGCCAAGAGCTTGAAGCCAAATGTCAAGACCCAAAATCGGTAAATTTCAAAGGATCGCAGTAAGACCATCGAATCAGGATGATGATAGGCTATGATAGGTGACGACCAATATTTATTGGTGCTACTTGATTCGCTTGTGAAGAATCAGTGTTGCTAAGTAGGGCCTAGCTACCGAAAGCAAGCTTCACTGTTGGAATTGAGTCAGCACTAATATCAGGAACCATTGGCAAAGTTCAGCTTATTAACGACTCACCTAAGGTTAGAGCTTGAGCTCTTTATTAAAATCGATGATTATCCTCCGCATATGCAAGCCCGGCTACTGAGTACTGAGGGAAGACGTTTTGGCTCGACCGAGTCACCAGTGGCCCGGGTATGGCATTGGCAGTTGATGAAAAGCAACTCGTTACATAAGCTTACAGTTTCATGAACTCCAACTTCGACTGTTGCCCTAAGGGCGAATGACGATGGCGAAGGCGTCGTGAAGGTTGGGCTGTGCCTGAGCGTTAGCTCGGGCTGGACGCTGAATGAGTGAGCCGCTGGGTGGGCGGGCACAAAACGAACAGCGATTTTGATCGACGCCGTGTAGCCAAAGGAAAGATTATCAATAGATGTGTGTAATTTAACTGTTACGAGAAAGCGGTTGGGCGGGGGGGACAAAGAACGAGTGTGATAGTAATGTGCTAAAGGGAGAATAAAAACAAACGAAGGTAGTAGTCCGGTTCGAGATCTAACTAATGAATTCGAGTGCTAGCGCTACTTAGTGGTAAGGCGAAGTCAAGGCGTTTCGCTCAGTTGGACGCACGGTGCTGACTCTCCGTGTCGGAAAAAGTTATTTTTGCTTGGCATGCCTGATAAGGCATTGCAAGCCCTCAATTGACCGAGCCCATTTGAAGCGCCTTGGAAGCGGACCCGAAAATCTTGCAAGCGGGGCTCAATTGACACTTGCAAGCTGATTGCAACCTCATTTAGGGACAGATTAGGACAGATTTTTGCAAAAGTTTCGTTTACGGTCCCTTGTAAGCCGCTTGCGACGCAATTGCAAGTCCTTTCCAATAAATTTCGGGTGTTCTTACATTGATCTTGCAACCCCTCAATTAGCCTCAAGAGGGGTCCCTTGCAAGGCACCTTTAGAAATTTCCGACACGGCAGGCTCCGAATCGGCACCTTACTCATTTGAATGCGGCATCAATCCATGCCTCGATGCATCATGCATGCATGATCAGTACAAGCCGACTAGTGTCCTGGCTCAGTATTCAGTACTCAGTGCTCAGACCCGTAGCCACTGATCAGGCTTTGACAGAAGTGATATTCAGTCATCACTGACCAGAACTAGTACTGGGGATCATCGATCAACACTTGTAAGCATACGGGGGGCACTCCCGGAGGTCCGAGTCATCACCACCACGCTCATGGGAGCCGAAAGGGAATCAATAACTGCGGTATGTAGTATGTACAAGGATAAGGATAAGTTCCTGATATTGGCTGGCCCAGGCCCCATAATATCATGTTCTCACTGGTCGGGAACGCAATGTTCATGTCTTCGGCGCCCGTGATTTATGCATTTTCAAGCATTTAATCGCTTTCGCACAATTTTGCACTCTTTCTTCTGCTTCAGTGCGCGAACCATTAACATCAGCTCATGGTTCTTCCCTGCCTCATATGGATCTTGACCCGGCTCTATTTTATCCACCGCACAAATTGACGATCCCGTAGTCTCGGGGATGTCTATCAAACACGTTTCTACATTTGTCTGTGGTTCAAACACTCGGGCATTGACAGACAAGTAGTTGGAGTGGCGGTTTTGGTGAGTGATAGATTTTGTGCAACAAATTAACTGTTTGCTAGCGGTTGGCTCGTGAGCAGCCTGCCTTGTTCAGCCACAGCATGCTGACCATCACATTCTAGGAGTTGACATTAAGTGAACTACTTAATTATTTCTCGTAGCTGACCTTGTCCTACTATGACAAAACGCTGGTTTCACCCTCAATAGTACTAATACAAAGAAACGACTATCTTCTTTCGACAGGTCTGGCTAGGGAGACTATATTTTTCCAGGTTCTCCCCGGCGCTGGCAAATTAGCTGCTGGCAGTTATGCCCAAAGTACCATTAAGGTTTGGCTATATTACTTCCAAGTCGAATGGAGCAACTTTATTTCTTATCGACGTGGCAGTCCTGGAGGGCCAGTCTCAAAATTTGCACGATAGGTGTCAGCACATCCTTATAAGACATTCTTTCGACTGATAAAATTTCATACACCACACCAAAGACGATCAATGTGTCAGATGGTTCATGGAGAACAGTGATCATGCTCAGCCACTCGGACTCAGATCAGTGAGATTTGAGGAATTGCTGCCATCCTAAAACATGGGTGTCGCCTACCGGAATGAATCTTTCCCCATATTCTTCTACTAAGGCATGTGTCACTAACATTTTGATTCCATGGTCGCTAGTGCAGGGCCTGTGGGCCGCGCTCCATCGCCAAGAGCGAAGCTGGATAGTCTCGAATTATTGGTGCTCCGAGAGCAGGGTCATAGACAAGGTGTTCTTCCGGCAGAGTGAGATTATAAACTGCTTCACCTTTCTTCCGGAGCGCGACTAAAACGGACCCTTCAAGACAGAGCAAGATAGTCTGCGCAACTTTCCGGGAAGTTCTGACGCTTTTCTTCTTCCCATCGTCCTTACCCTCTGTAAATGGTCGAAATTTTGGGCGTTATAGGCTGTCAGGTCAACCTCGTACTTTATCTTCGCCTGTTATAAGATCGGCAAGTAGTATATGTAGGAATTCATCTCTCTTCTGCACCCTTGAATCGGGTGCCTGAATTCTGGCTAATATGTAATTGAGCTGGTATTGACCAATCGCAAGTGCTGTTACAACGTCACTAAACTACAATAGTTCGTGAAGATTGCAACTCGTGCTCATCTCCTTATTGATGATTAGAAGGCACTCTGTCAATGATGTGCATCATCTTCCCGTTGGACCGTGCGGGGAGTGCCGAGTTGCTGAATCAGATGTTGATTTGTGTTTACTGTTTCCTGGTGAGTGCAATCGAGTAGAATTGAGAAAGAGTCGGACAAGAACTTGGTCGGCGGCAAATTGGCAGGAGACCAAAAACATTGGGAACGTCGATGAACAGCGATGCAACGGAGGCTGCACTCGGTCTCCTCAGCCTCTCTCCTCTGAACAACAACACAATCCCTCAAATCAGAAAACCAGTACAAATACCGACACCAAGACCACCGCCAACGACAACACCAACACAACCAGCGCTATCAGCTAGCCCTCCTCTTCCAGACGCAGATGCTATCAGCTGCATATGTGGTTTTCTCTTTGACGATGGTTTCAGCATTGCCTGCGACGTCTGCTCTCGTTGGTGCCATGCAGCATGCTTCGATATTGTCGAGGGAGAGGTACCAGAAGAGTGGCGTTGTTGGGACTGCGATCCCCGTCCTGTTAACCGTGACCGTGCAGTTCGCCTCCAGAGGCAACGTATTACAGAGATGCACGTCAGGGAGAGGGAGAGAGACAAGGAAAAAGATAGAGACAAGGGCAAAAAACGAGATAGAGCAGGGTCGCCCGTACAACGGCGACGAGCCAGCGCTGCTGCCATCGAGGGCTCTGGAAATACAAAGAAGAAACGTAGAGCATCTATCATATCCCCGTCGACGCCGCACCCACCGCCGACGCCAATACTGCAGGGGGAAGATGAGCCGGTCGACATCGACGAACCGTGGTCTCTATCCTACGTCCCTATCACTAAAGACATCGTTACGACAGAAGCCCATGCCAGACTCCGCAGACAAGCCCAGGCATGGCGGGGCATCACCGCCCTCTCACCACCCATACATCCCAACCGCACACAAATCCACTCAGTCCCACCTACACCATCTCCAAGTCAGCTGCATACCAACCCCCTCGTTCGCCCGCCCACCTACAGTCTCCACACAACTACGCCGGTCCCTTCGTCGAGCTACATTGCCCCGTTTACCTGCGCTATCACCCCGAGCGCCTCTTACCTCGCCGACCCGCTCAATGCGTACGCCCACCTTGGCATGCCGAAGCCATTCGTGCACCTTATGGGTCCACCGCTGGACGTCGCCCTCGATGCGAGAGTTGTTGGTGACGAGGGACGCTTTGCCCGGAGTGGGTGTCGTCCAAATGCAGTGTTGAGGCCCTTACTGTGCCGTAAGGCAAAGGATGAGTCCAAGGCAAAGGAATCATCCGAGAAAGAGAGGACAGAAAGCGTGAAGAAGGAGAGGAGGGAAAGCGGGAAGAAGAAGAAGAGTGACAAGACAGACTCAGATGAAGAAACCCTAACATTTGGCGTATTCGCACTGCGCGACCTCAAAGCCAACGAAGAAGTCGTTCTCGGTTGGGAATGGGACGACGGAAACGCAGTGCACAGTCTTCCAGCGCTCATCGAGAGCCCACATTTGTTCTCGTGCGTCTTTCTCTTATCCTCTTCTTTCTTTTTAACCTTCAATCTTTTGTTTCTTTGTAATTGATCCCGGACCATTTACCGTTCCGTACGTTAACCCCTCACCCTCTTACCTCCCACTCCCACTCCACTCCCCATTCTCTTTCCTCGTCCGACATCCCTTACTGACTCACTCGCACGAACAGGACATACCACCTAACTCACCTCCGTGCACAAATGACCTCAATTCTCCATGCGCTCAGTTCCACATTCACAACGTGTGCATGCGGTGCCCGCGCAAGGGACTGCGTTTTGAATGTCATGGCGCAGTATGTTGACAGCGAGCTTGATGCATCTAGTGTCACGTGTGCGGCAGGGCAGCCTATGAATGGTACGGGCGGGATTATGAATGGGAATGGGGCGAGGCAGGCAGGAGAGGCGGATGCTGGGGATGGGTCGAGCTCAGACAAGGAGAATTGGGGACATGATTCTGAGCGAACTGTGGTGGGTCTTGGAATCCAGATGAACGCGAACTCGACTAGTACCAACGGGAACGGTGCCAATATCAACACAAACGGTTTGAATGGAAACACACCGTCATCATCGGCATTCACCCGGAAAATTGACCTCGGTCCGCTGATTGGCGCGAAACGCGGCTTTAGGACACGGGAGAAGGTGCCACTTGGCGGGGGCGTTGGTGGTGTGGAGATGGTTCCGTCGGGATCGGGGGTCAGTTTTGGCGCTGGGTCGACTGAGAGGTTTGGTGCTGAGTTGAGTGGGGACTTTGATGCTGGGTCGAGTGGTAGGTTATCGAGCGCAGGACCCGACGCATGGCCTTCAAGTTTCAATACTCCCGCCGAGTCTTCGGGCTTGGGACCCAATGGAGGACCATCGAATTGGCGCCCTACGATTTCTACCTCGAGTCAGTCACGAACTTCGAATTGCACGAGGACAAGCGATAGGAAGGGCAAGCGGCGTGCTCCAGAGGAGACAGACATGGATGCAGATGTGGACGTGGAAGGCGACGGTGAGTGCGTTCTGCTGTATTTTAGCTTTTAGTGTTTCCTCTCTGCAGCGCGTAATTTTCTTTTCTCAGCGTGTGCCCATCCACTATACCCCCCTTCTTTACTCCTTAACCCAGACTTGCTCACTCTCAGTATTTCATTTATCCGTGCAGGCCCTACTCCCGACTCGATGGACGTCAACGAGGAGAATATTCCACCAAGGATGCGTAAGAGGTGGATGCATACTGTGTCTGTGTCCGCGTCGCATGATCGTGATGAGCGTGCCTCTTCGCGGAATAAGAGAAATTTTGTTTCTATCAACGCACAGAGTCCATCTGGTCCGCATGGACAACATGGTCAAAGCCTATTGGGAGTGCATGTACATAGTTCACCAGTATTGAGTGGACATAGTCCACCTGCTCCGGTGTCTACGACAGACTGGAGAAGCCCGACATTACTCTCAGCGGACAGTCCAGCACCAACATCTGGAGACAGCCCTTCACCACCATCCCCCGAGAGCACTGTAGATGGAATGGATATCGATATGAACGATACGTTCTCTGGTAAGCTTTACTTTTGCTTTGCACAATTTTGTTGCGTATGGATTTTCACATCGCTTTTCCTGTGTGCCGCATGTTAGCTGACCCACTCTCCATAGACATTCGTCAAATGCCACCACCACCAATGCCGGCAGCTCTCGACCCCACCACCATTTCCTCCGTCGCATTCGCATCCGTCTCGCCTTCAGCAACCTTCTCAAAACTATCTCTTCTGTCACCCGTTCTGCCTGATATGCGCTCCGGGTCACCTTCCCTCTTTGGGGTGCCTCTGACAAACTCGTCTAGGCGTCCTATGCCAATGTCATCCCCTCCGCCACCCCAGTCATCCAATAGCAAGAGTCCTTCAGACCCATTGAGTGCGCAAGTCATAGTCTATCCACAACCGTCCAATCCATCGATGTCCAGCGTTTCTTCACCCCATCGTGTGCGGTTTGCATCCCCGGAGTTGTTACATGAGCAACCGTCCTTGAAGACTACTCAACATACTCCGCTTAAATCAGGGAGGGAAGCGACACCTCCTATTTATTCACATACTCCTCCACCTGTGTTGGAAGATGATAAAACAGCTGGTTCAGCAGCAGAGGCCGTACTACAGCCAGATAGGAGCCCTGTACATGACGGAACTTCTCTTGAGGTCAAAATTGTCCCACCAGATGAAGCGCCACAAACAGGCGCCTCTATGTCATCAATCATGCGCGATTCAACTACACCGGTACCGTCGATATGCGAGTCAACGCCATCCCTCCATGATTCTGATTCACCACCTCCATCATGCGAACCCGCACTACCTATACACGAATCCACGCCAGCAACACACGAACTCAGTCCACCAGCATATGAACCCACGCCACCCGCACATGAACAGTCACCACTGCCTCCTCCAAAGGTGAAGATGTCCCTAAAGGACTTTGCTCTGCGCAAGAAGAAGCAACGGGAAGAAATGGCGAAGGAGCGGGAATGTGAGTCGCCTGGTGGGTTGAGCATGGGGTTGCTAGAGGAGAGCGGGGACGAAGGGATACATGTGGATGATGATGGTGCAGATGAGCGGCTGGGGAGGGATTCTGAGGGCACAGACCATGAGCGTGATTTGGAAGTGACCATGTCAGATGTAAGAGAGGCGCAGGATGTGGAGATGGATGGTGATAATGACGTGGGGCAGGTTGTTGAGGGGGTGAAGGACGAACCTGACACTTCTTTCACCATGCAGAACGTAGTGGACTGCGTGCTGGAAGATTCACCTGCTGAGAGTCAGCGACGCTGTGAATCCGAACCACGAGGCGCTACTCCATACCCGCCGAGGTCTCCCGTCGTATCCCTGAGATCTGTTCGTAGCATGGATAATGCTCATCCCAACGGCCAACTTGCAGATCCCACGTCTCTTGTGGCCAAGGTCGAGATATCGGAGACTTCTATACCCAATGGACTTGTGGGTGCCTATGATAGGACATCACCATCTGCGCCGGACCCGCCTCCACCTCCATTGCACCAGCAGATCAAGGGTACAGAAAAACACTCGTCATCACCCAAAACTTTTTCGTCACCCCTACCCCCTTCCGCTCCGGCTTCCTATTCTCTTAGACCCTCTCACGAAGATGGAGAAATCACAAGCGTCTCTCCTCCAAAGTCGTCGCATTTCTTCCCCCGATCTTACACACCTCCAACCCAGCCCCGCTCATTTCAGACCTCACATCCCTTGTCTCCTAATTTTACCCATACCACATCCACACCCACCCCGTCAGCTTCCTGGCGCGGCCCACCTCCACCGACAAGAGCACCCTTATCTAACACTCCTTCCTCGAACGGCCCTCCGCGCCCCTTACCCAGTGGGCCACGGGCACTGAGAGTTAGTCAATCATCCCATCCACCAACATATTCTTCTCCCAGTAGCCGCGTGTACAGCGGTTCGCAATACATTCCTCGTGGACCGTCTGCTGATCGTGATCGTCATGACCGTGATCGTCTTGATTGGGAACGAGAACGCGGGTGGGCGCCACGACCGAGGGGACGTACGGGTAGCAGTGGTTGGGGTCGATAACACCAACCGTTGAATACCGAATACGGAACCTTATTCTCCCTCTGTTTTTGTAGGCCATTCTTTCCTTTCATGATATTATATTTTTCTGCTTGATCCTGATCATTATTGCTTTTTGCGGCGTGGTTTGTATCGCGCCTTCCTGTGACTTTTTATTTTTATTTCTTTGCTTCTTCATTTCCTGGTATCAACTATGAGTATAGAGTATTATATTGCGTAACGAATGTACAACGAGCCGTGTGTACCATCTCTGCAATCATACTGCATCGGACAAGCCATTCAGTACTGTTCTCACCGTGCGGACTATGGTTATCGGCTCGACTAATTGAGTGCAACTTGTCTGTGACTAACTCTCCAACCGTAACCTTGGTCAGAGATAGGATGGATACAGTAATCCCGATATGCACAAGCCAGATGGCAAAGCAAGGCGATCTGATTGCTCCATGGCAGCAACTCAGAGTACCCCAACCAAAGCCGGGATGAAGCACTGTTTAGAATCAGGGAGACAATCACAATGTCAGTCCAACTTCCATGAAACCATCAACAAGGTTGTTTGCAAGGTGCTGATGCGAGTCACGATGATTTGCCGTTGATTACTGAGCGAGTTCAATAGCTGAAGTTCTGATCGAGCGCGGAAAAGAGAGCAAAGATCCATGTCTTTCTATCGTTCAAAGCTTCTATCATCCTGTGAAAGTGGCGTTGAAGGGGAATGGACGTACACACTGCACTGATCCAGTTTATCTTCTGCGCCAGTCTGATAAAATATTATGAGCCTCAAATGTGATTGTTAGTGTCGCTGGCGTTGACAATCGGATCAAGCTTGACCATTGCCACGGCGCAAATCCTGAGATATGATATGCAGTGAACCAGGACTGATAAGACCAGATATAATCTGCGCTCAGCACCGCGTGGTTCAAATTCATCAAGAGTAGAGACGTGATGAAACCACGATTACAGAACATCGAGCTGACAGTCACAAAACCAGCTGTATGGACCCCTCGCACATACCTAGGATAAAACGCGCTACGAACAGACCAAGGCTGTGTGGCAGGTAAACACAATGTCCCAAACAAAGATATTGATGCTAGTCAATAGGCTACTAGCGATTGGATAGCTTCAAATCTGACCTGTATCTCTTGTGGCTGCTGACAGGCGGGTTATAGGTGAAGCAACTTATCGCCTGTCACGTTGAGGATAGGGACATTGAATCTTGATATGTCCCTGCAGTCTTGTTGTACAATAGATCAATGTACATTTCTTCACATCGCTTCACGGATAGGAATAACCTAGACCAGGTGACACAATATCAACGTGCTCAGGAGAGCGCCACTTGACCCATACGAACATCCTGTGATAAGCGAAGAAACAGAGATATTTTTACTTGTCGTGGTAATTCAGATATAGTACCCGTAACCTACATGGGTATTCAATGATATCCAGCTAGTTCGCTGAGCACAGCAGACTCACGTTCTAAATATTTAGAATATGGCATGTCTACTTCGTCTTCTTTGACGAGTTGGCTGCGAAACGGGGAGTTTCTGTAGCCAATTCGCTTGTCAACTGCGCAAAATCCACCTCATTCCGGCGAAAGATGTCTGCAATAATTGTGTCCACTTCCTCGGTGACAGGCATCGGAGTTCCATCTTTCGCGACAGTCTTGACCTGAATGACTTCCATCATCTGAGTAAACACATGTCGCTTGCCCATGGCAGTAAGTTTACGCTAAATTCATCATAAGCCTGTGCAACATAAGACGATACTTCACGTACTTGAAGCTTTTCCATCATACCAGCTTGGCTCAAGGGGTTACTGACTTTCCCGTGCTCAATTACGGTCCAGCCTTCCTTCATCTTCATCCATACGCTTAACTCCCATGCATCTCTAGAGATCAAACCCTTCTTCTCCGCCTCGTCTGCAACCCCCATCGCCCGGAAGTCTATGGTCCACTCATCCCAAGGCATACCCCAAGTTGGCTGGTTGAATTCCTCGGGATCGACGGCACGACGCAGAAGGTCATTCAGGTATGAATCCCTCTTTTCCAGAGATTGAGCAAGAATATTTGCAACGGTCGCTGAACTAGGTTTTCGGAAGACGATTTCAGATTTTGGGAACCCACTACGGTATCGTAGCTTTATGACGGAGATGAAGTTGTTGATCAAGGGCAGAAACACGGACAGCATAAATATGTCAAGGCACAGTTGACCTGCTAATGGCCAGTTCACCGCAGGAGGAGGGGCCTTGAATATTGGTGATATTTTCCCAAGGATAAACAGGACGCCATAGCGGTAGAGAGCGCCGTATATGCGTTTGCCAAGTAGAAAAGACCATGCAAGATTGGCACCTAGCATGAGGAGGAAGTGTTTCCTGTGATGGAAAGTTCAAGTCTTCTCGTCTTCAAGCCCCATGGTGCGACTTACTTTCGGCTTGACACCTCAGTGGTGTCAAGATGGCTAACGAATACCTCAGTGTCGGAAGCATATTCGGATAGAAATGCGGCAACTGGGCTACCCTCGGGGACTCGATGAGTAGCTGGCATCGATTAGAAAACCTCGATCTTGTGGGTGATCAACCAACCTGAGTGCGTGGGCAGTGGTTACTGGGCAGTGACTGCAGTGGGAAGTAGGAGAATTAGGTAAGCATCTGTCGCTGATTGAGTCGAGTACGATGGACTGCAGACGGGTTCACGATTCCGTTGTCGAACTCAGCTACGTAGCTTCAAGCTTCACGCGCACGCCCCATGGCACGGAATAGTACTGCGAGATATACGATGATTGTGCAAATGAAAGTTGCTGCAGGTCATTCTTCTAGTGCATGAGTCCAAAATGGAAGCGATATTCCCACGAATTATTTCCCACGCCTTCGCCTTATAACATTCGTGACGAAAACATTTTGATTTTCATCCTTCCACAATCAAAAACGCCAATGACGAGAAATGACGGTGCAGAGAGTTGAGTTGGACCCTATATAGGGATCGCAATGACATCGCCCGTTCGGCACCACTCTCCTTGTTACATTTGTAAAGGGACGGGCCTCCACAACTCTGATGGCGGCTTTTGATTGTCACTGGGTCATCCTAATAACTGGTTCACGACTTCAGTTGGTATTTACTGTACATTCATCAATTCTAATACTCAGTTACACTGTTAACAATGTCATCGATCTACCAGTGCTTCTTGTGTGTTGGGCACTGGTAACCACTCGGTTCCTTGAACAAATATAGCTGATGATACTCTTCGGCATCATACCACTGCCCAGCAGCTTTAATTTCTGTCGCAATCGTTTGGCCCTTGAAATGTTCCTCTTGTACCTTGCGCGTGACGTCCTCCGCTATCTTGCTTTGTTCAGGTGAATGTGTGAAAATTACAGAGCGATACTCTGCTCGACAATTAGCATATTGAACATGATGTCAAGGGAACAATCATACGAGTGCCCACGTCACCGCCCTGCCTATTCGGTGTGGTCGGGTCATGGGTGCGGTAGAAAAACTCTGGCGGCAGATAAGACTGATTTGATAGAACTAGAACTGCAACTCACCGACGAGCTCTCCGTACTGGATTATGGAAGGATCAAATTCAATTCTCAAGGCCTCAGCATGATCGGTTGTCCCAGTGCACACTTCTCTGTATGTCGGATTCTGAGCTTTCTCCAGCCCGCCGGTGTATCCGACACTCGTCTTGAGGATGCCCTTATTTTGCGAAGGAGGATACTCTTTCAGGAATATGTGTTCGACACCCCAAAAACACCCCGCAGCGAATGTGGCAATCTCGCTTTGAGCACCTGTATCAATCAAGATTCGTGGTTGAATCCACGCACTCAAAGGAGTACTACTTGCCTGAAGACAAAGCGGCACGATAATGAGACGTATCAACTGCGTGTGACATTGTAGGCCTGGCCAAAGAAAACAAGGCGGTACGGATGTGATTGAGACGACTAAGCATCTAACTGACCGAGACTACGAGTTGGTGGGAAGCATCAGACACCGGGATATTGGTGCCGTTCAACCTGTGCAATGATGTCATAGGGGATGTATGTACTCATCCGCGCTGACATGGCGCTGCACTCGATAGAAATTCTAGAGCAATCCGAGAGTCCGGCTCGATCGGTCAGTGCTTCAGCATACGTAAATTCGTATCAGCGCAGCGTATTATAAAGGATAAACGACGACGAATCCTAGCGCGGATGGGAAGCATGAGCAGAGACTACGAAACAGTGAAAGGTAGTATCCTCGTCATGAATCAAACGCGATCGATCAGAAACACATAACAAAGGACGAGATGGTACCAATCAACTATGGGTTAGTCAAAATTATATGCACATTCTATTCTACATATTGCAAGGACAGAACGACTTCCAATATCCTGTGACTCCCGTGTGCGCGCTCCACTTGAGCTCCACTGGCGCTCCAACATCTTGACGCTCCTTTTCCTTTGGATCTCCGCTTCCTCTTGCCTGCAGCGGGCGTTCCTCTCTCCGCGTAACGTTTTCGTAGATGAGTTCAACGAGATGATATTAGATGCATTGCCGGGAGATTAGTATGGTGAGCACGAAATGACACGCAGAACGAAGGATGATGATGACAGCGAGCGCAGAATCGTACTTCAGTTCGGACAGCCTGAAAGAAGCTGAACAGGTGCCTCCTGACGCACCTGAACAAACGCCTGACTATCTCGCAATGTTGACGCATCCCAATACTCCTCCCCATCGATTGAACCTCAAGATCGGCGCCGTATGCGCTATTCAACGGAATCTATCAGTCGAGAAAGGATTGGTAGTACGGAACGCGCGTGTCTGCATCGCCGGTCTTCGTCGCCAGTTCATAGAAGTGCAGATTCCCGAGACGGAGGAAAGACACTGTCTCCCTCGGATTTCTTTCACGTTCAATCCGCCGGGTTCGAGCTGGACGGTCAATCGAAAGCAGTTTCCATTGCGTGCGGCTTACCCTACGACGTTCAACGGAAGCCAAGGGCTAACCTCACAGAAGGCGGTTCTCGACTTGCGCACCGATTCCTTCGCACACGGATAACTGTACACTGCGCTGTCGAGAGTGCGTGGTCGCAGAGACATTCAGGCGCTGTTTCGAGAGGAGGAGGAAGAGACGACGGCCAACGTAGTATACAGACGTCTGTTATTGTGAAATAGATGGGGTTACCGTCCGAAGGGTTCGGAACTCTTGTATATAATCAAAAGTAACTCACAGCGTCTTCGACGGAGCACGCTGCGGTTCCATCAACCCCCAATCCAATGCTAACCGTCTTCTTCCTCAGCTTGAAAATATGCCCGCCCTCGATATCATCCACCGGGGCTTCACGATTCTTGTTATCCTTGACGCTTGGAACCTCATTCCGTGCAGGAGATCCCAATGCATGATTCTGAACATATTGCCAGTCCCCTGCGACGCCCATTGTTTGCCTGATATCCGCCGCTGCCTTAGCCCGCTCCGCATCAGGATCAGCGTATCCTAGCGATGCAGGCGTCGAGTAGTTGGCATATGGATTTGTTTGAGGATTCTTTTGCGCAGGTGCTGCGACAGAAGCACCACGTGAAGACGGTCCGACCCCCCAAGTCCAGCACCTACGTCTTGAGCATATGCGGCGGTCGCGGCCTGAAGGTAACTTGTTAGTGAATATATATGCAAATTGGATACAAACGCACTTTGTTGATCCTCTCCATCTCACGTGTCTCCTCGTCCCTATCCTTTACAGCTTTCTCGCCAGCCTTGTACAGCCCGCGTACAAACCGTTCGACATTGCCTTTGTGACGGACTCCGTTCTCGTGGTGCTGTCTGGATGGAACGTCGTCTGCGATATAAGTGTTACAATACTTACAGTGGTGACGTTTGCGGGACACCCAATATTCTGACATTGAGAGTAAAGGACGGCCTGCGATTTAAGGACGGTGTGATTTCGAAATTCGTACGACTAGGCCATGTACGCGCGCCTGGCACTTGCGCAACTTCCGAAGTTGAACGTTGAACGTTAACGCTCCTTTTCATTTCGATCTCCGCATTAATGTCCGTCTAGACTCTAGTCCTACATAACATCTATCCGCAATAAATCATACCAGGGCACCCGACAGATGTCCCGTATGTTGCACCAGAGACGCCCGAAATTGTGAAAACTGCATTCACGATACCACCAATACCTTCTCCTGCAATAAAACCCGCTGCCACAGCAAAACAATACATCTGGTAGTTGTTGAAGAACCTGTACGAGATGTCAGACGAAGCAATTAAAGTATCTAAAGAATTCATGAGACGCACATTCTCCTCCAGAAAAATGCAATAGTCGAGCCAGTAAACATTGCCATAGGGTACGTGCAGACGTCTGCAAAGTAAGCAAGACGGCCAATCACTGAGATACAGATCACATACTCATTATGAAGCCAATTCCAATAGCATTGAAGTTGCTTCGTTTCTATGTCAGATAAAGCAGGAACACAATGGCAAATCGCTCACGGTACGAAGTCGTGATATTTCGGAGGAACCACAGTATACTTCGCCACGACAGAGATGACGGCTACCAATCCAAGTGCGATAGCAGCATATCCAGAAGACGGTGGAATGGGCAACGTGCTCGAAGACACAGCAACGGCCACTGCACGCCATGACTGTACATCAGGCGCGGGGAAGGCGCATGTTGTGTAGCTCAAATCGTTGATGCACGGGTAAGCGGTGGAAAACACGACGTAGAGACCGGCAGCCATGAAAATTGATACTACAGCTCCACAGAGTTGAGCTACGTAAACGGCCTTTGGGGACGCGCGGAGGAGGTGTGTCGTTTTGAGATCGCCAATCATATCCCCAGCTAAATAGCACGTCGACAAAATTCCAAAGGTTTTGTTAATAAAGCTGAAATACCTTGTTCCGCGGCACCTGTTTGATTCACGATATTCTAGCACCCGTCATGCCTAACGATTGATTTGCTTACCTAGCGTCAACATTCCAGAAAGCAAGTTCAGGAGCTCGCCTCGTTGGACGCTGTAGTTCCGACCCCTTCCTAATCCTCCAAAAATGAGCTGCGAGGCATTACCTGTCAGTAATGTTAGTGTCTGTGAACGAATCGACAACTTGATAAAGTTACCGATCGATGTGACGGGATTGATATTTGTCCGGCCAGAGCTTTCACAACCAATGAAACTGAACAAAAAAGAGAACACGATCGCTGTATGATGCAAGGGAAGTATCAGCTTCTCCTCATAATCGATCTAACACGTCGATGACGCACCGAGGAGAGTAATGCCGACGTTCTGTCCGAACTGAACACCCATTACGACACATGTAACGATCGTACTGAGGACAAGCACAGAACCCCAAGCCCAGAAAGGCACGCGTTCATGCTCGGGTACAGGATCCACAATTTCGTCCACTACACCGTCTTTTGAGAATCGTTGCAGGATCATTCCGAAAGCGGAGCGGATTGCTGCATACAAAGACCTCCAATTGCATGCTACTTCTGCGAAACTTGCGCAGATAAGCATTAATGTGCCAGGCCAGAGCAGCCAGTATCTCGGAGATGGATCGTTGATCGGATCTTGAAGAGTCCTGCTAACAGTGAGATTTTTATACGGAGGAAATAACAGACGACCCACATTCCCATATAATTCATGTATCCAGGTATAGATGGGTCTGCAGGGGTCCCGAAAGCCTGTCATGGGTGGTTCAATAGTGGTCAGTATGTAACAAGATATGAAGAGTTTTGCACTGACTATTCCTCTGGCGACAATAATGGGACCCAAAACAGCCCAAGCGAGGAAACTCTGAATATGCTATCGTGTCAGCGGCGTATGCAGTCATAGTAATAACACATACTCCACCGATGAAACTATACGAGGCATTGATACCCGTGAGCATCCCTGCGCCAATGAACGCGGGGGTCCACTCCCAAATCCATCCCTTTCGGCTGATAATCAGACAAATATTCCTAATGACGGGTGACATACTCACCCAGCTCTCAGCGGCGATCACTGAACTCCACCCGATTCGATTCAGAGCGTAGAAAATGTGCCAATCCCAAAGCAATCCTGGAGCATACTCGCTGACCACCCGTAAAGAAATGGCAAAGAGGAAGGAGAAGAACAGCGCCTTGGTTTTCTTCTTTGCTGTCACTTCTGCGTTCTTGCCCGCATGCAAAGATTGAATCGTGTACGCAGCAGCCACGCCGGAAGGAAATACGAGCTTCAACTTCAAAATATAAAACTTCCTCAGCGGTTGAGTGAAGCTCAAACCAAAGAAGGCACAACAAATCGTGAAAGTGATTAGTCTGGCAAAGTCGTCTTTGGGATGAGCGCTCAGTAGCCCAAGTTGGTATGCGGCAGGAAAACCCGAGGTGAAGAGCAACCCAAGGCTTCCCGCTGACGTGGCGGCAGATTGACAAACATTGTTCTCTTTAGGCCCAAAATAGCCCCCGCCAAGAAATGTCGGTGCAGTTCTTGAGAGTGGTTTCAAGATCGCGAAGCCTATAATCGAGCCGAACAACGACGCGCCAAATGTCCACCCCGTCTGCGTGAAAGGATGAGTGCATGGGTTAATATATCAAAAGGATAACTGACTTTGAGACCCAGGTAGATGTTGCTGGCTGCGATGATGCCCCCCAAAATGCAGCCGACTAGTACAGCTCGAACGGTTAGCTGTTGTTCCTCGACAGGGGCATCCGGAAGCTCCGGAAATGGATCATCTGTGTTTAGGAATTGTACATGAGGCTCTGACCCTTCAGAGTCACCAGACACGGATTTAATTTCTGCGGTGATGGCGCTCTTCTCCTCCGAGTAAGAAGATACGGAGTGTACATAGGCTATTTGATCCTGGTCTTGAGGAGCTGCAGTCGCCATACTTGAACCACTAGGCAGACTGGGACTTGAGGTTACCATTGCTCACAAAGGCGGCATATATATACTATCCTCGACTCGTCCATGGCGATGTACGAGGCATGAGGTAAGGCTTATCAGTGAGAGGCACTTCGGTGATAAGCAGTATATTTGGATCAAGGAAAGTCAGCTGTAGAATCCTGCGGAAGCCCATCTGTTTATTTCTTTCCCGTGGCATCTGATTGACAGCAGGAAATCAAAAAGTGCACATGCTCACCTGCTGCGGTGGTCCAAGATAGTTCTGACAGCCAAAAGCGCTGAGCTTGCGATTGAAATATAACACGACCAACAAGTGAAATGAGATGAACCCTGTCTAAGAAATAATGTAGTGAAGGAATATTCGTCAAATTCATAACCCAGTATCAAAATTACATATTAGTACAACGCCACCGAGCGATAGGAGAACTGGTGCTTAACCGCAATATAGCCCCCCCGGACAGCCAACTGTCGTTCCGTACACAGCACCAGAAACTCCCGTAATCGTCAATACTGCATTCACGATACCACCCAAGCCCTCCCCAGCAATGAACCCGGCAGCTATAGCGAAGCAGTACATTTCATAGTGGCTGAAGAACCTGAACAGCCTGTGAACTTATCGAAATGTAGTTGGGAGAGATACTTACATTCTACGCCAGAAGAAAGCGATCGTCGAGCCGAAGAACATAGCCAAGGGATAGGTGCATACATCTTTGAGGATGATAGCATTAGAAGTATTTAATGACCGAGTCAAAGTGTTCCTCACTCATGATAAAACCGATACCGATGGCATTAAAGTTCCTGAATGTCCAATTTATAAGGCTTCGTGTTGAGGCAAGATACCGAGAAACTTACGGAACCCAAATATGATATTTCGGCGGGACAACAGTATGCTTCATAACAACCGAAATCACAGCCGCGATGCCCAATCCTATTGCTGTATACCCTGACGATGGTGGAATGGGAAGGGTCGATGATGAGACCGCAACCCCAACTGCCTGTTGAATTGGTCAGCATGTGATTAAAGGTACAGTTCCATGAATAAAAACTCACCCTCCAAGATTGTACATCAGGTGTCGGGAAACTGCAAGTAGTGTAGGTGAGATCATTGATGCATGGATATGCAGTCGAGAAAACGATGTAGACACCAGCGGCCATGAAGATGGACACGACGGCGCCAGTCAGCTGACCGCAAAAGACAGCTTTGGGGGACGCTCTGAGAAGATGGGTCGCTTTGAGATCGCTGATCATGTCAGCGGCTATGCGATAAATGAGTATTTGTCAGCGGCTCAAAGTATGGTCTACGGACCTTGCTCGGCAGCACCTAGGAATAATGTGTGAGAAGCAGTGGTTCACAGAAGCATGATACATACCTAAAGCAAGCATTCCCGATAACGAATTCAAGAGCTCGCCTCTCTGAACTGAGTATCCTTGCCCTTTGCCAATACCACCAAAAATTAGTTGAGAAGCATTGCCTTTTGAGACACATGTCAGTATAGAATCACAGGTTCCCAGATGCACTCACCAATGGATGTCACAGGATTAATGTTTGTGCGGCCAGCACTCTCGCATCCAATGAAGCTAAACACGAATGCGAAGACAATGGCTAGACTCTGACGTTCAAACACCGGTCATCATGAAGGAGTGGTGTCTCACCGAGAATTGTGATACCAACGTTCTGGCCATACTGGACACCCATGACAGAGCATGTGATCACGATGCTAGCAACGAGCACACCGCCCCAGAGCCAGAATGGAACCCGGTCTTCAGGTGGTACAGGATCCACGATCTCTTCTTCATTGTTCTTTTCGTAGGAATGTCCGCTGAAACGTTGCGCGAGTGTACCTATCGCAAAACGCGTGGCCGAATAGATGGACTTCCAGTTGCAGGCAACTTCAGTGAAACTCGTGCAAAGTAGCATGAGTGTACCGGGCCAGACCTATACAGGATGGATGGATTGGATCTACAGTTTTGAGAAGATAGTCTCTTACCAGCCAGTATCGCGGCGACGGGTGATTAATAGGATCCGATAGAGACCTCCAGATGACTGGTTCAACCGAGATGAACTTGAACAAGGATGAAGATCACGCACATGGATGCATAATTCATCTGCCCAGGGATGGATGTAGCTGCTGGAATACCGAAGGCCTGTGATCCTGTCAGATACTCCGGTGAGTAAGGGGTTCTATGCATACCTTGCCCGTGTGAACTATAACAGGTCCGATAATAGCCCATGCAAGGAAGCTCTGCAGGCGTTATATAGGATAGGCATGCAGAACATAACACGGACTCACACCACTCAAGAAACTGTATGATGAGTTGATTCCTGTGAGCATCCCCGCACCAATGAACGCTGGTGTCCATTCCCAAATCCACCCCTACTGGACTTTAGAAGACAAGTATATCTCGTGCAACAGCACAGACTGACCCAACTTTCTGCGGCAATGAGGGATTCCCACCCTACTCGATTGAGCGCATAAAATATATGCCAGTCCCAAAGAAGCCCAGGAGCGTATTCGCTGACGATGCGTAAAGTGATCGCAAAACCGAAAGAAATCAATAATGCCTTTGTCTTTTTCTTAGCGTCTGTCGCAGCGTGTTTGCCCACGTGGAGCGAGCGAATCGTGTACGCTGCGGCAACACCAGAAGGAAACACGAGCTTTAGCTTCAAAATATAGAACTTCCGGAGCGGGATGGAAAATGCGAGACCAAAGAAAGCGCAGCAAATAGTAAACGTGAATAGCCGACCAATATCATCTCGAGGACTTGCACTGAGAAGACCAAGCTGGTATGCAGCAGGAAAGCCAGAAGTAAAAAGCAATCCAAGACTACCAGCAGCAGACGCTGCAGATTGGCACACGTTATTTTCCTTGGGACCAAAATAGCCGCCCCCAAGCCAGCTCGGTGCTGCGGTAGAAAAGGGCTTGAGGATAGCAAAACCTGCAAATCAACAGTAAGTGACACTCGCGCAGTATCATATGAACAACCAAACCGAATATGGACCCAAATAATGATGCTCCGAAGGTCCATCCTGTCTACATACAACTTCAGAATTCGAAGTTTCCCAAAGTATGTTTATAGACCTTCAAACCTAAATAAACGTTGCTTGCGGAGATAACCGCCCCGAGTAGGCAGCCGACGAGGAGAGCTCTGATGGTCAACTGTCTCTCTTCCACAGGAGAGTCTGGATCGAGGGGGAAAGGGTCGTCGGTATTAATGAAACGTCCACCAGACACCAACTCTCCACTATCATCATCCTGAGAGTTGCGTTCGACAGTGGATATCTCATCTCCAGTAACTGATGTGGAATACTTCTCCTTTATTTCTGGAGAAGCGGGGTCGCCAGGGTTGGAGATACCACTCTGGTGAATGCCGTTGGAAATCATGTCGCGCAGAGACGACGTTGGATCATACTGATCCGGGCTTTTATGAAAACTCTTATCCGGCATGAGATTTTCAAAAGTCAGGTGCTTCCCCATCCTTGTGGATGTCATTGTCAAAGAAAGTGTCTTGGCAAGTTGTATGTGCGGTACATTGCAATCAGTTTATTCATATCGTCGATAAGACTATCTTTGTTTCACCTGAAAGGATGTGTGTCCGCGGCCTAGGTAAGCCTACCACATGGAACGGAGTTATGAATAGTACTAAGTAGTGAAATTAAAGCCTATCAGCACGAATGAAATAAGACAGGAAGGCCCAGGCACTCACTGTCACTGCGTCAACCAGCATCCGAGATGACCAGGACCACGATGCGTCAGATCCTGAAGATTATATTTCCTATACTTCAAGCTTCTAGTGACCACCACGATAAGTGCACAGTTTTGATGTGAACCAAGATGACTACTGAAACTTTGAAGTACTGAAAGCTTCAGAAGTTCAAGGTGGAAATATCGTGCTGTGGTGTTAACCGAGTTGTACTAGGCTAAACCATTAAGTAGTCAGAATTAATGACGGATTTCAACAACAGCCTCAGAAACATTAGAGATCCTAGAATGTTGTTGCAACTTGTAGATCGAGGACTTGCATGACTTGATTCATACTTGTATGACTTCTGAAGTGCAGGGGAGCAACTAGGTACTAGAATTTGACTAGTAGAGTCGGTGTTCATGATCATCGATCGGTTCTCGGACATAGCCGCGTGAGTTGGTTGAAGCGGCGCCTTAAGGTCACCACCCGGAAATTCGCGAAGTTACTCTTTCGTGCAAAGTCTAACTGTAAAGTCGGTCGCGTCCATGTCTGTGACATCGTTTTTCTCGTCTTTCTTCAACACCGTGCACGGTGACGCACCGGAGGAGAAGCAGCCAGAAAACGAAACCAAGGAGGAGGAAGTCGCTGAAGCGGGGGAACCATCGAAAGAGTCTGAGGAAGAGGAAGTAGAAGCCGAGGACGTATGTCTCTATTCAGGATACAAATATCGTCTCCTCCTGTTGATGTTATTCCTGTCTATAGATTCACCCTGTCATTATAGAGGAGTGCAAAAACTCAGCAGCATGTGCTTCTTTAACGAGACATTTCGAACACTGCCAGGAGAAGGTGCAATCTGGACAAGGCTTTAAAGGCGAGGACTGTGTGGAAGAACTGTGAGTTGATATTTCAATATTGATACCTGCATAACACTCATATACTGTGATTATAGATGTAGGTCACTTATGTTATATACATGACATTCATATTGATTTTTCCTATTCCGACTACTTCATATATAGTCCAGTGAGTCATCTTTTCTCCTCTCCTTGGCATCCTCGTTAACGGAGTCCTACAGCCTGATGCACTGCGCCGATGTATGTATATTTTGTCTTCACCCTTGAGAGTTCTCGCTTAACGTTCTACTTAGGGTTGTGCTGCACCAAAATTGTTCTCCAAGCTCAAGTAGACGCTAGGGTTAATACTACAGTGAGTCTTTCTGTTCAGTCTATTTCCAGCATCTGAGTTATTTGTCCCTATAGTTACAATACACGCTATCGTTCTTGAGGAGCAATACCATTTATCTCTCCTGTCACTAAATCCTACTGAGGATCATATTGATCAGTAGATGCGCCCGACGTCATACTGCTGTCGGGCTGTTCTCTCGTTTGAACTGCACACTGTCACGCGGTCTTGGTTCCGTTTATACAGTTTAAGACCGTTGGTTTTGAGACTATGACCGACCTGTGGCCGATGGCGAAATTGTGTCCTAGAACAAAATTTGAACGATTTTTTATTTATTTAAATATTGTCGGTTGGGGTGGAGCCCTATGTTGGACACTACTCACGATAATGCACTTGATTTGTGCGTGTTCTCCGCTGTCCGAAGCCTCGTGTGGTTCCGGCTTGCGCGAAAACAGGTGGGGCCTTCTTCAGGCGCCTGGAGTGGGGGTGCATCTTCTCCTGCCCGTCTACCTCTACTCAATCTCCTTTTCCTTTGGGCCTCACGTCCCGGAACACCATGCCCAGTCTTCTCGTCCTTGCGATGAATGTAAGGGCTGCCCTCATTCTTTTGCGTCCGCTCAGCAAATATTTGACGTTGCATTGGCGGGGCCCGACTTCTGCGCGTAAGTGCTTCTCGGTGGCTGGCGAATACCGGACGGACTAACGAGAAATGACTGATTCATCATGGTTTGTAGGTATTTGTTGAGTGGGACGTGACTGGTGTGAAGTTGGAACAGTAGTGAGCTGTAGCGCCTAGGGAGCGTCTTGATCATTTTCACGAATCTTCCGGAGGGGGCTGTGGAGGTCGATCGCGAGCGAAGTAGAACGCGGCGTGGCGAATTTTCCGTGACGGATTTCATGTCCTTGTTGAAGCGCTGCTTTAGCGCCGACTTGCTTGGCGGTAGCGCTCGGATCTCTCCCCGGCTTGGCAGGAGCAATCTGGGGAGTTCTCGAGCTTCTGATGATTCTCCGCTCACCGCCCTTTTCGCATGCTCATCGTTCGTCTGCCGCCTCGTTTCCCACAATGCTCGTGTGTCCCGGCATCCACCTGATGATCAGTTTCCGATTGTCGTCCTCCGGGACGAGCTTTCTGAGATCATAATGGAACAGATCCATCAGATAATGCCTTAGTTGCAACTGAAATGCTGCCATGGCCTTTATCGTTGTTTGATTGACGATGCTTGGGGACATAGAGCCTCCTCCATCCCCCTCTAGTAGCTGCACCCACGACTCGTCTTCGCCTCCGAGTCATACACCGCGCGTTCTTGATCGCGTTCCAGGTGGAATCTCTTGCTGCCTATCACCTCGCTTTCTCTCATTAAGACGGCTGCTCCCCCTACACCTCCGTCCAACATGGAACCGTCCGAGTATGCTCACAGGTCTTCATTTGCTAGGGCTTTTTCTATTGCTGCTGATTCGGTGTCTTCTACTATGCGCACATCCACGTGAACGATGAGACGTATCGCTCCGATTGCGAGCGAGCTCGGCTGTTTTGTTCATGCAGCACCTCGTGGGATGTGCCCTTGGCGTAGAACTGATTAGACATATCTCGAGCAGACAGTGAATGTTATAGACACATTTTATCAGGATGCATCTCTGAGCCAAAATATGTGCAGGCTCTTGTTTGTCCAGCATCAGGACCATGAATGGTCGTTTGACAGAGCTCCGGCACTAAATTCTTCATGTGATTGAGCGAATACGAAGAGAAAACAGGTTTGTCTTCAAGGGGTTGTCTAGCAAGACCTTTGATTCAAACGTGCAGTCACTGATCAAAGAAAGTAGCCTGTAACAAGGTACAAGGGAAAATCTGACGATGCTTCATATACTGTGATGATTAGACCGCGTCACCACCCATCCCATCCAGAGTCTGCCTTCACGCCGTCAGGGGCGGGTTCGTCGGCTACCGGTTGAAACGATGTGTGGATCTTCACTCACGCATCGGCAGGTAGCGCGTCCTGTAATCTTCGATGAAGCGGGCTGCAGTTCCGTCGTAGCTTGATAGGAATAAGTCCCGGATTTTGTAATTCTCCTAATCCAATGGCAACCGTCTTCTTCCTGAGCTTGAAAACACGCTCGTCCTCGACATCGTTCATCGGTGCTTCACGTTTCCTATCACCCTCAAAAGACCCTGCCGTCGCTTCGTTTGCATCTTCTGACATGCAAGCCTCACGTGCAGGAGACGCCAATGTGTAATAATTCGGATCATACTGGCACTGCCACCCTCCTGTGACTGCCTTATATTCGCCTCTGCCTAAGCTCGTTCCGCATTAGGATCTGCATATTCTAGCGATGCAGCCATTGAGTAGTTGGCGTATGGATTGCCTGGTTTAGACGGAGGCTTCTTAAAACAAGAATGATATTGTCCATAGGTGCTAGTCAGTGTGAAGTGAACTATGGGTGAGGGAATGACGTTGAGCTTTCGGCTCCGAAGAAGACCTAGAATAAGAAAGAGTTGAGCTGCGAGGGCGGGTGCGGCAGCCTCGCTGTGACTAGGAAACTTGGGGTTCCTCAAGGCCTCGGGATCCATCTGAGTTGCTGTATCAGTGTTTGGAGGAATGACTGCGCAGCAATGAACAATGATCGCGGCACGAAAGTAAGAGGTTCGATGCCGCGTCTTTGTTCGCTCGAAGATCTCACTCTATTTTTCGCTCGCACCTCGCTACATAATCAATAGAGTTCCCAAACTGTGAATCAAACGGACCCGACCCGAAAACCATGAAACGGGGATGGCAGCTATTATTGGGGCGAGCTCATGCTAGCTACTTTTGTAAGTCATCATCATCCACGGGAAACCTTCGATACATACCAGATGGCCTCATGTTCATTACTATCCCGGCACACGTAATATGACGTCGAGGGTCATAGCACAAGCAGAACTTCCCTTTAACAGCATTATAGTGTCTTGCACGACGAAGACCATGTTGCTTGACAAGGTCACCTACAGTAGTGTAGTATAGTACTACCATGACCATGTGCAGCCGGTCGCAGATCAGTACCAGTGCGCGGGCGGTAGGATTCCAAGGTGTGGTCTGACTACATTTGTACCGCCCGGGTCCGCTTCCACTACAGTGATAAGGGACACACAGCCAAGGACGGTGATAAGAGGGATAGCCCATGACATGACATGTATGATGCCCAGCGCAGGTCGAGGAAGTAGTGCACCAGTCACGGTGATGCATCGAGGATGACATAATAATAAGTTGCCAAAACAATAAAGCGAAACGCCGGGCATCAGCTGTCGGATAGCCCGAAGTCACTGGTTCAATTGGAAATTGGCCATTAAGTTGCCTAATTACATTGTCCGGCGAGCAAGCCATTGCCCTCGATGAACGTTCAACGTTAATGCACTACTAATCCCAGAGAGAAGCTGCTGCGCGCACCGTCAAACGGTTTAGTCTTGTTCGAGAATGGTCTGATTGAACGGTGCGTTATTTGTGCGTCTTACATAAAGGGTGTAGCTCACTGCAGGGTTATGACAGATTTACGCTTCGAATTGGTCATGGCGCTAATCTTTGATCGAGAACGCCACTAACAATCATGCGAGCCAACAGATATTCTAGCGCTCAATAAATGCATAATAAGTTCTCCAATCCCATGCGCTCGGAGCTCCAACCATGCTCCCCTCAACAATACAGCCGCTACTCATCGGCACCACAGATGTACCTTTTCCAAGTCCTACCACCCCCATAAACCCTACATACGAATACACGTGTCCGTACTCCAAACACAAGGAGGGCAGGAATTTGGTAGTCTGTATTGATGGTTCATCAAACAGGTTTGGCCTCAGGGTGCGTATCTACTTGACCTAGTTTCTTTGCCTAACAACTGCCCAGAACACCAATGTCGTCGAACTCTACAGCCAACTTATCAAATCTGATCAAGACCAACTCACTTATTACAACAGCGGAGTGGGCACGCACGCACGCCCATCCTGGCGCTCTCTCACATATCTTCATTATTGGCTGAGTAACAAAGTGGATCTACTTATAGCTTGGTATGTCCGCCCATTGGACTCTACAACCATTATTGAGCAATCATTCAGGAATCTCGAAACAGTGATACTGGCAGCCTATCGATGGATATCAGAAAACTACAAAGATGGTGATAGGATTTATTTTTTCGGTAGGTTCTTGTGCCACATGCAATGATGCCGCGCGTCATATCAACTTGTCACAGGCTTTTCCAGGGGCGCTTACCAGGCCCGAGCACTTGCTGGAATGATACACCGTGTGAGTCGTCTGGATTGACGTGCTAACCAAAACAGGTCGTTGATTTTTTTTAAAACTCTAGGTCGGCTTAATCCTCCCTGGCAACAACGAACAAATACCATTGTAAGTATAGTCCCATCTCGTGCCGTCACACCTTTCTCATCTTGGCGACATTTAGCGCCTTCGAGTTATATTCGAAAATAGATGAAAACGCCTCGAAGAGAAAATCTCGGCGGAGACATGCCTGGGCAAGCGAACTTGCTGAAACGTTCAAGAGCACATTCTGCAGAACACACGTCCACATCCATTTCATCGGCGTATGGTAAGACTTTCACCTTTGGAACATGGATGATATCTCTTTATTCACTCATCCCAAGGGATACTGTGTCTTCGGTTGGCGTTGTGAGAGGCAAGACGCTACCTTCGACCACTGACGGCGACCACCATATGTGCTATTTCAGGCATGCCCTTGCCTTGGATGAGCGGCGAGTCAAATTCCTTCCGGAGTATATACATGGTGCAAAAACACAAGGATCACATTCCGACCGCATCAAGGAGGTTTGGTTTGCAGGTAGTCACTCGGATGTGTATGTCAAATGCCTTGAAATCTCTGTACCTCTGATTCAGTAACGGACATTTGCAGTGGCGGAGGCAATCGACTCAACGAGAAGCTTCAATCAGGCGACATTCCATTGCTATGGATGCGAAAGGAGGCTGTCGAGGCAGGCTTGAGGATGAAGCCCACCGAAGTCGTCTGGAAGATGGATGACCTGCAGAAGAGGACGTACGAATCACTAAGGAGCATGTGGTGGATGCTCGAATTCGCTCCTGTCAAGCGGGTTGTTTATGGCACTCGAGACAGTCACGCGTTCGGGTACGTGCTTTAAGCTTTTCGCCGCGCACCGATGAATTCATTAGAATCTCCTGAAGGCTCCATCGTGGCGCGCCTCGGGTGATCCTCCCCGGACAGAAGATTCACGCCTCTGTCTTGTTCAAAGGCAACTACAGAGCCAAGGCCAAATTCTGGAAGGACTTCGACGTCTGGCCAGAATTGCTATACTGGAATGATCCAGCCAGCCAACAACGACTTTCCAAACTGGGTCAGCTGTGGGAGAAGGACATTTTTGATGAATCGACCGTGCCCTCACTTCTGAGAGATATCCAGTTGCACGGAGTGCAGTGTTTCGACGCGGTTGACCGACTGGCATTCATGGCCTCATTTGGTGGGTGTTGTATTTCTTGATTGTGATTTATCTTCTAAGCGCTTGACAGAACAAGGCAGGGCTGCGATCAAAGAATCGGACAGCTGGGAGAGCCAGTTGAATAAGCTAGTCCGTTACAGCGATGATCCGAAAGTACGTGTCAGTGCTACCGTTGCACTAAGCGAACTACGTAGGTCATGGTGAACCTATTGCATGGACGTTTTCTCACCCTCTGCAGTGCCCAAACTTGACCCGGACGACTTGGAAAAGGCAACCACCGACGTGTTGAAAATGCTGCATAGCAAGGACGATATCGATCAGATTCGAGCTTGCAAAGCCCTTCCCGCCCTGGTCAAGCATGCCCCGAAAGGAAATAAGATCTTGAGCCCAGCCACATTCCAGCGTGTACTGGACCTTGGAGGGGTCTCCGAAACCGAATCGTTGATGGTGCAAATTCATGCATCACAGACTTTGTCGTTGCTTGCTGGCCATGGTTCGTAATTCAGCCTATCTGAACGATATTTATTTTGTGACTGTGAAATATCTTAGGCGATCATCGGCCGGCTGCGACGGAAAAGGCTGCTACGGAAAAGGCTGTGACAGAAAGAGCTGTGAAGGACATTATCGCTCTTCTTAGTAGCGAACGTGAGTTTTCGATTTGAACGCGCTTTTACATTCAAGTTGACCTGACCGGTCGCAGACGAAGAAATTTTAGTAGCGGCCTTACGCATACTTGCTGCCCTTGTCCACGACGGTATTTGCCGTTGTTCTTTGAATGCAGGCGTATGCTTGACAACCCGTTGCAGACATAGCGCAAGCTATGGTCATAGAACTATTTCCTACACTTATCAAACATTTGAAGCAACACGACTTCTACATCTCGCCGCCGGTGGGCAATGTTATATGTGCATATGCAAGGCATGGTAAGCTTCGTATGTCACTGTCAAATAATTGATGTGCTGATCGCAAGATACAGAGGAATTTCGTAAGCGATTACTCCGCTCAGACAGTGGTTTTCTCGGGCTTTTGGTCGACATGTTGGAACATCGCTTAACTGATATTGAGGACCCTGCCATTCAAATCCTCGGCCAGCTTGCGAATCATGGTGCGGCATATGCACTTACACTCATACAGCACCTGACTAGCGGACCTCCAGTTGACGTTCAGGCTGACTTGATTGAAAATGGACATATTAAGGATTTGGTGTCGTTGATGAGAAGTCGAAATCATGAAACAAGTGACGGAGCTACTCTCGCGATGCTGTCAATTCTCCGGCATCGTGAGTTTCTTATATGATAACATCTCTTCTGCTGCTCAGCTTTTTTCAGCACACATACGATTTAGAGCAATCCAGGAAGGTGTCGTTGTGACATTGGTCAATCGTTTAAAACACCGGAAGAGCTGTTTGCTTGCGGCTTACGCATTCTCTCGTATCCTGGACTACGGTCAGTTTTTCACCTGATGTCATGATCGAATCTTCCCTAACACAATGCAGACAACATCAGAACAGCTATGATTGATCTGTCCGGGCCTGACTATATTATCGGCGCTGTCAAGCAAGGATTGTTTAACGCGACGGTCGAAAATGAACCTGGTCAAGAGGTGCTCGGACGCCTCATGCGCAACGGTAAGCTTGTGCACTGCTTTTCCCCTTCCGAGATCTCAAACACTTGTATAGATGAACTAAGGGCAGCTGTCCTCGAAGCCCACACAACGGCGGCCCTTTGTACCATGTTCAAAAAGGGTGAT